CAGTGATTTCGTTGAGGGTCGTAACAAGCATTCCACCAGGCGTGCTGGTTACCTGCTTTACTAACTGCGAGACTTTGCTGCGATGAAATGAAGCGTACAGAGCCCCAGAACGTGACAGCGCACCAACAGCATACGCAGCCGCTATCTCACCACTGGAATGTCCGACTACAGAGTCTGGGTAAACTGAGAAACTGTTCAGGAGATCGACTAACGCGATCTGAAGGGCTGTCGTAGCGGGCTGTGATATCTCACTCTCATTTATCCGAGATGTGGCTTGATCACGAGTCAACATCTCAATCAGGCTCCATTCGGAACCCAGGTTCCTGAGTATCTCTTCAGACTCCCGCATGGAATTAGCGAAACTTGACTGCGTATGAAGAAGTTCACGGCCCATTTCATGCCACTGTGCTCCCTGGCCAGTGAAGATCAGAGTGAGTTTAGGCTTGCTCGCTGCCCTTTCCGGTTGTCTATCAATTGCGCGCGAGGCGGCGGCGAGGAACTCCTCCACCGTGCTGGCAACGAAGCTTGTACGAACGGCGAATTTTGAGCGCCGCTCTGACAGTGTGTATGCCAGCTGGTGGAACTTTTCTGAGGGGAGATGAGGCTGGGAGCCAACCCATTGCTTCAAATTGTTGAGGCTGTTGATCAAGGACCTGGGGGACTTCGCTGAGACGACGAACAGATTACCTTCGCTATCCGCTCCATTGATACCCATCGCTTCGCTGATGCCATTATGGGAATTGGCCCCATTGCTTCGTTGATCGGGCTGAAAGGCTTCTAAGATGGCCGCGACGTTTGTCCCGCCGTAGCCGAATGAATTAATCGCCGCCCGTCGCAGCCCCGCCGTTGACCATTCTTCGAGGCGCTGCGGAATTCGAATATTCCGCTTTGCTAGATCAAGGCCATCTTTTACATTCAGCAAGTCTGGGGTCGCTGGAATGAAGCCCTTCTCCAGTGCTAGAACCGTCTTTATCAGACCTGCTAAGCCGCTTGCACTCTCGCAGTGTCCTAGATTTGCCTTGACTGATCCGACCAAGAGTGGTTGGCTTCTCTGGATGTTATCGCAGAATACCTTGGAAATTGAGTTGATCTCAGCATTATCCCCAGCTTGCGTTCCCGTGCCGTGAGCCTCAACGTAGCTCGTCATGCTCGGGTTCAACCCGGCATTCAAGTGTATCGACCGCATCAGGTCTTCCTGTGCTTGCGAGCTGGGGAGCATAATCCCGTTTGTCTTGCCGTCTTGGTTGATGCCAGTATTTCGGACGATAGCGCGAATTGGGTCTCCAGCGTCGAGGGCATCGGACAAGCGCTTCAGAACAATCGTGGACACGCCTTCGGATCGCGCGTAGCCCTTCCCGCGGTCATCAAAGGCGTAGCACTTACCATCGTCGTTCAACATACTGTAACGCGATGAGCCTATTGCCATGGGGAAATTGGGTTGGACACTAGACTCACTGTAGCTTGCTCATGGCAATGGTCATGTCTGGCGAAAGTAGTAGGTTCGTGCCGCCCACAAGTGCCATATCCGTCTCCCTTGATCGGAGCCCTTGCACAGCCAGATGGAGGCCCACCAAGCTCCCGGAGCAGCCGGTGTCTAGTGAGAAACAGGGCCCCCTCAGGTCGAATGTATATGAAACCCGTCCGGATGTGATCGCCTCTCCACAACCAGTAAGCTGATATTTCGCCAGATCTTGCGGGTCTCGATAGGCGTTGCGGTCGTAATCACGACTGACAGTCGCCACATGTACCGATGTCTTGGAGCCACCCACACTATCTAGCGGCAAACCGGCGCTCTCTAGCGCTTCATAAGCCGTCTCCAGATGGATTCTTTGCTGGGGATCTAGCCCATTTGCCTCTGCGGCAGGAATATTAAAAAATGCAGCATCAAAGGCAGCGAGGTCACGGTCGATGTACCCGCCGCCCTTTTGGTTGTGTGCAGCTTCGGCATTAGGATGCGGATGGTGGAAAGACCTCCACGTGTAGCGGTCGGCTGGGATTTCCGACCAGCCTGTTCTTCCATCTGCGAGCATTTGCCATAGTTCTTCGGGACTGTTGGCTCCACCGGGAAACCTACAGGCCATGCCAATGATGGCGATGGGCTCTAGGTCTTGTATTGCGTGAGGCATGGTGTTGGTAAATTGATGGTGAGGAGGAAGGGAGAAACCAAGGTAAGTGCTGGTGACATGGAAAAGACGAATGTTCCTGAGAAGGGAGTATACATAATTTATAGATTCTGTCGGCCCAGGCAGTTTTCCTTCTTGCTCCGTTCTTTTTACTTCGGATTTTCCAACTCAACCAGCGTCTCCGTGGAAATGGCCCCCAAAAACGCCATCCGACAAGGGATGGTCTCCCACGGAGTTACAACGACTACGGTTCCGTGGTGCTTATGGCGAAAAACTGCCATGAACACTATCTCTATCTCGGAGTCGGATATGAACAGGATATGGACTCGCTCAATTGTGCGATATTGATGGGGGGCCTAGAACATAACCCCTGCTCCGGCTATGGGGGCCGAGAACATAACCCCTGCCCTCGCCAAGTTATATCAGCAGCTGTCAGCGGCGGAGCCGACTCCCACGTTGTATTAGGGAAACCGAAGAATTCTTGTCATATCGTTCAATCTTCAATTTGAACTCACATCCGCGAATTTATCCGGAATTACCCGTGGAACTCCGGCAACTACGGACCTTGACTCCATTAGTTTGACTAAGATTAATTTCTAATAAGCGCCTGGGGGTCATCATGCTGAAAAAAGCTGAAGGGCAATTGAAATATCCTGAGGATCTTTCATGATCCGATATCACCTTCCCAGAAAGAGATCGGTCTGCTCTTCCCAATATATCTCGGCTGTGCATAATATATAATCTCCATCACAATATTCATACAACTATCGCAATCAACAATGGTGTTAGATGTCGCAGAGCCTCACGGCCTAAATGGTCATTCCAGAGAGGCAAACTCCAGAAAGCCTGACATCGCTCGCTTTGCCTTTTCTGGCGCTCCACTTGAGGGGCTTCTGAAAGATGAATTAGTCGCTTCTCGACCACCACACGACATTATCCGCTCTCGCCTTCCCTTCGACAAAACGGATAGTTACTGGTGGGACACTACTGGCGTCGTCCTAAGCAAACTCATGCTTCAAGCTGGCTATCCACTAGGCCTGCACTATAAGACACTCGCATACTTCTACGACGTTGTCTTGCCAGCATGGGGTCCCATTCCCCTCAAGACAGACGGGCAACCTGGTGGTCGACCTTGGAAGGCCACCTTCCTCGAAGACGGGTCCACGTATGAGCCCAGCCTCAATTTGCGAACCACAGGTACCACGGAGACCACTGTCCGCTTCTCGATTGAATGCAGCGATGCGCGCTCTGGCACCACCGAGGACCCGCTCAACCAGAAAGCGGCGCACGACCTCGTCATGCGCTGCGCAGCTGCAGATCCTGAATTTGACCTCACTCTATACAACTACATGCGGGAGGCGCTGATGTTCGATGACGTAGAAGCCCGCCGCCTGAAGCAAGCGTTCCCGGACTGTCAATCGCCGCAGATTTTTTTCGCCTTTGACTTTGAGCGCAGTGGAAAGATTCTTGGCAAGTGCGCTCCGTTTCTCAGCTGGAAGAGCAAGCAGTTAGGAATAACACAGAAGGAACTCGCGCTTCGAGTCATTGCGGGAGTTCCGGAAGTTGGACCGCTGTACAAGGACGCCCTCGCGGCGTGGGATAAATTCATGGTGTCGTTCCCTGGTCATCTCGGCGGGGAGCCGTCACCCGAAAGCTTAAATTTTGATGTTGTGAAGCCGGGCAAATCCTCCAGGATCAAAGTTTACATTCGTCCGTTCAAGACCTCGTTCAATTCCGTCAAGTATTTTTACACCCTTGGGGGACTACTCAACGACGATGCAACGGCCAAAGGCGTCGACCTCCTGCGTACCTTCTATGAAGTCGTCTTCGACATCAAAGACGGCGAAGAAGATAAAGAGCTTACCGAATATCATCCAGGCTGGGGTAGCGTGCTGTTCAACTGTGCTTTCAAGCCTGGGACGGCGCTTCCGGTACCGCAATTCTACATCACGATATGGAAGTTCATGCCCAGCGACCAGTCTATCATTGAGCGACTCACTGCGTTCTGGCGACGTATAGGCTGGGCTCATCAGGCTGATAAGTATGCGCATGATTGGCAGGAAACATTGTGAGTCATGAATTATTTCTAATGGTGTATCTATTAGCTAACAAGAGTTTAGCCCGTGGCTTGACGGCAGGGGATCGGGGAACATTGACGCGCTGTCGCTGGCTTACAAGGACGATGGGTCTGGTATATACCAGAGCGTTTACTATTCACCTATGGCGCACGTTGCGGCTGAGAAGCTGGGATATGCATAAGCAAAGGCCCCCCTTGATAAAGAGTAGTAGGTGTTAGATAAACGGAGCGTTATTAGTGTCATTTTAAAGACCATTAAGCTATCTATCGTATGATCATAAGTAAGACCACTCGATTTCGAAGTAGTAACTTCCCTGAAGTGATATAGAATGATGATTTGACCAATCCAAAAACCAAGCGAGTGTGGCTGCAATGCCTTTTTGGAAAAAACAGATTAGGGTCAATCAAGCTTCCACTGTATACGGATCTAGCAAACTACATATAAGAATTGGCCGATCTAGACGCCAAAATGTTGATACCGACCTTCCTCGATCCCGGGACAATCTAGGCGGGAATCGAACTAGTACTGTTGCAAGGAATACCACCTGGCTACAAAAGATATCTAGACACTTCTGAGCTCCGTGGGTACCCTTTTATGCACGATCTTCTATTGCGACAGGTATATATGTGTAGGAAATCTCAAATAGGACCGGACTACGCGAAGCGAGGCCTCGATAATGGCAAACAAGCAGGCGACGATGGCGGTGACGCTTGGTAGAATACCCCCAATTTACCACACTACATCCCTGGCAAGCCACCTATGCTGCTGCCATTCCAGAATCACTCTTCTTGGTGTCCCGGGGCAACCTCCGCCATTCTATTGCCAATCCCACAAAGAAAGCAATCGCCGCAGTAGCAAGAGCCAGCAAAAACACGGTCTTCAATGCGCTTGTGTACGCATCAATCACCTTAGCTAGTCTTTCTGGAGCGACCAACCGCCTAAAGTCTGCAGCACCCGCAGCAACCACTGCTGCGCTGTCTACACCCTTGACCTTCCGTAGATTCTTCATCAGTTTGTCCGTGAACAGGTTCTGGGCAATGCTCGTCGCCAGGGCCCCCCCCAGGCATTGGAAGAACATGATCAGCACACAGCCTGTTGGTACATTCTCCTTGTCCAGAACGACTTGCACTGCTAAGATTGGGATCTGGCCGCACAGACCGTAGCCAATGCCACTAACAATCTGATACCCTACCCAATTGGACAACGGACTATCCGCTCGGATAATCTGGAAGAGACCACCTCCGATCGCGAGGAAGGGAGCACCGGCCCACATGAAGGGCACATAGTAGCCAATCCTGGAGATGATCCATCCTGCGCTCAGAGTCGTCAGGCTCATGGAAATACACAGTGGGAGTAGCTGAATTCCCGAGTCTCTGGCGCTGACGCCTTTCACGGATTGGAAGTACATTGGCCAGTAGTAAGTCTGTACCACAATTGCCAGCTGGAGGAACATCATGAAGGCGCTCGCGGCAGATACTGTACGGTTGCGAAACAGGTGAAGTGGAATCGTGCAGCTGTGTTTCGTCAGTAACTCAAGGAGCCAGCCAAATTTGCCTCCCTTGGAGCAACTCACCTATTCCGATCTTTAATTTGCATCGCAATGAACAGGGCCAAAATCAAGACAAATCCAACCAGGCAGCCATAAACCTTGGAATTCGACCATGGGTAGACGATTCCTCCCCATTGTAGTGCGAGCAACAGACAGACTATCGAGCCAACCAACACCGTAGCCCCCAGCATGTCCAACTGCCGTAGCTTTTGATTCGGCGGTAATCCTGCTTTGACAGCCGGGGGAGGGCTGCGGAGAGCGAACCATATCAGAGCAAGTCCAACTGCTCCGAATGCTGTGATGTGTCAGTCCATGCTCTTCCGATTCCCCCTTTCACAGCGAGTGACTGACGAAGATTGATCCAGAAGCAAAACCGCCAAGTAAGCTTCGGATTATCAGTTATGACCCCCCCGATGAGTGGTCCCGAGACCGATCCGACGCCATAAACTGCCGAGATCATCCCCATCAGCATGGCACGCTTTCTCAAAGCCACGCAGTAGGACACGATCACCGCCGCCCCGCTGAGCAACCCGGCAGCGCCGATGCCAGAAATTGCGCGTCCGACTATCAGCATCGTTGAGCTCTGCGCCACAGCGCAGATGATGGAGCCCAGTTCAAAAATGAGCATCAGCACGATGTAGGACCACTTCACGTCGTAGAACGTGTATATACGGCCGCAGGTGGGCAGAAGCGACATTTGCGTGACGAGGTAGGAGGCGCCGTACCAGCCGATATCGTTCAGACTGTTGAAGTCGCTCGTGATGCGGGGGATCGCCGTTGCTGTTTTCTTTAGTTAGTTGGATGGTCTCCTTGATGACGGTTGCTTCTTGTCCTCGGAGTATTGAAGACGCGTACACAAAATGGTGTTATCTAGAGACAACATAAACCCCGAACCCATCAAGGCCATGCCCAGAAACCTAACATCCCACCCATCGAGATACATAGATGTATCCTCGTCCACCGATGTGCCATCTACCTGCTCCTCTGCCGATGGCAAAATTTCACCGTCATCCTTTTCGCTAACTAATCCAGCGACTTGGCTGTCCTCCGGCGTGGTATGCGACATGCTTGCCACGAAGTCGACCCCTTCAACCGTGTAATTTCATATGGGAAAGCACCCGAGCGAGATAAGACCGACTGAGGAGATGGCGGCCCGAAGTACTCGGTGGAATTTTAGGAACGCGCGCTCCTCTTTTACAGGATGACAGAACCCCTGCTCGGAACGGAGCGCTAGAGACTCGAACCCGTCTCATTTCAGCTTAGTAGCTTTTGGGCACCTATGGTGCCGGGGTTAGAATCCCTGTCAGTTGCGGAACGTCGGATGGTGTGGCCGATACTGTAGACGGGGGACTGGGTCTAGAAGCCTCTTAAGTTAACTGTTTGCATTGTGGTTTGAGGAATCGGGGGAATGGGTGCGTCACTAATTTAGCCTAGGTTATCGGTACCGATAGGCAGTGTAGGATCTAGTAATAACTGGTAGACGGCCTCGTAATTTCACTAGCATCATCTTGATAAATTAGGGTTAGACTTTCTTTAAAGATGGGCTCCTTGAAAATCATCCCACTGTTAGATTACCATTCTATAGTCCAGGTTGATACAAAGGGTAATACATTTCATGTAGAAGAAGGCAGACAGACGCGTATCTCCTGAAATAGATTTCTTAGAATATTTATCATTAGGAAAGATCATGTTCTTTGCCATTAGTGTAGGGACCAAAGGGAAAACCCGGGGAGTTGTTGGTGAGCTGCAAATGTCGGCATCGGTGAATGGATTGAGCGACATTGGTTATCAGCGCCACTACACTAGATACACTGATCAGCGACTGGCTGGGCTCTATAGTTACTCATACTTCAATATTAATTGACTTCTACCACGAGAGTGACTAGACCAGGGAAATGCCCTCCCCCCCTGATTATCGATCAGTTGATCAACCCCACCATGTCAAAGCCTCGTCGTGCTCATCGCCATTAGAATGAGGGGGATGACAGTTCGACTCTGGCGAAACTGTGGCTTATGATCTAGCTACGGTATGATCCTTCCACCAAACAAAAAGTGATGTTCTCACGATATGCTGAAAAGAATCCGGAGGGTGCGCCGTGACGGATTACTGAGTTCGCTGCGCCACCACTCCGCTACTCCGCCATCTCGCTGTTTACCTTGACGCCTTGGAGAAACCTCTTCTTTCCTATACTAGCGTCATGGTGCAGGCGAATCCAGCTTAGAAGTGAATGTTATATGCTAGTGATGCTGTTCCGAGCCCTCTTTGTGGTTCTCGACGGACTCCCGATTGCCTTCATATGTGGTTCATTTCAATCGATGATAGAGAAGAGGCCAAAAATTGGACATTCTCTTAGTCCATATTCCATCTATTCCAATATGTATATGATGCCTAGATGGCAGCAGTAAACGTCCATCAATGTTCCTCAATGCACCACGTCCGGACCTTATTCGGTCCCCATTTCACTGTTCTCTTGGCAGCACCCTCGATCTTCTCACTGTACAGCTCGTCCTCTTGGTTCGTTTCCCTTAAGTTGCGAAGCGTCATTGTTAGCCGCTCGTCGGTAATCTAGCTAGGTTGTTGGCAACACATACTTATACAATGTCACGGTCACGTTGATAGGCCGGGAGCCTAATTCGAAGACTTCCACCTGCGTAGCAGCATGGGTGGCAAACAACCCACAGGCTGCGAATGAGGGCTTTGAAAGAAGAATTATCGTGGGCTAATGCCAAGATCAGACGAGGAATGAGATCTACTTGACACAATAGATGTGGGAGGTTAGTGGGACAGAAGCTTTTTCTGTATGGAAGTTGAAAAAGATGACAGGCTCTCAACAAATGAAGCAAAGGCCTGTCTTTGCTTCAATTCTCCTCACGATCTCATCTGCTTTTCTGTTCTGGGCTTTGTTGATTGGTTCTCTGTCGGGCAATTAAGGGGCAAACTTGCAGATATCTCAGTTATCTATGTCTGTGTACCATGTCTATCGACAACCCTAATTAAACTATATATACAACCATTCTAGCTCATGACCCTAATGGCCCACTAATTGAAATAATAACCCGAGCTACTTGAAAGTCGCACCCCCTGTATACCTAAAGGCTGAACCCTTATTTCAAATTACCCCGATATGATATTGCAGTGAACTAGAAGTATCTAAAGTGGGCTCACCTGACTGTTATATCTTAATCATGATCTGATTTTAAGTTATAACTAGCTAGGTAGGTTAAGATACAAACAATCTATCATATAGTATAATATAAGTAGATTAAAGCTCAAAACTTACTTTCCTTATGATTGAATATGAATATCATATACAATATAAAGGTCACAAAAACCTGAAAAATGGAAAAGTAAGAGTACACATATAGATCAAAGTAAAAGAACTAGAGAGGTAGGATCAAATGATTATAGTCAGAAGAGGACCCGATATTTCTATTAATGCATGCGAATGTTTATGTACTGTGGGGACTAACCTTTGATGTGGTTACTAGACATGAGCATTAGGCTGTGTCGCCTCCAAGCCAACTATCTACTTGTACTATCTCTACTCCTGGGCATCATATTTAACTTGAAACCGAGCAGTCTACTTCCAGCTTTGTACTAACATTGTGATTGGCCTCCCTTTGTTTCATCTGACTGAGGTTAATCTTTACTATTATTCACTAAGATAGATAACCAGTTGCAGAGCTCTTGGGAAGAGCCCTAAAAGTGAAGAAACCGCTAGAGATGAGAACAAACCCCTCTGATAGTAGAATCCCACGGGAGACCGTGGTAAAAGCCTCATGGTAGATGGAGACCATGAAATGAATGGAAGGAACAATCATTGAATTTTTCGTTTGAGATAATCAGCAGAGGAAACTACTCGAGATAGAAAGGTTAGATATGTCCTGGAGCTTTCACGTGGCCTAGACAATAACTGGCCCCCTCAAAGTGGAGATCCAACATGGTATTGGGGCTCGCCGGGAGCAAGTTGGATGTGGTCAGTTGAGTGTTGATCATATTGGTTTCTAACCAAACCTTTAGTACATACGACCATAGGGTGTGGAGAACAGGGCTTCCCGTCCGCTCAGCCGTACTTAAGCCACACGCCGGCCGGTTAGTAGTATGGTGGGTGACCACATGCGAATCCCGGCTGTTGTATGTTTTTTCTTCCATGTTTTATTGAATTTAGCACTTGGCCTGCTCTGGCTTCACGCCCTTCACCTACCTTCACTTATTTATTAGTTACCTATAAATTTTTAGATTCCCTTAGCCTATTAGCTAGAACAACCTGGTCACATTAAATTTCTACTCAGATGTGGGATACTTCTATCATTATCTATATTTACTCCCCTTCTCCAAATTTCACGGCAACAGCCTAAGATATTCTCAGGGGGATTTGCCTCAATAAGTTATTTTACTTCGAGAAGACAGGAAAACTAGCTAGATGTTTAGTAGATAGACACTTAATAAAAAGGTCATAACAAAGCGCAACCTGTCCAGCAATTCCTGCCATATACAGCCCCATCACACCATGTTCACTGGCATGGCAATAGTCCTAATACCTCAAGACTCAGCAACTGTTTCCCTTCAAGAACCCTTTGGTCGAGTTGCATGAACACTCAACACCAATCAAACCTGGACCAAAACCAGCTTCACACCTTGGGACTACAGCGATTTCCAACGCAGGTGGCATTACAAAAAGGCTGTGCTTTAGCTATAGTAGGAAAGGTATATAGCCACTTCCACATTTATTTGTAAGATGTGCGAAGAACCTATTAGTAGATAAGGAAATACCATATATCACTAGCTCTCACATCCACCAAAAAAAAAAAAAGGTAGTTCATATGCACACTTAGCCAGCTGTTCCCTTAGCAAAAGCGCCTGCAATTTCAGTAAGACTCTTTTTTTCAGCAAGAAGCAATCCAAGTAAAATACGGGATTTCTGAGGATTAAGATAACCACTAGCGATGTGGGTAGAGCTGGTGCTGGCGATTTCTGCGTAAGGCACTTCACCACTGCCTGTACGGAAGCTCTGCACCACTGGGATGCTGTAATTGTTGACTACGTCTTCAATGGCATCGTTAAAACGTGTACTAACCCCACCGGCACCGGCTCCTGCGATCTTTTATAACCATCAGTTGCTCTTTCTGCTCTTTATTTTGCTCTTTGGATCAAAGCAAGAAACTCACCACTATTCCCTTCGCTCCACGGTTGACTGTGTCGTATATCGTCTCGTTCTGCATATCTTGGTACGAGTAGAGAATGTCCACCCTTGGAATTGAATTTATCTCAGAAATGTTGTAGGTGGACCTCCCAGTGGGTAGTGTCGGTGGAAAGAAAAAGTATGGTGTCCCACCAATGACCTGGCCAACGTTGCCCATCTCAACGGCTTTGAAGGTGTCCATGGTGTTTGCATTTGTCTTGGTAACGTAATATGTGGAGACAATTCGGTCATTCATAACAACAAGGGCGCCGCGGTTCCTTGCGTCTTTGCTGACCGCCACAGTGACAGATTCAATAAGATTATACGGTCCATCCGCGGAAATGGCAGACGCAGGGCGCATCGCTCCGACGATAACAACAGGTTTGCTGCAATTTAGGGTCGCGTCCAAGAAAAAGGCGGTTTCCTCCAATGTGTCGGTGCCATGGGTCACGACAGCGCCGGACATGGCGTCATCCTCGCAAACACATTGGTTGATCTTTTTAGAGAGGTCCAATAGGATGGTCGAGTTCACATCTTCGCTGCCAACATTTGAGACTTGGTCACCAACAACGTTGCTAATGTTCTTAATTGAGGGCACAGCATAAATAAGATCTTCAACGGAGAATACACCGGAAGTGTAGTTCGTGTTTGAGGAGCCATTTCCGGCGATAGTGCCACCTAAGAAGATGTTAGATGGTGTTGAGATTTACACGACTGCTTCGATGGCAAGAATACCGGTTGCAAAGATTGTTATGTTGGGTAGCTTGGGATCAAAATTCAAGAACGTTGTGTTGCAGGTCACATTCATATCCACAGCTCTTGGGAAGACATACGCTGCAGTCTCTCCGATAGCTGCTAGCAAAGCAGTGATCAAGATGGTCCGAAGGTAAAGCATGGCTGCTGTCATCAGGGACTCGTTGTCTAGCTAGCAATGATCTCAAAATGATTGTTCAACGACAGGCAAGATCAGTATGAGTGGTTAAATTATCTCCCTGCAGTGAACTGATGATTGACCGGCTATTTGTACTTATCCCTAGTCTTATATATTCTTAAATTTTCCTGTCAGCGTCACGTTTACATCATCCACTATATCTAAATCCATCCTCAATGAAAGGCCGGAAATCTTGAAAAGGCCATGCATTTATCCTTGGTAAAGGTGGCAAGCATATATCTAGCAAAATGGAAATCGTCCAAAGTATTAGCCATGTATGGAGGTCGATGTTCAACAGGCTGACGTAGTGGTTTCTAGTAACCTATCCTACTAGGCCAATTGGGATTTGCCGGATAGTTGTATAAAGATTTATTCGTTGGGTTGAAGTCATGATCATATTTCAATATTATAGAATCATACATTTACATCACCACTTACCACCTATTGCTAGCATACAGCTATTAAACCCTGCGGTATAGAGTATATACGTAGTAATAAAGTCCAAGAGTTAAACCCTTTCCACCATGGCGAAGAAACTCTGAATAAATTGACTAAGAGGGAGGGAGGTTCTAGACCAGATTCAACTTTTATAGCATGGATGTGAACAGCCGCATGCAGGCAATAGGTAATAATAAGTAATGATGTAAACTAGTGAGTTCTTCTAGTCATTGACCGCACATAATTTCTGAATATAATTGTCTGGTCAGTTCTGATTGAGTTTGGACAGCGCTAAAATGGTTCGTACTGATAGTAGAAAGTTGAATTTCCATTATTAGCAACATAACTGCTCTGGAACTTGAAGATATGGTGCTGTCACATTCTCCCCTGATTTGGATGGGTTTGGCTCCGGAACGGAGGGGCCTAGACTCCGAAGCCATAGAAGCAGTTGGAAGTAATAACTAGTGTCTGTGCAACAGCATTGTGTCCTAGATATGTCAAAGATACCCTGCATGTCCAGGAGTGCAGACAGCATTATTACGATGGTCCAAGAAGGCTCCTGATCATAGGCCCACAAGCGGGAGCTTTCAATCCCAAATATGTATGTCCAGGAATGAAAATCCAGTAACTTGAATCCCTGTTCATAGAACGGTTAACCATCCATAGTCCCGGCCAGACCACGGACCGTGGACCGTGAACCGGCTTGACCCACTGCCAACTGCCGTCCCGGACGGTCCGCTACCTACGTGGACTAGTGATCCGATGCTTATGGACCAATACTGACATGAAACCTACGACAGACGTTTTGAGTACTTCAATTCCTCCAGTCAAAGTTCACTACACCATCATACCATGTAATAGATACCAGTGTTTTTTCATCCATTACAAGCTTCCATCGAGGTCCTGGAATTCGTTTTTGGTTCATCCTCAATCGCGGCCTCGACCTATAGTCAAGTTTGGCCACATGTGTCCTCCATTCGCAGTTATAGGTCCAGAGACTCCAGACAATTCTTCAGTTGTTGATCCTAGCAGGCAGGTACACACCTCGAATAACTTGATCAACTGACGATTCTGATCTGCCCCATTTTACGGTCTCGGTATCATAAACTAATTCGTAGAATTGGTCCTGACTCCTGAATAGTGGCCTATATATCACATAATTCACATTCTCCTCCACCAAGTTTGATCTATGACTTCACAGGTCCTAGCGTTTTGATTACTAATCATCTTGAGGTTGTAATCACCTAACTGAGCCCTATATCAGTGTCATTTTCAGGGCGGATCGGGGCGGATTTTTGGGAGGGTTGCCCCAATCCAACCGGGGTTCAGGGTAGAGTTACATTTGGTGTGGTTCGGTGCGGATCTTGCGGTGCGGTTATGCCACTAGTTTGGGGGCTGACTTCAAAATCTGCCCTGAATCCAAATAGTCCGGGTGTGGCCGTTTGGGGCAGACTTTAGTGGGTCTTTTAAAGCTTGGTATAGCTGACCTATTTAGACAAGAAACTAAACCTATTGAAGTTAAATTAGCCTAATTTTAGGGCGGATTCCGGGTTCGAATCAAATCTATTTAGATATTTTATATTATATACTATATAGTCTTTTATCCTAGATATCAATCAAGATTCAAGAACTAGTATTGAGGATAAGGAATATCTATATATATTATCATTATATAATATAAATATACACCGAAAATATCACTATGTTCTTAAGCTATTAATCTTACATTTTTCACTCTTTGAATGTAGCTTACAATTTTTCTAATCCTTTATCTAGTAGGTCTGGATTTCCGGCTTGGAGCAGATCGAGTTCTCGAAATATAGACAGATTTAGCCAGATCTTGGCAGATCCTGTGCCCAGCCTCTAAACCCTGTTCTGGGTTTAATTATGGTTACTGTGCTGAAAGAGTGGTGTGTGCCTTTGATATAGCTAAGGCGATCACCGGACCCTCTGCCTAGCATAGGAAAATGGCCTTATGATGATTCGATGGCGGTCTATATCAAGTGAGAGATCAAATATGTATTCTCCATTTCATTCTTATTTAGTGCCCGACTTTCTCAGCATTAACTTCCTCTTACAGCTGGCTAGAGCCTAGACCTGGTTCTTGATATTCTGGAATGTGTTCTAGTACATCAAAATTGAGACCAGAAGAAAGGGGTAACAAAGTTAAAATCGCAACACGGTTTCGAGGTGTGCAATCCTAATAGGTGGCCGTACAGATTTCAATAACAGCATAAATGACCCTCGATATGTTTATATTGATCCTGGGAGACAAACAAGCAATATGCAAGACCAAAGAGAACCGCGTCCACCCTCGACCCCTGACTCTAATTCTCGGCACACTTGACAGTTGTCTGAAACAGATATAAGGCGTCACTTCATTTTAGACTGCCTAGCCATATCATACCGTCCAGACAGCCTTCCGGGACTGAGAGAGCAATATATTTTCCTTCATGAATTGATTAAGATTGCACTCAGGATAGAGTGAACTCCGTACCACGAGTGTAAGGTTAATCGAGGAGAGTACTGAGATATAACCATCAATCAGACAAACCGGTAAAAGATATTAATTTGCGGATGCTACATCCCTGGGCTTTGAGGCGAGGAGCTCTCGCTCTTTATTTTTCTCCGCAATGATTCTCCGTTCATTGGCAGCCCACACCCGTAGCTGAGTCGTATTTTGCAAGCACCATAAGACAACCTCGCGCGTCGCATAGGTATCTTCAACACAATCATGACCACTCTTTCCAGCTTGGATATCCCGGTCAAGGAACTGCCGAACGAGCGTCTTCAGGGCCCAGTGTCGCTGGCAGTCCTCACCCACCGCAACCCGCGTCATGGTAGCCGAGTCAACAACGCAGGTGTGTACCATGCCAAGAACAGCAAGGTCGTGATGAAGACTGTGCCCAATGAGGATTGTTTGCGCATCAATAAACCGCCATAGAAGATGCCTTGCAGCTCGCCAGCCGTTTATCAACTTCCCCTCCCGCTGTTTCTCCGCGAGAAGGAACGAATTGACACCGCTGAACTTCGTGCGCCAGGATATCACATGGCCTTGCGGAGAGACGTAGGTATCAAATATAATTTCGCCGCTTAGGAAATCGACCGCGCTAACACGAACAACCTCGCTGCATTCGCGGCCATTGGCTCCGAGAACCCCGACCATTTCACAATCTAGTACGATAGCTTTGTGTGCGCTCTGGTTGTATGCTGGTGTAGGCGCCATCATACCCAGTTTTGCATCGGGTGCTGCGAAGTTATGGACAGAGAGGACGGTACAGCCCTTTGAACTGCCGAGTTGCTTGCAGTTAACGCACAGCGTCGTCTTTGGAACTCGGCCCCGTATTATTCCTTGCTAGCAGTTACCCTGTTAATTCAGGGCTCAGATAGCAGAAGTATTTGTCCAGTACTCACGTGGAATGCCTTTCTTTCCGGATGAAATCGGCATACCGACTCCGCTGGGCCTCTGCTGATACTTCGCTTTGTAACTTATGATGATCATGTTAGCGTGAACCGCCCAAGCGGTCAAGCGGTCTTCTTACCTCTACAGCCATTACACTGTCTTGTCATGTCGACATCCGCGGGCGATGGCGTCTGGGTCCAGTATCGCTCCCCCGCCAGGCATTCAATGGGGTGGCATTGCGCTTGCAGGGCATCCAGCAATACATCACGCTCACTCACCGGGATCGCCGACCATGGTGCAGGGACTTCAGGTACGGCTGGTTTGGAGCGCGCGGAGTTTGTACCTTCCTCCTGACGATCCACTGATACCGGAGCAACCGGGTTATCGGCCCTCGCCTTGGCTGGGACTGCATCGAACAAAGTTATTCCCCCGGGGCCCACCAAAGAATCGGACGCAGTATGAAGCGCTGCAAGTGCGCTCCTGAGGCCGATTTCGATATCCGGATCACCCTTCGAAAACGATGTTGGCGGTGCGTATAGCCCTCGGCGTAGTTGTGGGAGTGGACGTGGTTGATCCTCCAAGTTTGCTAGCGGCTCTTCAACGTTGTTATTCTCCTTTGCGGAGATTCTGTCTACTTCTACCTCGGGCGCTCTTACCATTTCGGCCTTGCAATTTAGGTTTGAGGCTGGGATTTTTGCTATGTTGGATGAAAGTCTTTGTGAAGCATCTGGGAGGGTCCTATGCTTCGGGGAATCCCTCTTATGTTTCCACAATGCTGTTTTGTTTACGAACTGTCTGTCGCAAAGCTTGCACCTGGACCCTTTGTTTGTTGAAAAGACCTTCAACTCATTCGTGCTAGGTGCCGCAGACGGTGGGGCTAAATACGAATCAATTACCCAGTCTTTCCATTAATCTAGAAATTGGACTGGACCCAGGAAACTTACCCGAGGTTTCCTCTCGATGCGCTTTTGAGCTTCGACAATGCATGCGTAGAGCGTCTGGAGTGACGAAGGTTTTCTGGCAGATATAGCAGTAGAAAGTCCCTCCACCGCTGGAGGGTAAATCTGTCGTTTGTCTTCTTTTATGCATCTTGTACAGCAAATCGCAGCCTTTCGAATTTCTTGGTATCGTAGGGTACACTTCAGCGGCCGGTGGTTCCTGTCCCGGCCAGAAGAGAATCGTGTAATTATATACCTTTGCGACACCACACGGTAACCCAGGAGATAACACTCGAGGCTGACAGAATATTCTTTTTGGGCATTGCAGATCAACTTACCCCGCCTCGTAAGTTGACACCGTATCCAATCAAGTCACAGCCACGCGTATGACGCAAAGCCTTTCCTGCACGCTATGGCGCAGCATCGGGGTGTTATTGGCGCAGAGCACCTGCAGTATTGAGCTGTCGTGTCTATTCTGTCTTGAGTCAGCGCGTGTTCGCGGCTTAGCTCACCGTATAGGAGTGCCTCCTATTGTCATCAGTTCCAAATATCGAAGGTTCTATCAGCACACTACTTGTTATCTTGGGTTGTCTACGTTCGCCTAATTAGGGCGCAGGAGCTTCTACCGCGGAGGAAGTTGTTAATATACATAGAGACCCGAAGGGTTAATTTAAGGGGGCAGTCGCAAGCCTATATGACACACTGAGCCGGCCGCCCGAACTCATTAGGTATACATAGGTCCAACTGACCATTGTATTAAGAACCGCCATACTTGAAGAACTTGAAAGTATCTCTGAATGTCTAAGCTGTTTTTTTGTGTTTATCAATATTGAATAATAGAACTATATAGGATACTTGACCTCATTATATCTATGAGTATTTGATTAGAATATTGAAAATTGAACATATAGATTGAATACATCTTAGTACATGTCAAGATCGAGATAGGAAATCTGTCACGGCGCGGCGTACGCTGATTATCCCCTCTCAGTCATCTTTCCACGGTATCCATTAATAAAACGCGAACTGTCATTCAAATATCTGGTGCATAAGGTCTCCTCACTGGACACTAGTGTCTCTCTACGCTATAAATCACTTATCAATTCTACGAATTGTTCCTCCCAGTCCTCTTCATCATTGGAAAATTGGGGAGGCTTTCCCCATTCAAGGTGAGATTGATCTCCTTCAGCCCACCAACCTTTGGCTCCTTCCCTAAACAGCCGCCGTCTCTTCACCATCGACGCAATCGTGGCGTCCTTCCGTCGCTCAAGTTCCTCTTCATCAGGAAGCGGTGGTAATGTGAACGGTTGAGAGTAAATGCCCGACTCATTGAGACGCGCATTATCCCACATGACGTAGCCCCATGCGCGCAACTCACGGCAATGGACACTCCAAACAAATTGCTCCGAGTTCAGGTCTAAGTGCGACCACCTCCATACCTCAGCGGCTCCTGAATCGGGCTCTCGTAATTCGGGGATGTGCAATAGCTTGGCTTGTTCGAAAGTATACTCTTTCAGAGGAGTTGAGTTTTGAACTCCTCCCAGGAAAATCCATTGAAGCAAGCCGGGTAAAAAAGGATATGACCCTTTGAGCTTGCGGTTAAAATGTCGCTTGCGTTGTTCGTACGTTGGTGCTGTGGTGGCTTCGAGAATAAACTCTAAGCCGTTGGAAAGCTTTGGATCATTAGACCAAGTATCGGTTATTGCTCATGGAGATGATCTTACCAGCCCTGGTATGTAACCATATCTCTGATTGAACTCCCAGGCATCATTCATGCCATAATTTATCCCTGAGCTTCCCCAGTCCACATCATGCCCAGCAATCTCGTTGAAGGCTATATAAAAAAAAATCCCATGAGCATCTTCGTTAAAGATACATTGCCGGAAAGCCAGAAGAGAACTTACGGACAGCGGTCCTTCGAAACAGATATTCACCGGCCGTGGCAAGCTGTTCCAATTCCCAAACAGCATAGTTCTTGTAATAGACGTCCCACTGCTCTTCTTCCTGGAAATCAGGTGAGAGCTTTGGCCTTTCAAACCTATCACCATAGTCACAGTCATCTCTCTTCCTGAAGAGATGTCTATACACCTCGAGTCGGTAGAAACTCCTTGCCACCCGGTTCCATTCCTGCGAGGACGGTGGACATTGCGGCAAGGCAGGATTACTTGACAGGGCGGCAGTAATGAGGTCCGATGTGAAAGTTTCGACGGCCTGATATAACTTTTGCATGGAAAACGCGTCATTCAGGGGGATAGATTTTGGGATTTCATAATTCTTGTGTCGGTCCAATATGGCTAACACCTTCTCCCGCGTCCAATCTTGGGTCGTGGCTCCACGGGACCATGTCCAGCCCTCAATAGATGAGGCATCGAGGGCAAACGCAGCATCGGGGAGTAAGTCATGAGGGATCACATTCATCAACACTTTAATAGTGATCAACTCTTTTCCATTGTGAAAATCAGAATAAATACTTGAGTGCGAAAGGATTGCGGCTTTCAGCGTGTGTAGATCTGGAAGATGACAGAGAATGGCTTGCTTTACCTCAGTTGGCAAAGAACATAAGCATGGTCGAGAAACCAGATCGGTGGAGTCCATGTTGGTTGCGACTATACCCCGTCTATATTGTAGAATCTGACTATGAGGAAGGGTCTATGAGGTTCTTGGTAGATAAGGAAACCGAAGACAGGCTGCTGTCTATAAGCGCCGCGGGGCATACTAACTAAAGATGGAGCGGGTACTACTGGAGCAGAGGATGCGTGCTGAAACGGAAGCATAGCCGAATAGACCTTGGTTCACCAACTTGAGCGTAAGATCTGAAGCTCTTCAGGCGGTTACTGCCCACATATGCCTCATTATTTGCTTTCCTCTGTCGATGCAAGCCATGTTCCATGTACATTAGACCACACCATAGTTCCTTGGCACCGTGAAACCCCAATGCTTTCTTTCCCGTCAATCATTTCTGACCATCCTCCTCCTTGATTTTCAGAGCGGATCTTAAATATGAACTCTGTTGTTGCCTCACGACTCAAACCACTGAGCTATCTTTGAGAAATTATTGCAACCTGCAGGGTGCCCTATTGTCTGGCCAATATTTATCAATAATAAGTTTTTTATCTACCAAACTTAGGAGTATGACGTAATTTCTACTGAGTTAGCAATTAACATGATTACCAACACCAATAATCTGACTGAATGTGGCAGTACCATCCTTCACTGACGAATTAGCCTCAGTGCTTTGAGGTTGAACAGAAGATATGACAATCAAGGTGACGATGTCAAAGCTAAGGGGGGCTGTTTATCTATTCCTTTCGGGTAGCGCCTCTTGTTTGGCTGATGGCGCCTCTCCAAATTGCGTAAATGCGACTTTCTAGTCGTTCAGCTGAAGATATTCAGGCAGGTAAAGAGCGGACTGAAGAAGGCGCCGAAGCGCGCACGACCAAGCCGGTAACGCTCGGTGACCACAGCCATACTTGTGCTGGTGTAAGTTTTTTTTTCATCTTTGCAAATGATTTTTTGAGTTCCAGTCTGAGTGCCTCATATCCTACCCGATCGTGCCGACCAGTTCATGCTAGATGGTTGTGGCGCAATATCATGGTGGGGTGTTATTGTCAGATGTGATCCCTGACTCGGCATCAACAACATCTGCTAATGTGTGCGACAGCACTGTCTGATATCCGATGATCCAGCTTCCCGGATAATCTGTTGATGGAAGGGGATACACAATCATTCAATCCCAACTGGACGGCTCAGCCGAGGCACACGACCTGCCTGTGCTAGAGACAGTACGGACGATATTGTTGACTCAATCAACAGCACACGGTGATTACCATAGGTGATGTTAGATTTTAGGCCTGATAGAGAGCAATAGCATCCTTGAAGCACCCATGCCTGGCGTGCAAAATCTGCCGGCTATCCGGCTCCACCATGATTAGTCGTGTCTCATCGGAGCTAGACTTCCCTCGGGATTGGCCGCACTTATCATATTGCAGGGAGTGGAGTGGGCCGTGGCTTCTTGCACACAAAGTGACCTCCCCAAACCGTGTGCGATCGCGAGGTCGAGATCTGATCACCCTATCATGGCCATTGTTGAAGCAAGACGACATAAATGTGGACCACGGCGCAGCCGAGGTGCCACTCGCCCATAGAATCCATCCAGGGCTTGGCTATCAGTTTCAACGGTTGGGAAATTCTAGAATCTATGTTCTATCGTGATTCTTGTTTTTAGAAGAAAGAGGATTTTCTATCCTCTCCATCGCCCCCAGACCCAGTGCTGCATCTAAACACAGGCGACCGTCGCCCTTTGGGACACAACCACCCCAGTTGACGTATCGATACTACTGATCGACATCTTGTGTGACTACACTGCATCGATTCCCCCCTTCCCTCACCATGGTGGAAATTCCAGAGCCGAGTGGCCTCCCGTTCTTTGGGAATATTGGCTCCATCGACCAGGAATTCCCCCTGGGTTCCATGGTCGGTCTGGCCGACGAATTAGGTGCGTGTCCAGATTGAATTCAAGCGCCTCGCTCCCGGCTAATGGCCCATCAACCAGGCGAGATCTACCGTCTACGCTTCCCCGGACGCTCGGTCGTGGTCGTCTCCACTCACGCCTTGGTTGATGAGACCTGTGACGAGAAACGGTTCAAAAAATCCGTTAATTCGGCGCTATTGGTGAGAGAGATGGGTGATTCCATGACGCTTTTCAGGTCGGCAACTGACCTTAACGGCAGCATATTCGCGATGGCGTGCATGATGGATTGTTCACCGTGAGTTAACCCCCTGGAGTAGACCGCATCTGTTCCCATCGTGCTGACTGTGACCCATGATAGGCAAAAATGGGCGAGGTCAATTGGGAGGTTGCCCATCGGGTCTTGATGCCCGCGTTCGGCCCGCTGTCAATTCGGGGAATGTTTGACGAGATGCACGACATCGCCAGCCAGCTGGCCCTGAAGTGGGCGCGATATGGGCCCGACGCCCCCATCATGGTCTCGGATGACTTCACCCGCTTGGCACTCGACACCCTCGCCCTCTGCTCGATGGGGTACCGATTTAACAGCTACTACTCCCCTACGCTGCATCCGTTCATCCAGGCCATGGGGGACTTTCTGACCGAAGCCGGGGGGAAATCGCGGCGGCCCCCGTTGCCGGGCGTCTTCTTCCGCGCCCGGGAGCAAAAATTCCAGGATGACATTGCCGTGCTGCGCGAGACGGCCCAGGGAGTACTCACGGCCCGCAAGGCGGGCCAGAGTGATCGCAATGATCTGCTGGCAGCCATGCTGCGGGGGGTCGACGCGCAAACTGGCCAAAAGATGACCGACGAAAGCATCATGGATAACCTGATCACTTTCCTCATCGCGGGCCACGAGACCACGTCTGGCCTGCTGTCATTTGTGTTTTACCAGCTTCTGACCCACCCGGACACCTACCGCAAGGCCCAGCAGGAGGTCGATGCGGTGGTGGGCCAGGGAGTAATTGATGTATCCCACCTGTCGAAGCTGCCCTATATCAACGGGGTCCTCCGCGAGACCCTGCGACTCAATGCCACCATCCCGCTGTTTACCGTGGAGGCGTTCGAGGACACGCTCCTCGCGGGCAAATACCCGGTGCGGGCGGGGGAGACCATCATCAACCTCCTCGCCAAGTCGCATCTGGATCCGGCCATCTACGGGGATGACGCGGGGTCCTTTCGCCCGGAACGCATGTTAGACGAGGAATTCAACACGCGCCAAAAGTCATTCCCCAACGCCTGGAAACCGTTTGGGAACGGCATGCGGGCCTGCATTGGACGCCCGTTCGCCTGGCAGGAAGCCCTCCTGGTCATGGCCATGCTCCTCCAGAACTTCGATTTCTCGCTGGAACCCGACTACCAGCTCCACATCAAGCAGACCTTGACCATCAAGCCCAAGGACATGGTTATGAGGGCGACCCTGCGCCACGGACTGACCCCGACCACTCTAGAGCGCAGGCTGGCGGGGCTGGCGGCCGAGGCGACACAGTCCCAGACCCCTGCCGAATCGGCCGCGGGCGCGCAGACCGGAATCCCCTTGACCGTCTTATACGGGTCCAATAGTGGCACGTGTGACACCCTGGCCCGGCGCATTGCCGTCGACGCTCCGTCGCGAGGCTTCCGAGTCGTCCAGTGTGACAGCCTCGATCGCGCCCGTGATGCGCTCCCTCGGGGGGCGCCGGTCGTCATCGTGACCCCGTCGTACGAAGGACAGCCGCCGGACAATGCCAAACAGTTCGTGTCGTGGCTGGAAGGTCTGAACCATCATGATAAGCCGCTCAAGGACGTCTCCTACGCGGTCTTTGGCTGCGGAAACAAGGAATGGGCACAAACCTTCCACCGAATCCCCAAGCTAGTGGACTCCACGCTTGAACAGCTGGGAGCCACCCGCCTGGCGGGCTTGGGACTCACCGATGTCGCGTCCGACGAGTTGTTCTCCACCTTCGAGACATGGGCGGAACACACACTGTGGCCGCAGCTGATGGCACGATACACCGCGGGGACGATCCCGCCGAGTGTGTCCGCGCCCCCGGAAGTAGGCGTCGAGGTGACGATGTGCAAGTCGCGCACCCAAGTGTTACGCCAGGATGTGGGTCAGGCCACCGTCGTCGACACCCAGGTCCTGACCAGTGAGGTGGCAAAGGAGCGCCGAAAGATCCATCTCGAGATCCGCCTGCCGGACGAACTCCGGTACAGCGCGGGTGACTACCTCGCGATTCTTCCTATTAACCCCCTCGAAACCGTGCGCCGGGCTATGCGACAGTTCAAGCTGCCCTTGGACGCACAGATCAAGATCGCTGCCTCCAGTCTGACCACTGCCCTACCGACAGACCGACCAGTGGCAGCCAGCGACATCCTGAGCTCTTACGTGGAGCTCTCCCAACCCGCTACGCGCAAGGTAAGATAGGCAGAGCCCACTGAACACGGTAAAGGCTAACTTGCATCGTCTGTAGGATCTCAAAACAATGGCCGGTGCCACGACGGACGCGGATACGAAGGTGGCTCTGGATGCATACGCGAATGAAACTTATGCCGACGACATCCTCGCCAAGAGTGTCTCCATCCTGGACATCCTGGAGCAATATCCAGCAATCGATCTGCGACTGGGATCCTTCCTGCTCATGCTACCATCCATGAGATTGCGACAATAGTCAGTGTCATCCTTGCAATCCCATGATCACGGTCTCGTACTAATGTTCGAATGCAGCTCCATCTCCTCGTCGCCCCTCTGGAACCCCAAACACGCCACCATCACTCTGTCTATCCTCGACGCACCCTCTCGCTCCAGTCAAGGGGGACATCGCCACCTTGGTGTGGCATCCTCCTATCTCGATTCCCTTCGTCCTGGCGACATCGTACAAGTCACGACCCGCCAATCTGGCGGGGGCTTCAGCATGCCCGACAAACTCGACCGAACCCCGATGATCTGTATCGCGGCCGGCACCGGCCTTGCGCCCTTCCGCGGCTTCCTCCAGGAGCGAGCCGCCCTGTTGCAGCAGTCGAAGACACTTGCCCCTGCACTCCTCTTCTTTGGGTGTCGCGCCCCGGGACAAGATGATCTGTACCGTGCGCAGCTCGAGGAGTGGCAGCGACAGGCTGTGGTGGATGTACGATGGGCGTTTAGCCGGGCGGCGGACAAGAGTGAAGGCTGTGCGCACGTCAACGATCGCATCTGGCACGACCGTAAAGACGTATCAGAGCTCTGGCGCAACGGTGCAAAGGTGTTTGTATGCGGGTCGAGGGGGGTGGCCGATAGCGCCAAGGGAGCGATCCTCCAGATCTTCCGCGAGGAGACGACGGGGAGGGAGGGAGATGAGAGCCCAGTGGACGGGTCAGACGAGGATCGTGCGGAACAGTGGTTCCAGGAGCAGAGGAATGTTCGATATGTGATGGATGTGTTTGATTAGCGGGCTCATTACGGAGCTTTAATGAGAGCCTTGCAGTAGATAGGGATTCTCAATCGCGGAGAAAACAACATGGTCCATAGAAGGGAAATGGCTATCTAACGATCTCCTCGGCGAAGGTGTCTGCCTTCATGTCCGCAGTATTTATTTTACATATTCAGGAGCAAATTACCAAGGAATGGTGGACTTGGTTATATGATCTCAGTCACTGCGAAGTCAAGTTGGGTTGTAAATTTTGGATAATATCTCACTATTAGGAGCCATACAATTCTGCGGCTTCTGTTTGCGAAGTATTGTGCTATCTGTTAGTAGTTTTCTTTCTTATCCTTATTTTTCCCTCTTTGTTTTGGTTCCTCCATCTGGAATAAGCATTGTTGATACATGAAAACTATACTCTGTACGCAGTATATATATCGACTATCGAGATCTTGATAGTTGCTTGAGAGTGTACAACAAAATCAATAGAAATCCGTACAATACCAATAGTTGAATTATGGAAAAGACCTCAATATAAAGAGGGATATTATAGCTAAGTTTGTACAAGAAATCGAAGGGTTCATTCTACCTGTCTAAACCAGTGCCTTCGAAGACTGGCAATAGTGAATCCCCCGATCCACTATCCCTTTCGCGCGCTACAGCCAACCAGGATGATTGTATTGTGGAAAGTGTTCCTAGCCCATTACTCCTTTGAGCATAGTCAGGTACCATGCGTCATTCCATGTCAGTCTCCGTTTCTATTAGGGTCGGTCCGTGTTTTGGGCTGATTACCCCGCCTTGGCTCATTTCGTTTGAGATTCTATCCTCAGTCCCGTACACGACTTCAAGGAGATCATGTACTCCCAAACATGGTGGGCAGTGTGATGCTCACAAATTCCTTATTATGGCATTACCCCATTGACCGGTGGTCTCATGGCGATGATGATACGTCAAGGTTGACATTGGAGTACGGGGTCTGGAATGGACACCGTCCGTCCAGTCCGGATCCAATTCGGTAAAGCCCCTAGTGGCGCCCTTGGTCAACTCTTGGTTCTGTTCAAACACACGCACCGTTTTGATCGCGCGATCGGCATGTTTCTGATTGTGGTTCCTTGGTAATGAATAGGGTGTTTTGAGATGTCTGGGGCAGCCAAGAGCCAAGGCGGACCATTCTCCGTGAAGACTCAAGCTAGCGTGACTTTCGAATATAATAGGCCCGCATCATCCAGCTATTAATTATCTTGTTGGTAACAGCTTGATCGTGCGCTGCGCTGGAGAATTAAGAAACCATACATCCATCATGCGATTCGATCTCTCGGCCCTCGCCGTGGCCTCCCTTCTCCCCCTGGCGTGCATGGGCAGTCCCGGCCGTCGTCAGGCTGCCAAGGGGTTTGTTACCACCTCCGGGACGAAGTTCCAACTCGATGGACAGGACTTCTATTATGCAGGCTCCAACGCGTACTATTTCCCGTTTAGCAAAGTGCGTCCACTTCCCAGTCCGGGCGGGATCGGTAGGATATCGAGTGAGCGATGACGGTTGCTGACCGCGGCAATAGAACCAAACCGACGTCGAGCTGGGCCTCACGGTAGCAAAGCAGGCGGGCCTAAAGGTATTTCGCACCTGGGGATTTAATGACCGGAACGCCACCTTTATCGATGGTGGCCTGCCCGACTATGGAGGCGAAGGGGCCGGTCCCACCGACGTCGTCTTCCAACGGTGGTCGAATGGCACGTCCACCATCGACCTGAAGCCGTTTGACAAGGTGGTCCACGCGGCGGAGCAGACGGGCATCAAGTTGATCGTCGCGCTCGTCAACAATTGGGCTGACTACGGCGGCATGGACGTCTACACGGTGAACTTGGGCGGCCAATATCACGACGACGTGAGCTGCACTCCGCTCCCCAGGGACCCCCTGCTAACCCTCGCGCCAGTTTTATCGAGTGCCCAAGATCAAGGCCGCCTACAAGCGGTACGTCAAGGAGTTTGTCACGCGGTACCGCCATTCCCCCGCCATTATGGCCTGGGAGCTGGCGAATGAGCCACGCTGCGATGCCGACGGCGAGCGAAACCTCCCCCGCAGTCCCGAAGGATGCACCCCGGAGCTCATGACCGAGTGGATCGACGAGATGAGCACCTACATCAAGCAGCTGGATCGTCGCCACCTGGTCACCTGGGGCGGCGAGGGCGGCTTCAACCGCGAGTCGGACGACTGGGCGTACAACGGAGAGAACGGCGGCGACTTTGACGGGGAGTTGGCCCTGCCCAACATTGACTTCGGGACCTTCCATTCCTACCCGGACTGGTGGACCAAGACCGTGAAATGGACGGACAAGTGGGTGCGCGACCATGCCGATGCCATGCACAAGCAAGGCAAGCCGGTCGTCCATGAGGAATACGGTGAGTGACATCCACCCCCCCCCCCCGACGGGCGGACAATCCAGGACTCACTGTGCCACAGGATGGCTCACCCCCGAGGCCCGGCGGGAGAATCTTGGGACCGTTTCCAACATTACCCGCATCCAGGCCGTGGGCGGTTGGCAGGCGATCAGTGTGGAGGAGAAGATGCCGGACCTGTTTTGGCAATTCGGGTATTCAGGGTTCTCCTACGGCAAGAACCATGACGATGGTTTCACGATCTTCCTGGACAGGTAATTCCTCCCATCTTCTCTAATGATGAGCATCGACTGACCGGTCGATAGTCCGGAGGCCAAACAGCTAGTGTACCGGCACAGCAAAGCGATGGACCAGCTGAACCAGCGCTAGCGGGGTGTCCGTGTGGCTGGTTGAGTCCCCTTTAGGGGTAACACGGTGCTATCTGTCAATGTCGCTGTATTTATCTAAGAGGTATATCTCGAGCCAATTGAATGTATAACACTAAAGTACTGTATCATCATGCTTTGACTCCATAGAAAGTAGGGCAAGACATCCACGTGGGAGGAGTGGGGGTCCTGATAGGCCAGGCATCCCCTGCGGCCCCAACCCTAATTATATCCTTCCCATGGCAGCTGAGACTTCCAACGTATGAGTTGATATACTGTCAGGATCAGTGAAGGAAATTGACCCTGGTCTGCTCAAGCCACAATCGGTCCAGGCTTTGTGGAACCACGAATCAGGTAGTTGCACTGCACAACGTGTCTAGTATCGAGGAACGTGGGTTATCTTATGACGCTGTGACCGCTGTGATGAGAGCTCTAGTCATAACACCTAACAAATATTCTTCTGAGTCTAGATAGGGAGAGCCTGGGGGTATATTACACTTGGCATCTGCTGCCCAGCTCCTTGTCTTCCCTCTGTCAACCCACAGTCCAACACCAAAGTGTCGTCTTGAAATACCAAAATACCGCCAAGATGGTGCTCTCCGACTACACGTACGTCTTCGTCATCGGGACGCTGTTCGCCATGTTGGATGCATATAACAACGGTGCCAGTAAGTGTACTATGGGGAGGACCCACCGGGAGGGCGAGCTGACCGTTTCCAGACGATGTGGCCAATGCCTGGGCTACGAGTGTGTCGTCGCGCTCCATCTCGTACCGTCAGGCCATGATCTTCGGGACGGTCTTCGAACTCCTCGGGGCCATCACGGTAGGGGCCCGGACCGCGGACACAATCAAGAATGGCATCATCCCCAACTCCGCCTTCCGCGACAATGCCGGCGTGCAGATGTTGGCCTTCACCTGTGCCTTGGCCGCGGCCTCGACGTGGGTGATGTGGTGCACTCGTCACTCCGCCCATGTTTCCTCCACGTACTCGCTCATCTCCGCCGTCGCTGGGGTTGGAGTGGCGACTGTCGGTGCATCGCAGGTAAACTGGGGCTGGAATGATGGAAAGGGTCTGGGGGCCATCTTCGCCGGGCTGGGCATGGCACCAGTGATCAGTGGGGGCTTCGCTGCAACTATCTTCATGCTGATCAAGCTGGTGGTCCATGCGCGCAGGAACCCTGTCCCGTGGGCGGTCTACACTGCGCCGATTTGGTTCCTCATCGCGGCCACCATCTGCACGCTATCCATCGTCTACAAGGGCTCGCCGAACCTGGGGTTGAGCAAGAAACCTGGCTGGTATATCGCTGCTGTCACCATGGGCACCGGCGGGGGAGTGGCGATCCTGTCCGCCATCTTCTTTGTGCCCTTCGTGCACGCCCGCGTCGTCAAGAAAGATCCGGGGATCAAGTGGTATATGTTCGTCCTGCGCCCACTACTTTTCCACCGTCCCACTCTACCGGACGCCGACTGTGCCAAGATTCCCAACTATGCCGTGATCCAGGAGGATGAGAGCCTCACAGCCGCGGGGACCCCTTCATCGGAGGCGCAATCCCACGATAGTGGGTGCCACCCCTCCGAACTGACTATCCCCGAGGCTGCCGAATACACGGAGAAGGGCCTTGTCGGGTCTACGGCAAGGGTGTTGACCTACCAAGAGATCATGCAGGAGAGCGAGCGCAGGCTACAGCACCGGCTGCTGGAAAAACGCGGTCCTATGGGCTGGGCTATGCGCACCCTGCGCGACAATCCTATGGGGCCCGGTCGAATGTACGAACTGCACAACATAAAAACCGCTCTCACACGCCTCCCAGCCACGATCGTGTGTGGAGCACTCTACGGCTTACACTACGACATCCATGCCGCCCAATCGGGCATCGACGGGACCCCCGAGGGGGCGCGCATGCAGCGAGTCTACGCCCATGCCCAGAAGTACCCCAACGAGGTTGAGCACACGTACTCATTTGTCCAGATTTTGACGGCATGCACCGCCTCCTTCGCCCACGGTGCGAACGACATCGGCAATTCTGTGGGCCCCTGGGCTGTGATCTACTCGGCATGGTCGACGGGCGATGCGGCGGCGTCCACGGCACCGGTGCCCGTGTGGCAGCTAGCCGTGCTGGCAATCATGATCTCTCTGGGACTGGTGACGTATGGGTACAACATTATGAAAGGTAATCCTCCCCAACACCCAGGACAAACAGAGTCTGTCTGACCCAGTATCTAGTGATGGGGAATAAGATCACCTACCACTCGCCCAGTCGCGGTTCCTCCATGGAGATGGGGGCGGCCATCACGGTGCTCGTCTTCTCGCAGTACTCGCTGCCGGTGTCGACATCGATGTGCATTACGGGGGCGACGGTTGGTGTGGGCCTTTGCAACGGCACGGTGAAGGCTGTCAACTTCCAGCGGGTCGGGCTATTGCTGCTGGCATGGATCATGACCATCCCGATTGCCGGTACCTTGGGAGGGATTACGATGGGATTGTTCCTTAATGCTCCCCATTTCTTGTAGTTTCTTCGTCGCTCAAGCGTGCGATTGTTTGTTACAAAGTTGTGGCCATGCAAAATTGTCCGAATGGGTCTAATGGCTCAGTTTATTCCAAATGATATTCACGCTTTCAAGGCTTTCACGCCATTTGCGATATCCGAAACTAACTAGCTATGACAAGGTCTGATCTGTGTATGCCGCCAATCCCGCTTACCAAGGAACCTGCGCGCCATCATATCGGTTAAGACCCTCGGCGTCTTCCCACCCAGCGACACGAATATTGAAGAATTTCCCCGTATCAGCAGCGGACTTGTGGAAGATGATATCCAACACTGCGTTGGCACTCTGTTCCGCGGTCAAGTCCGCGCCTTCGCCCCCCAGATCTGTCTTAACCCACTACTCGTCGGTCAGCACGGTTGAGGTCACGTTGCTAGGGTCTAGAAATGACATACCCCGGGGGAGACGGCTATAAATGTGAACCCTTGGTCGATGAGCGACTGGGCATACTGAACTGTCAACATATTGAGGGCGGCCTTCGCGATCTTGTATGCGGGGACAGTGAATAACTGGTACGTGGCGGCCATGCCAATCGATCCCACAGTCGTCGATCTATCCCGGTCAGCACTGACGGACGAGGTATCAGAAGCGTTCTTACACGTTGACCACCTTCTTGAGGGTGCCCGTTTTCAGCAATGGGAGAAGACTCTGCGTCACCAGGTGAACACCGGTTACGTTGATGTGGAAGGTGGAGTCAAGATCGTTCCTGAAAGTATGGTTAGGAGAGAGACTAGGAAGACGAGTAAGGGTCAATATACATGGCCTCGATTCCACCCACTGTCCAGGGCATAATGCCGGCGTTGTTGATCAGCACGTCGAGGCCTTTACCGTCCAACGCCTCGGTCACTTGGGCGGTTGCCCGCTCAATGCTCTCCTTGTCGATAATGTCAAGCTGCACCCAGCGCACGCGGTTTTCTGCAGTCGCGATGAGCTGCTTCAGTTCGTCGCTTTCTGTACGGGCGGCAGCAAACACCACAGACATTTCCGACGATGGCTTAGATGCGAGGATATGGACTATCGCAAGACCAATGCCGCGGGAGGCGCCGGTGATTAAATAAGATGCCATCGTGAGGGTGGTTCTGGGGTTTCAATGATATCGCATAAATTTGAATGCCTAGTGTGGACACGAGGACGAGGACCTCATCCAGATATATATACAGCCTCGTCCAGTGACCAACAAGCTAGTCTATTGCTTTGAAATCAGCGGTTGACTTATAAATCAAAGGAAATCAGTTAGTCCCTAACTTCACCGCGCCTGAAGGTTCTCGCAATTGCAAGATTACAAATGGAGCCAGTCGTGTTCTTCCCAACTGTTTCATATTTCAAAGTTATATCCAGTCGTAGGGGATAGAGCACGGGTGCGTGATGGTGTCATATCTCCAAAAAGTACAAACAATGGTTAGATCGACCGATCATTAGACGAACACACCAATGACGACGCGCTGGACCGTTCTTCGCCTTGCTGATGGGTTTGGCTTAGGTGGGGCCGCACAAAGCGACAGGCTGACCGAATGTTACCATGTCGTTGAAACCAGGGACGGCTCGCAATGTCATAGGACGTATGTTGAGCCAGCGAGCGGGGCGAACAGGTTAGTGAGATGCCACCCCAACCTCATCGTGGCCATCGGTCTATGAGCACTAAGCATCTATCGGTGGCCGGCCGATCCACTATGAGATGGTCTGAGAAGGGGGGCTAGCAGGGAAATTACATATAGTTGGTCATTTTCATCCTTATATACATCTATACTTTAAAACGGATGTCGTCCCACTCTAATCTATTGTGCTTGTTTCTCGCCCTCTTCGACCGATGGAGTCGTGCGCTTCACCTTCGTCTTAACCAGATACACCAGACTAGTGGCCACTCCCAGCCCCGCAAGTCCAATTCCCATATACAGGGCCGCCCGATAGCCGAACAATTTGTCGTGGAAGTTTTTCCCTCCTCGGTTGACGTGTACCTCGACGGTGCCCGCGAAGCCCAACCCCAAGGAGATGCTGTAGTTGACGACGGTGGTGACCAGCGACGCGGCGATGCCCTGGTGGTGGCGCTCGACGGCATCAGACAGCAGCACGGTGCTCGCAGGAAACGACATGTCCATCCCCCACGGGGTGATGACGAGGGACACGAACGTCAGGGCCCAGTAGGTCTGCCCGACGGGCGCGATGGCCAGGAACACAACACCCAGGGCGAAGGCGACCATGGACATGAGCATAATCCATGCAGGGCGCAGACGGCCCATGAGATATCCGGTGGTGAAGGCGGCGATCAGGCCGGAGATGCACGGGGGGGCGAACTGCGCGGCGGACAGCAAGGGGGTGTTCCCCCGGATGTGCTCGAGGAAGAGCCAGAAGTAGTAGACCCAGATGCCGAAGCTGCCCCAGCCGCAGGCCATGCAGCCCAGGACGTAGAGGACGTCGAGGGACAAGGCGTGCAGCGGGATGAGCGGGTGCGTGGCGATCCACAGCTCCCAGGCGAAGAAAAGGGCCAGCAGCACGGCCCCAATGATGAGCACAACGTAGACGTAGACCGTCGTCCAACCGGCCACGGGGCCCTGACACCAGGCGACATTGATAAGGACGAGCCCGCCGACGCCGAGAACGGCCCCTATGACGTCGAGCTGCTGGATCCAGTCCTTCACGGTGCGCGGGGGGTGCTCCGGTTCGTGGTAGATGGGAGGGATAACCATGCATCCCACGACGGCGAAGATGGCGCAGGCGATGGCACAGGCCCAGAAGGTCCACGGCCACCAGGCCAACTGGCTGAACAGGGCCGCGAAAACGCCCCCGATGATAGCCCCGTTGGGCGCGGTCGCGCCGAACAGGGAGAAGACCATGTTCTTCTTGGTGCCCGGGGGGTACGTGGACCCCAGGATGGCGAGCGCGTTGGGGAGCAGCATCGCCGGGCCCAAGCCCTGCAGGGTACGGGCAAAAATGAAGAGGATGTGGTTGCTGTAGACACTAAGCCCGGCGACGATCGACCAGAGGGAAAACCAGGCGAAGCCGAGTATGAACACGGGGCGATAACCGATCAGGTCCCCGAGGCGGCCGAAAAACAGGATGAAGGTCCCCGAGGTCAGGGAATACCCCGCGATGAACCAGCTGAGAATGCCGTCGTTGTGGACGCCCAAATCCTCGCCGATGATGGTCAGCGGCGCGAGGGTAGAGCCGAGGCCGGCCTGGGTCATGAACTGGGCCATGCACGCGATGAAGACGAAGACGGCCTCGCGCAGGGGGCCCATGCTTTTGACGGCGGGCCAGGTCGTCTGAGTCCGTTGCACATCGAGATCCTGTCCGCCCCCTTTGTTGTCCGTGTCGACGTCAGTCATCTCGGCGGCTGAGGGCGATCACTCAGGGGGAGGGGGGATCGTGAGGGAAAGTCGTCGACGACAAGGCACGGCCAAAACTCTGATGAAGAGAGGAATGCGCCAATCCAACCAGGAATCGATCCTCCGGTTGGGGCGTCGACGCTATTAAATATAAGTTTAGACCCAGTCCGCCCTCACGCCGGGAGAAAGCTTGTTGACTGGGATGGCTCATGAGAAGCCGGCGGCAAGACCTGCACGATCGCCAATCGTCCCCAGCGTTGGACCCACAAGACATGATCAATTCTGATCAATTCTTATCAAATCCTGACCAAGCTAGAGCGGAACCCGCATGGCCAATCGGACGACAATAATTCCCCCAATCCGGCGGTCCGTCGTCCATACGACCCACCCGGTCGATAGACGCAATGGGTCGTGGCTAGGGTTAAGATTGGTCACGACCGGAGGCTTTCCAGGGGTCACGTCTCCACTCCGACCGTTTCTCCATTTCTTTCCACTGGCCTTGCAACTTCCGTCGGAAATTCCGTCGGGAGTCGGGTTAGACAATGATTGTCCATGGCAGTTGGGTATTGACGGAATTGTTTTGGAAGGGTGCAAGAATCCGGAATATTGCGCCACATTGGGATGCCGTTTGACGATCATGGTCAATCGTCCCTTGCAGAGAACCGGGATAATGACCATGTCGGCAGGAGGCCGTTGGTATTGGGAATATCAACTGGCTCCAGATCGATCGCGGTGCGTTCAATGCCGCGACTGATAGTTCCCTTTGCGGTGGCAGCCAGGGGCGCTGAAATTCGCACTCTCTACTGTCCGGGCAATTTGGTTTCATACGCCTGACAATGCGACGTCTACCATCACTTCCGGATAATTGTCGGATGTTATAGCCCGGGTCCCTTGAACCCTGTTCTGATGCAATTCAGCGCGAGAAAGTTCAATCCGGCTTAACTCCACCGGGCCATCGACATTGATGCCATGTCGCTCATCAACAATATCGAGCTTGGAACTGACAAGAAGACTGGCGGAAACCGGCTTCGTGTCAGGGTCGTGTCACGGCCAGCATACCGGTCGCACCCAGGAATGTGAACACCCAATCCCCCTAGGACAGTGCAGTGCTCCCACCACTGCCCGTTGCTCGGATTCGCTGGAAGTCATGTCTCGAGATGTTGTCCTTGGATTGGAAAATGCTAGCCACGGTCGCCAGCCTGGGTATGACAAATGCCCTCGAGGGACGTATGTCTCATCGGGCGAACGGAAACTACCAAGAGCACGCGCGGTTAGCCGTCGATACCCTGCAGGGGTGGTACAACACGACGACTGGGCTCTGGGAGACCACAGGCTGGTGGAATGGCGCCAATTGCCTAACAGTGTTGGGCGATCTGGCGGCGGTTGATCCCTCGTTTCTGAATGCGAGTGCCTCTGTCTTCAACAATACATGGACCCAGGCACCGAATTATAAACCGAATGCAGCACAGCGGACGGTGAACCTGAATGTACAGACAGCAAACCTAGGCACTCAGCACAGTGTCTCCACGGATGCATTCCCCGACTTCACCAACGCCATGTACGACGACGAGGGATGGTGGGCGCTCGCCTGGATCCAGGCATTCGACGTGACGGGGGACCAGCGATACCTTGACACGGCCGTCCATATATTCACGGACATGACTACGGGCTGGGGCGCGACGTGCGGCGGATTGTGGTGGAACAAGCAGCACACGGAGAACGGGGCGATCGAGAACGAACTGTTCATCAGCGTCGCCGCCCATCTAGCACGCAGGGTTCCAGAGCAGGCCGACACCTTACAGGACTGGGCGTTGAAGGCATGGCAGTGGTTCTCCGACAGTGGCCTCATCAACGACCAACACACCATCAACAACGGGCTAGACCTATCGACCTGCAAGAACGACCAGGACACGGTGTGGAGCTACAACCAGGGCGTCATTCTGGGGGCCCTCGTGGAGCTCTCCCAGCTCCAGTCTGACCAGTCCTACCTGTCGACCGCTCGCGACATCGCCCTGGGAGGGATCCACGCGCTGAGCAACTCCGACGGTGTGCTGCAGGAACCGTGCGAGCCGGACTGCGGGGCCGATGGGCCACAGTTCAAGGGGGTTTTCATGCGCAATCTGATCCGACTGCATCAGGCAGCCCCTGATCGTGAGATCGAGTCCTTTATTCGACGCAATGCGGACAGTAGCTGGGATCGCGACCGTGACGAGGACAACCGCCTCGGGCTGCGCTGGTCCGGGCCTTATGCAGACGCCGACGCTTCCACCCAGGGCTCGGCCTGCGATGCGTTGATTGCCGCCGCGGCTCTCAATCAGACTCGGAAATAATCCAATGGAGCATCATCCGAAGAAAAGCGCGCATTGACGTTGGGGGGAGTTGCCGTTGCGGTCACTTGGTATAATAAACAGCCTGACGAGGCTTCTGTACCTGAAGTTGACCATTTGCCTTTGCAGTATTTTGAATCAACTGGATAATGATTGCTATTATTCCAAGATTTCAGGATTTGGTGCGTAGATGTAATGCGTGGACAGGTATAGTTGGTTGAAGTGATGTTGATCTATATATGGATCACAACCAAGTGAATACACCACAACACCTCAATCAACGAGAAACCCCTTGAAATAACCATCCACCCATTTCGCTGCTCCTTGCCCTTCTTCTACACCCCAGTTGTGGACTGCCCCGACATACCCATCCGGTCGGACAATCACGACCCCGGCTTCGTTCTCCCCCAACCTGTCCATCCACTTGACCGTACAGTGGGGCGTGTCACCACCGTCCAGGTATAACGTCCACCGACTCTTCTGCAGCGCTTCAGGCAGATCCGCAACCTCAAACGCCGATTGGGGAGACTGCGTGACCAGGGCATACGTCAGGATCTGGGACACCGGGGTGTATCTCTGATGTTGGGCAAATGCGTCTGCTTCTGACTGTCCTCGCGGCTTGTTCTGATAGGATGTGTCGGCCTGGAGAGCCACCCGACCCAGCGACGACGCTGCGTCCAGCTGCTGGCACAGGGTGCTCAAGAAGGGTAGGGAAGCTTTGAGGTCAGGCGCAAACAGATACAGGCGGAACTGTCCGAGCATGGGGATATCGAGCTGGATGTCGACGGGGTTGGCGTCGATGTACCGAGTCACCCGGGCAGGGAGCATCAGGGCACCAGGACGGAGGGTTGCGGTCGATGGCTCTAGAGAAGACATGGTCAACGTGCCAGATGAATACTCGGCGCCCACACCCGAGATAAACCGGATGTTGTCGTTGAAGTTCTTCGCCAGAGCGGCCTCTCCCTGGGCAAAAGCTTGACAGTGACCTGCATCGAAATTGATGAGATCGCGGGCGATCTTGCGGCGCTCCTCCTCGTAGGTTGACAGTAGTGCGGGCGATGCCAGCCCACGCGAGACTAGGTTGATCTTCCAGGCGAGGTTGAAACTATCGTGCATGCTGGTGTTGGCGCCTTGCGCCGCGAGGGCCGAGTGGCAGTGTCCGGCCTATATCCGTTAGAAGCGCATTTCTTTGGATAGAAAGAGAGGACACGTACATCGCCGGCGATGAATACCTGCAAGGCCGGGTCCGCAAAGTGTTTGGCCACGCGCTGACCCACAACGTAATTGCCAAACCATTCTATCCTGTCAGTCTGTCCTCGGTCTTCGGGAGAGGCCACACCTACCGATGTTCTTCCACTCGAGGCGGAATGGATGCATGGCCTGCCTTGCGCGTTGAATCACGTACTCTGGCGTGGCTTTGGACTTTTCTACCCGTTCTCCATCCGTTGCGCTCAACTCGACGTATAGTCGCGTCATGTTGCGCTCTCGGGGAATCCACAGGATGGAGCCCCCCTCGTGGGAACGCACGGCGACTTTGCTCCAGAGGTCGGGAAAGTCGGTATCAATAACTCCTAGATCGTGTTAGATGAGGGTCTGAGCTGGAGTGAAAGACAAAATCTCACCGTCGAGCACGCCCCAGGATGCGTTGGTCATCTCTCCCTCCAGCGGTGCATCTGGGATGAAGGTCCTAACCATGGACCTCGCGCCATCGCACCCGACAAGATAGTCTGCCCGAATTTTCTTAGTTGACTTGCTGTCGAGGTCATCGTAGGACACGACCAGTCCGCGACCACCAGACACCCGCGCGCACGAGACGAACGAGCTGTTGCGAAGGACAGACACGCCGCGAGACTCGATATCGTCGATGAACACATCCTCCAGCATGCCCTGGTGTGCCAATACAATATAGGGATCAGATGCGCCCACAAGGTGGTCCGGGTAATGGGTTTGACGGCCTGTTCGTCGCAGGGGTTGATCGGGGGTGGATTCCTAGTCCGTTAGTGCCTGTCGAACGTCACGAATGATTCACGTACCCAAAATGCAATATCATACACACGCGCCGCATGCCTCAACAACGGATCGGCTAGTCGCAGTTGTTTTAATGTCTCGATCGTCTTGGGCTGGATTCCGTCGGCCTTTCCGGTGGATGTTTTGTCGGGTCGGTCATCAAGGATCGTTACGTCAATCCCAAAGCGAACGAGATTGCATCTGATGCCATTAGTTTGATGGAAAACACGGTGGGATAGTAGGGTGACTACGCTAGCATCAACCCAGACGGTCCAGCACCGGCAATGACCACGGTGGTGGATGCATCGACCGCGCCGTCGTCGACGAATCCTTCGTGATCCGCACCAGGGGCCATGATCGAGTCGTTTAGTTCTACCTTTTCTAATTTCCGCTTCATCTGGTCTACTGGAGCGTGGAATATAAGTGAATCCGCGGAATGCGATGCGGAGATACGACATGATCCCCTCACAGGATGGATGGGGTAGCCCCCCCCCCACTTTTGAACAATCAATGGTGTTTATTAAGTCTGCCGATCATAGCTACTACCATCGAGTGACACCCCCATCCACGACTATATCCTGCCCCGTCATGTACGAACTGGCGTCACTGGCGAGGAAGACACACGCCCCCATGATATCCTCCGGCTCGGCGATCCGTCCGTTCATCGTTTCGGATTTCCATCCCTCCAGGAGATGGGGAAACTGGTCCGTCAGCGCAGAAGTGGAGCGGGGGAACCAGTCACCTACGGATGCAGTCATCTCGGTGCGTACGTAGCCGGGCGAGATGGAGTTGACACGGATATTCTACCGGATTAGCCGATAAACTGGGCGCATGGGAAGTGCAGCTCACATATTCCGCCAGTTCCTTCGCGATGGCAGGACACATGCCTCGTACGGCCGCTTTGGAACCGCAGTATGCACTGCACAGCTGGCTGCGCACGGCGATGTGGCTCGCCATGCTGGCCACCAGCACAATACTGCCATGCTTGGTGCCATTGGCGATCATCTGTCGGGCTGCCAGTTGGGCCGTGAAGTAGAGGCCCACGACATTGACAGACAGCAGGCTCTGGTGGGCCTCGTAGGTAAACTCTAGGAAGGGTAGATGGCGGTTGATACCGGCACACGGTACGCAGATATCGAGCGCGTTGTTGAAGTCGGCCTGGAATTGCTGGAATCCGGCCGCGAGGGAGGATTCGGAGGATACGTCCACCCTGTGCGATCAGCTACGGCTCGCCTGCACGCCACGCACATCACCTACTTGTAATAGGCTGTTCGCACACCACACGTCTTTTCAATGGCGTGGAATTGGGCCTCCGGCTCGACCATGTCGAAGATGGTCACGTTAGCACCCGCTTCGGCCAGTCCTTGCGCAAAGGCGAGACCGCATCCCCGGGCGCCGCCGGTGACGAGGGCTGTTCTTCCTTGGAGAGAAAACTACGGAGTCAGCGAGGAAGGTTTGAGTAGCATGGAGACATACTCTAGACATTGTAAGCGTAAGATAAATGCGATGTGTTGGACTTGTTGGTATTTGGAACCTCAGCTGAGCCATCATTTATGCCTGCAGCGACATCCCCGCCGTTCTACAGGAGGCAAACCACCCCCATCTTTGGACTATCGATACATGGTGCCAATCGTTGAAAGCGATAACTAGACTGACATAAAGGCCCTTCGATCGGACTGTCTCCTCATCACACACTGCAATCTTCCCCACCATGGCACCACGCATCCACATCAAACAACAGGAGGTCCGCGACGAGGCCTGCCGACTCCGGGTACGATGACCTCCATTCCATCCCTGCGGAGAATCGACTAACAGCAGTAGGTCGTCATCATTGGAGCGGGCCTCGCAGGCCTAGGAACAGCCATCAGCTGCGCACTGGCCGGCCACGCAGTGCAAGTCCTCGAAGTCGCCCCGGAGATCAAAGAAATCGGCGCCGGCATCCAGATCCTCCCGAATAGCTCGCGAGTGCTCCAACACTGGGGTCTGGAGAAAGCTCTTACCCCGCACATGACCGCACCCACCGTGTGCAACTTCGTCGGCTGGAAGGGCAATATGATCTCGTCGCTAGACTTCGCCGAGTCCGAACGGGGATACCCGGGGTGCTGGTACCGCGACTTCCACCGCGCCGATCTACACCGATGTCTGGTTGACCGCGCGGTAGAGCTGGGCGTGGAGATCATCTGCAATGCGAAGATCATCGACATCGTCGTGAGCCCCGACGGGGCGAGTTCCACGGCGGTCGCGGAAGATGGGCGGAGCTGGCCCGGGGACTTGGTGATCGGGGCCGACGGCGTGTTTGGCAAACTGACCGAGTCACTGCTGGGGAGAAGTGATCCGCCAGTCAAGACCGGCGATCTGGCATACCGGTTGCTGCTGTCGACGGAGGAGATGCGCAAGGACCCAGAGCTGGAGCCGCTGGTCACGAGCCCGCAGGTGAATTACTGGTTGGGGCCGGATGCCCATGCAGGTATGTTTTCCTGATATTAGAGACGGCGAAAATTCTAATCAGATAGTTAACTACGTGCTTCGCAACGGAGAGCTGTTCAACATGGTGCTCCTGGTGCCAGACGACATTCCTGAAGAGTCGCTCGCCTCGACGGTCGAGGGCAATGTGCAGGAGATGTGTGCACTGTTCGAGGGGTGGGATCCACGGTAGGCTCTCTCTGCACAGTGTCGAAGCCGGGTCTGATAGGGTAGGATTGAGAAACTGTTGAAACTGTGCCAATCGGTGCACAAATGGCGACTGTGTATCCGGTTCGGCGACTACGACTGGACACATCCCTCCGGCTCGTGGGTGATGATTGGCGACGCCGTGCACGCGACGCTGCCGTATCTCGCGTCAGGGTAAGCGCTCTTCACAACGAACCCAGCAGCGACTAATACACGACCAGAGCCGGAATGGCCTTCGAAGACGCCGCCGTCCTCGGCGAATGTCTCTCGCGGCTGCCCAACGACCCGTCCATCTCCAAATCGTCGGCCGCCTTCATCGGGCAAAAGCGACACGCGCTCGACGTGTTCCAGAAATGCCGCAAGGCTCGCACTAAGATGGTTGTCGAAAGGGGAAACCTGCAGCAGTACCTCTATCATCTCCACGATGGAGAGGAGCAGCGTCAGCGCGACGCCAAGATGCAGATGGTTCCGACACCCGAGGGGGAGGCCCTGGCCTGGCGAGATCCCGGGCTGGCTCCGAAGCTGTTGGGATACGACCATATTGCGGATGTAGGTTTTATCTGGGCAGAGATGGCCGTGCAGAGCTAATGGACGCAGGTCGATCGGAACTGGGGGATGAGAGCGGGGGGTGCGACAGACGGGGTGTTCTCTCGACTATAGGGAGTTAATATCCATAGTATCTACATATGATATGCAGGATCGGAGCTAAAGATGTAAAAGATTCAAGTAAATATGTGGAGTTTCATTTCATCATTATCACGTCGTAGCCATAATATACCAGTCTTGTCATGCAATCAACCCGGCGACCAGCACCGGTGGAAACAAAAGAAAAAGAACAAATGAAAGAGAACAAATGAAAGACAACGAATGTACACATGTAGTTACCATGCAATCTATCCACAATGCAACATCCACTATGCAACACCCCAGTCAATAGTCATACAGTCACGGCACTCAGACCGGGAATCGGACGCCAGTGCGCTCGGTGCAGCGCGGCTGGGACAAGATCCGGGGCAACATCCGGGCCTTGGGGTCCTGGTTGTATCGCAGCCGGTCACGCTTGAGGTTGAACAGCTTGATCATGCAGGTCATGGCCTGGTCCTCGGACAGCTGCACGGGGGGCAACGGGGTGCCGTCGAGCGGAATGTCGCGGACGGCGGCCGAGACCATCCACCTGGCCAGGAGCTTGATGTCCCGCGCGTTGCTCCAGCAGGGGAACATGGAGAGGACCTGGACGGCGCGAGTAAACTCGCGGTGGCTCTGCACCTGCGTGTCGATCAGGTACGGCCGCGGCGTAGGGATGTGCTCGTCGAGATAACGATCGAGCAGACGCAGACACTCGCGGGGCGTCGGGCAGCGGAAGACAATTTCCTCCTGGAAGAGACCTGACAGGCGCGGCCGGTTGGCGAGCAGGTGGTCCATCTCGGAGGGCGGGCCCGCCAGGATGACCACCATGTGGCCTGCGTAGCGGGGGAGGAGGTAGATCAGCTCGTCCATGGCCTGGACGGCAGAGTCGTTCTCGGTCAAGCGGTGGGCGTCGTCGATGAAGAGCACCTTGCCGCGGCTGGCTTCTAGTTGGGACCGCGTCCGGAGCGACGAGTGGCCGGGGTGGGATGAGATGAGGTCGGCGACGGAGCAGTCGATCAGCTCGTCGCTGTCCAAGACGCCCATCTTGTAGTAGAGCGTGCCGAGTTGACGCGCAACTGTCTTCTTGCCGCTGCCTAGGCGATGTTAGAGCGGACAGAGATTGTGTTGTAATTGGGTGGTTACTTACCAGATCCTCCCTTGAAGACCAGCGTGCACGGCACCCGTTTGCCCGGGTCTTGACCCTGCAGCCATGCAGTCTTCATCTCGCGATGGTACCGCTTCAGCACAGAGGTAATCTCGTCCGGGACTATGGTGTGGCGCAGCTCCTCGCGGAAGGACAGGGCCGCCCCGCCGCCGATGGAGCCGGCGTCGAAGTCCTCCGCCTCGAGCACGCGGTCGAGCGTGGCGCCCGCGGAGGGTGCCTGGGCACGGCGCGCCTCGTAGTGGTGGTGGGCAACAAGCAGCAGACGGTCGACGGCGCGAGCGTTGTCGAAGTCCTTGCGCATGCGGGCGCTCGTCAGGATGTCGACGGCAGCCTGGAAGGCGTCCGGGGTGGTGTCGACACCCTGGTCTTGCAGCTTGTTCTGCAGCAGCTGCTCCAGCTCCTCTTGGGAGAAGCCCTGGAAGGGGATCAGGTGCTGCTCAAACCGGGTCGCCTGCTTGATGGAGTCCGGCAACGCGGCGATGGCGGCCGAGTCGCCCAGCAGGATGATGCAGCGATTTTCGTAGCCCGAGGACATCTCGGCGGCGAGGATGTCGATGACAGTGCTGTCCGGGGTGCCGTCTCCGGATATGTCGAGGATAAGCGCCTGTCCTTCGGGGGCGAGGCCGGCGTGGGGCGCGGGTCGGGGAAGCGATGACAGGTGATGGATGTTGACTGGATGGTTAGCATCATTCATCTTGACTGGGGAAAAGAGCAATAATCACCTTCATCGCTGCTCAGAAGGCCCATCTCGTACAAGATGTGCGCATACAGCGCCGCGGCGGTCTTCTTGCCCGTGCCGACAGGCCCGGCGAAGATGCGGTGCAGTCGCATCGGAAGACGGCGCTGGTTGCGCGTCTCGCGCCAGTAGTTCTCGTCGGCGGTGTCGACAACCTCGCGGATGGATGTCTTGACCGCGTCTTGGCCGACGAGGGCGTGCAGCTGGGCCCACGACTCGCTGCGCTCCTTGACGTCACCCGGGCTGGGGCCCAGGAGATCCTCACGGGAGAAGAAGAAGTAGTCGACCTCGTCCACCCCGTTGTCGCGCTGCTCCATCAGGCACTGAACCTGCCGGTGAGCGATGGTCTTGACGAGCTCGCGAACGGCGTAGACGTTGGTGAAACCCTTGCGGCCGCGTCCGCGGGCCAGCCGGCGGGCGGCGGCTTGCAGGTAAGGCCCGTCGACGCCGCCCTCGAGCTGCATGCGGTCGTGGTACTCCTCGCCGATGCGGCGACTGAGCAAGGCCTGGAGGTCCGGTCGGTCGAAGTCATCGAAGGTGATGGTGCTGCAGATGCGGCGGTGGATGCGGGCGTGCTCCTTGAAGAAGGCGTCCAGGTCTTCCGAGTCGCCGGTGAAAATGACGACGATACGGCCGGCGGGTCGTTCCATGGCGTCGGCGATTGTGTCGACGATCTGTCGGTGCGTCTTCAGACGCTTCGACAGACCGCGGGGGTGGTCGATGATGACGGCGCCGGCCGTGCGGGCGGCCGGGGCGACGTCGACAACGCTCTGCAGCAGCTGCTGAGTGCCTTTCACGCCCAGCGCAATCAGCTCGTTGCCCGACGTCTGGCGGATGGTCTCGGTGTCGGATATGTCGATGGCGAACAGCATGCGGGCGTAGATCCCGGCGATGGTCGTCTTGCCCGTGCCAGGATTACCTTGCAGGGCGATGCTATATCCCTCGTTGCGGGGATCCCGGCCATGACGGCGGCAAATCTGGACCCAGCTCTGCACGCCCTGGAGCTGGCGTTTGACGTTCTCTAGGCCGACGAGGGCAGACATCTCCCCCGTGGCCCGCTGGCCGACCGACTCGCGGTCCTCGGCCTCGCGTTCGGGCGCGCGACGAGCATTGACGGCGGGCAACAACGGACTCTTAGTTGTCGTCTGGGTCGACGCGGTCTGCTGTGTCCGGGCCGGTGGCGTCGACGGTGACGGTGACGGTGACGGCGACGACCACAGGCTGAAGAAGAAGGGGAATCGGGAGGAGGAAGACTGGCGAGAGGCAGAGCACTCCATTCTCCGACACGGACAGAGCTGAGCCAGGAACGAGCGGAGGGTGGAGATCATAAGGTGGATATCGCGATGGGGGCGGGGTGCGTGGGGATGGTAGATGGACTCTGTCAAAGAGTTCCAGATGGAATCAAGTAGATTTACAATGTCTGTTGAACATAGAGGATTTCATTCTACATTCTGTCCCATCCTGGTGAGCTGCTCTCTTATACACCAGCCAGCCTGGCAGCGGCCGCAGAAATCGCCGACGTGCTGGACGACGACGGGCCATGACACTGCCAGATCAGTCGCGAGAACCGAGAGGAAACCCAGACCAAGCCAGCTGCATTACCAGAAGAGCCGACAAGAGAGTTGGGAGTCGAACGCTCCACCGTTGGATCGACCGAAGGCCAAGGACCTATCAAGGCTCGACAGGTACAATCGGGACCAAAAATGAGGCCATTCACCGCTCTTTCAGTGGATCCCAGGCTTCTTAGTCAGAGATCGCATCTCCCAGTCTCTGTCCCTGATTGCATTCTCATGTGAGCTCCGCCCTGGCAGGAGGGTCTCCGCATCGTCAGGCTGGTGGGTTGGTTGGTATATCTGAATCTGAAACGTTGTCAAGTGCCTGACTCGAGCCCTGAAACGGGGAAGACACAGAGAGGGGCAGAGAGCACCGACCACCCCATCTGTTGTCTCTGCTATTTTCGTGCCCTGACATCATTCCTCCTGGGATGTCGAGGATGCAGAGCTGTCGGAAAATGAGTCACTGTCCATTTGACCAGACCGAAAGCATCGATGCCACTTGCCACGTCATGATTCGCCGACGGATGATCGCCCAACGCGCCACGTTCGGCCTGTCGCCGCCGTCCACTGCCTAACTGGTGAGATAGTCCCCAGTTGGGGCAGATAACATGGTAACAATAGAAGATAATAGAGAAAACAAAACAAAAAGAGCAAATGAGGGACCGTTCGTGCCTGATTGGTGGTGGAGGGATCCCCAGGATAGGCATGCAGACCCGGACAGGGCGACCACGCCTCGAGTTCCAGAAAGCCAGGGAGATACCCACAGGATGATGCGGATGTCGGGAGAAAGGAGGAGGGGGTAACCTGGTCTCCCACAGCATCCACGTGGAATGGTGGCAAGATGTCCGAGCGAGTCTCCCAACGGAGCCTGATGCCATACAGCTACAATACACAGAGGCCCGGATGGGCTGATGAAGACCCATGATTCCATTGAATAAGCTAACGCCTGATTCCATTCCAGTCCATTCCAGTCCATTTACTCATTCAGTCCATGCAATCCAATTCAGTGCGATGGAGTCCAACGAGAGCATATTGCGTAGTGTCCAGGCACACATGGTCCGACCGTGCCTACATCTTGGTTGAACGGGCCTTCCCCCCAAATCCAAACAAATAGGCACCCACCTTGCGCATCTGAATCTCCTCTGCGCCCTCGGTAATGCGGTACCGGCGGAAGTGGCGATAGATGTGCTCGAAAGGGTAGTGTCGCGAGTATCCGTCGCCGCCGTGGATCTGTCGTCAGCATGCGAGTCAGCATGAGAAGTCACAAAAAAGCGAGAAGTAAACAGAAGATGAATCAATGAAAGGTTAGAGAGAGATAAAAAAGGAAGAAGAAAAGATACCTGAATCGCTCGGTCGGCCGCCTGGCAGCACAGTCGGTTCGCCCAGTAATTACACATGGCCACCTTGTCGCTCAGCGTCCGCTCAATCTGCACCCACGGCCACCGCACCCCAGACGCCACCACGCGGTCCATCTCCCAGCTGGTCTGGAAAATGAGCAGCCGCAGCATCTCCACCTGCGTCATGAGCTCGACGACGGGAAACTGGATGGCCTGGTGGTCCGCGAGCCGGCGACCCTCGCCCCAGATCTGGCGGCTCTGCGCCCGCTCGATGCTGCGCTCCAGGCAGTATTTGGCCGCCCCGCACGAGCTGGCCGCCTGGCGGATGCGGTTCTCGTGGACGAACGTCTGCGCGATCGCGAGTCCCTGTCCGAGTTGCCCGATCACCGCCGACGCGGGCACCCGCACGCCCTCTAGCGCGATGGTCGCATGGTCGGTGGGCATGTTGAAGGTCCATTCGAAGCTCACGACCCGTACTCCCGGCGTGTCGCGAGGGATTAGGAAGGCCGTAATGCCGCGGGCGGACCCTGGTTTTCCCGACGTGCGTGCGAAGACGATCAGATGGGTGCAGTGGTGGGCGCCAGTCTGCCACTTCTTGCTCCCGTTGATCTCGAAGCCCCCATCAGGGGTCGGAATCGCCGAAGTAGATAGGAACGTGGCGTCACTGCCGTGGTCTGGCTCGGTGAGGCCGAAGGTGGCACGAAATTCGCCGCGCAGGCGCTGCGGGATGAGGGTGCGACGTTGTTCATCAGAGCCGAAATGGTGCAGCATCAGCACGTCCGGGAAATTACCCACCACACTGTGCTCGTTCTGCAGGTCGTTGGCGAGGCCGATACCGCCCCCATAAACCGGATGCGACGCCATGTGGAAGCGCGTAGCCGTCATCCAGACATTGCTCTGGGGGTGGCCCTGGCCGCCGTAGACCGTGGGGAGGGCAAACCGGAAGAAGCCCGCTTCGTCGGCGAGCTGGCGGGCCTGACGGAGGAGCTGTTCCCATTCCGCGGTCGGGAGCCCCCCGTTGGACAAATCGGTGCGGGCGAACTCGCGACGATGGTCGAAGAAGCGGTTGTTGTCGTCGGCGTGTTGCAGAGGGAGGATCTTCTCGTCGATGAAGGCATCCAAAGATGCGAGATGCGCCACCAGGTCGGGGGGGAGATCGAAATTCATGATATAATGGATGGGGATGAAGCGATAGTGTAGTTAAGAGGTCAAGTTGTCAAGAAGGGGATAAGAAGTGGAGGTGGAGTGGAGATGGAGTGGAAATGAAGCTGTAAACAAAGATCGGCCTCCGCATTTATACCCCGCCGGGCCTCGGTCTATCACTCGGCACGTCGATCACTCGTCACTGTGATAGTTCAATATCTGTCCATGATTGCGCTCGGTGAATGATGAATTAAACAGTGCTACTAACCTACAGTCACCATGTCTATCACCTAGTTGGTCACCACACCCACCACCTTCGACACATACTTGGCCACCCCGGACTTCTCTCCCTCTTCCTCACCCTGAGCGACATAGAATCGCCGATGCCGGTCCAGATCGATGGTGGCAGCATCAATCCACAAGGGCCCGCGATAGTAAATCTGCGCACCGACGAAGATGACCAGCACGGCCACCACGCTGACGTAGTTGGCGAAGAACCCCTTGGCGGTCGGATCCCCCCCCAACGGCCACACACTGAGGTAGAATTCGATGATGATGAGCAGGACGCACCAGAACAGTCCCCAGACGGCCGCAAATGGGTATGTCCACGACTTCCACGGCAGGTCGGAGGGAGCCCGGCCCTGCAGCTTCCAGGCGTACCGCATGCGCAGATGTGACAGACAGATTGACCCCCATCCAAACAGGGTCAGCAGTGACACCAGGTTCGAAAACCAGGTGAAGACATCGGACCCTTTCTGACTGACGTTCAGATACGATACGCCGCCACCCACCAGCAGTGTGATGGCCAGCCCGGCAAATGGGCGGCCCAAGGTGTCGGCTTTGGCGAAAATCTAACAAGTCAGTACCATAACCATGGCCACAAAAGGGGAACCAGGATGGGGAAAAGCAGGTACCTTTGGAGCCATCTGCAAATGTGCCAGTCCCATCAGAGTGCGCGACCCACCGTACGCCTGGATACTCGCCGACGAGATGACCGAAATGAAGATGACGGCGTTCATGATATGGGCCAGCGGCTGCAGCCCGGCGTTGCGATACGCGATCACAAACGGAGACCCGTTCACCCCCGATCCGCCAAACAGGTTCGCGTCGTGGGGATCAACCGTGATGGTGATCATCAGCGATCCGACAATGTAGAACAGGGACAGGCGCAGCCAGATCGACCCGACCGCGCGGGGCACCGCCTTGCGCGGGTTCTTCGTCTCCGTCGCCACCAATGCGCAGTATTCCGAGCCGGACATGGCGAAGATGCATGTGGGCAGGACCGACAGGAAGCCCTTAAAGCCGTGGGTGAAGGGTTCAGCGTTCCAGTATCGGAATCCGATGGGATCGCCTTGGGGGGCGCCACCCGCTGACACCACTGTTCATGTTAGATACGCCGCAACTGGATAGAGGGGAGGGAGACGTACCAATCAACGAGATAATGACCACGAAGATCCAAGAGAACTTGATCAGGGACGACACCACCTCGACCTCGCCGAAAAAGGCGACCGCCCAGACATTGATCAGGATGATCACCACCCAGAAGATACTAATCCACGCCGCTGTCGGCACCTTGTCCGTCCAGAAACTCAACACGGTCACCACTCCCTGCAACTCGTTCGCGATGGTGATCCAGTAGTTGAACCAATAGGCCCACCCGATCGTGAAGCCGACCGCCGGGCTAACGAAGATGGACGACCACTGCACGAAGGCCGACGGCAGCGGGTAGAGGACGGCCATCTCGCCAATGGAGTGCGCCACCGACCAGACCATCGAGCCGCTGAGGACATATCCGATGAAGATGGCCGCGGGGCCGCCGTTGGCCAGGGACGTGCCACTGCCCAGCCAGAGCCCCATGCCAATCGACGAGCCCAGCGCGATCATCGTCAGGTGGCGCGTCGACAGCTTGCGATGGAGGTCGGACTCAGCGCCATAGTCACCTTCCACCGCTGTCCAACCTGTCGCGAGCGCATTCTTGCCCAGGTCGGCGCTGGAGTCGTCCGTGATGAGATACGTTGCCATCGTGAGAGATCTCGTCGGAGGCAGTGTCTGACTCGGGTCAGACAGGCTCATCGCTCCGTAAACGTGTCTTTATATACTCTGGCCAGATACGGCCTTCGGGTGGGATAGCAGCCGGTGCCATAATTGGCGCATCGAAGCTAGCGGTCTTGTCTCGCAGATAAGCTTCGTGAAATCTAGTGGGGTCGATTGTATAGCTCGAGATAACACATATTAAGGGCTTGAGGGACAGAAAAATCTCGCACGATCCCAGGAAAAGAAGGCTGAAAGTGCTGTGCAGTACACCATCGGGGCAGCGATCGCATGCCTTGTGTATATGAGCGTATCAGAATCGCGGCTTGGGACGATTGCATGTGTATATCCTCTGCTCCCCTCATGCCCTTGTCCATGTGCTCGATGCTGCTGCATTCTCGCAGTATACTCACCTGCCCTCGTCAGAGTATCGTAGTGTAATTCAACGTCCGTCTCTATCACTAGAGATACGAGGTCTATCGCTCGTGATACGGGAGATGAGGATCTACAGCGGGACTCCTTGCTGCCAGATTAAGGTCACGCCCGGGCGAAGCACACGACTGCGGACTGACAGGCATCGCAGCATAGCGTGCAAGGAACATGTGCAGGAAGTCGGACATTTCAGCATGTGAACCCATACTGGGCACTCATCGTCCTTGCGTTAGGACTTCACCACGCTGTTTCTGGGGTCGCTCGTTTCCGTTTCCCGATAGAAGGTTTTAGTGAGGCGACATTTATCCACCAGCTATCCTTGCTCCACTCAACTTGTCTTTGGCGTGATCTATAGGTACCCACCATAGATAGCTGTCAGGTGGAGACTCGATTACTGGCGATCGATTGATTTGCTGTTGCTGCCGCAGGATTCAGGCTGCTTATCGCCTGATTCGGCCACATAGAGTCACGTGCTATATTGGTCGTCATGTGAGTCATGTGACTGTTATGCTGCATAACCAGACACGTGCTCTGTGCACTCGTCATATTTTTTCCACTGGGTATACCATGCTATTTGTATGAAAGAGCGCTGTAGCATGCACAACCGACTCGAAACCCATTACTATGATCTCGAGATGTGGGGATAACCGGAAAGACGTTCCATATCGCCTGTGGGAAGGAGTCTGAAGTTCAAAAGCGTCTGAGGGTTAATCCCTATTAGTCTTGTACACATGCCAGGCTGTCGTCCCGAGCCATCCTACAGAGGAGGGCGTTAGATTGTGACAAGGTGATGGTCGTTCCAGGAAGAGGTGGGAGAATTATCCTCGCGAATTCACTCGAAAATGTCATTTCAGCCATCATGGCTCCTCTGGTTGTCGCACAATACGTTGTGGAAACTTCTACCAGGATTGCATCTATACTAGAGGGGCCGCTTCTACATTGCGTGCTTCCGTTCCATCTGGTCAGTGATAGATGCCCTCTATCCAGACTCTGAAGACTTGGGCACACCGAAGGTAGGTATAGCATGAAAGCAAGAGAAGTTTGACACCTTCGAATCGGACTGCAGCTGGATCAACAATGGATCGGTTCCCGGTGCTAGGGAAAGCAGGAATATGCCTGATGAAGGGCTGGATGGCGGCTGTATGCCTTTGCCCGCATTTTTCGAGAAACAAGGAATGTATTCGGTCGGCCATTGTGTTGGTTTAACACAGGCAAGCCGTCAATAGTTTGTCCCTTATGCGGTGTCCTGCACATCCTGTCTGTCAACATGGTTTTCATGCCTTCATGTAGATCGGTTGATGGTAGAACGGGGATATACTCCGTAGGGTTGCATCGATGCCGCCATCACCACGCGACGGTCAAGTGTTTGACGATCGGCCCGCACTTCTGACATGTTTCAGTTTAAAGATGTACCCGACGCGTTCCCGATCTGGGTTTGACCCAATCGAGGCTGTAGAGTGGATATCATTGTAGTAGAGAGAATGCACAGCTCGAACAAGGAGCATTACAAGAGCATTCTCAAATCCTCTCCAGGTGTCTCCCTCCCAGTTCATGGACGGGTGATTCAAAACATCCAATGTAGAGATCGTCAGGGCCAAGGTGACATTGGCATCAGGTCTCCGACGGTCGGGAGACGGGGGTGGAGACCTCGTGGGCAAATCAAGACACTGTCCCTGGTCCTTATCTGGGGTACTTTAATTACCCGTGCATCTCCACGTCCAATCATCATCACACGCGATCATTTCACCCCAGCGCGTCGTGGTGATCGACAGAAATGGCCCGACGGTCGACTCTTATAGAAGGCCGGGAGTCACCCATGGCGAGTTCCAGCGTACGATACCAATTCTGCTTCCGAAGCCATTCGTCATGCGTGCCATCAGCACCCTTTGCGCCGCCGCCGGCCTGCTACTGTCTCAGGTGCTGGCAGAGTCCATCAGCGAGATCAACGGCAACAAATACCAGTCATCATTCCTGTACAAGAATGTCTCCGACGTCGAGGGCCTAGTCACAGCCAAGGGACCCAAAGGATTTTACCTGCGGGCCACCACCCCTGACGAGGACGACAGCACGTCCGACTCCATCTACGTCTACAGCCCCGGCGGAGCCCACGAGGTCAGCGAAGGCGACAAGGTCACCCTCAGCGGCAAGGTGATCGAATACTACAAGACTGGGTACGTCTCCGTGACGCAGATCACGGGCCCCACCGGCCTCAAAGTCAGCGCCGGGACCAAAGACGTGGAGCCCGTGGTCATCGGCGCCAATGGTCGACAGCCACCGACCGAGCAGTTCTCTTCGCTTGATGGCGGCGATATCCTCGGTCTCCCGAACAATGCCAGTCAAATCCACAAGGAGAATCCTGAACTGCAACCCGAAAAATACGGCATGGATTTCTGGGAGAGTCTGAGCGGCGAGCTGGTCACGCTGACTGGGGTGCATGCCATTTCCAAGCCGAACCAGTACGGCGATACCTGGGCCGTGGGTGATTGGAAGGCGACGGGACGCAATGCGCGTGGTGGACTGACCATGCGGCCGAAAGGTAGCTCACCTCCGGGGGGAGAATGAAAGAAAGAAGTAGAGAAATAGAAAGATGCTAATGGACCAGACTCCAATCCCGAGGCCATTCTCATTGGCGCTCCCCTGGACGAAACCAAAAACCCCACGGACACCAAGCTGGGAGACACGATTGGAGATATCACCGGCGTGATCACCCAATCCTACGGCTACTACACGCTGCTGCCTCAAACCGCCCTAAAGGTATCCGAGTCAAACTCGACCGCGGCCGAACCGACGACTCTCGAAGCCGACGGTGGCTGCAAGGCCTTGACGGTGGGCAGCTACAACATCAACAACCTTGCGCCCAACTCGACCACCCTGCCCAAAATCGCCGGCCACATCGCCAAGGAGCTAAAGAGTCCGCGACTGCTGTTTGTTCAGGAAGTCCAGGACGGAAGCGGACCGACCAACGACGGAGGTAGGCGAGTCATCAACTAATATCACGAATGATGCTGACGATGATGCAGAGGTGTCGTCCAAAAAGACGTTGACCAAACTGGTATCCGAGATCAAAGAACAAGGTGGCGTCGAGTACGAGTTTGTCGACATCAGCCCGGAGGATGGAAAGGACGGTGGGCAGCCGGGCGGCAACATCCGCGTTGCCTACCTCTACGATCCAGCGGTCATCCGACTGCGCGACGCCAATCCTGGCTCCAGCAGCGATGCCAATGAAGTGCAGGCAGGACCAGCCCTCAAGTTCAACCCCGGACTCATCGACCCCACCGACTCGGCGTGGGACGACAGCCGGAAGCCCCTCGCAGCGGCGTGGGAGACGGTCGACGGGAAGAACCCCTTCTTCACCATCAACATCCACTTCACCAGCAAAGGCGGCGGGTCCCCGCTGGAGGGGGATGCGCGGCCGCCCGTGAACGGGGGCGTCGAGCAGCGCGAGGCGCAAGCCAAGGTCGTTGCGGTACGTTCTCCTGCATCCCATCCCACTGCTATCTCATCCCAAAACTAATCCATCCATTGTAGAAATTCGTCAAATCCATCCTCGCCGAGGACGACCAAGCCCGGATCATCACGTCGGGGGACTTCAACGAGTTCGGGTTCGCGCAACCTCTGACGGTCTTCGCGTCGGAGTCGGGTCTGCAGGAGTTGGAAGAGGCGGCGGGGATCGATGAGGCAGAGCGATACACGTATCTGTATGATTCGAACTGCCAGCAGCTGGACCACATGTATGTCAGCGAGGCCGTGGCCAAAGAGGCGCGCGCGGAGCACATCCACGTCAACACCTGGGTGTCATATGATGACCAAGGGTCGGATCACGACCCAACTGTGGCATTGTTGAATGTGTGCGCCTGAGCTGTTTGCAGCAATAGGTTATAGTGGATCAATGAAAGTACAAGGAATACCATGTTCACGTATAGATTATTCTTAATGAAAGAAAGAGTAGAGGGAAACTCGACTAGGCTGATGGAGATCGGGAGGTCGGAAGGAGACAAACTATGCAAACAAACAATCTCTCTCTCTATACTCTCGTCTCCTCTACTCTATTCTCTTGTTCTTGGTCGAGAAGTACTGGTTATTATGTATATGTATTAGGCTGTGGTAATGATGACTGTTGTAAGTGCTAAATCATGGCGATATATTATATGGCACGGAAGTTAGGAATTCCACTTAACACAGGTGGACGGACATATATATAACAACAACACATACATTACATAGCTATAATTTCTATATATCAAGCTACAATCCTTTCCTCGTCAATCAATTAGGAAAAGAACGAAGCATCAAATCAAATCAAACAAACGAACCCAAACCTTGACAGCAAACAGACATGAATGATGAAGGTCCATGGTACTCCGTATAAGAGACTGTGATTGCCGGAGTGGCTGCCTGGGGAATCAAACCACGTGCCGGAGCATCACCTGACCATGCCCACATCGTCCGTCATCCTCGCTGGCTCCATCATCGTCTCTCTTGCACGATCAAGACCACGAGGTGATGCACGATGTCTAAATGAGGGTCACGTCAGCCATGAATTTGTCCCCTGGAATGGCATTTAGCTGGTCCTCCCGAATGGTAAATATCCCCACCCGGCGGAATGTTCTCTTCTCCTGATTCACACACTCCAGGATTAGTCCCCGGGCCGAGACGATGTGGAGACACCAGACCTCCGCCTCGTGGCCCCCCGGAATATCTAGATTGGCCCTCCCTAGGATGGTTCCGGGCGGCGGCCCGGATCCGTGATTGGCATTGGACCAGGCGATCGTGGACAGAGCGGATGAAAGCCGCTTGGCATTGGCCGTGGCCGGATCGGGAGGGACGAGATCGGCCTGGAAAAGTGGCCCGTGAATCTTCATCACCCCGTCGGAGATGTCTCCCAGGGTGTCGATGCGGATGGCACTGGTCTCCACGGTGGCCACAGGTCGGCTGTGCACTCGGTCGGAGAAGAGGTGGTACGTGGCCCCGTCGATCGCCGCCCAAGACCACGACGGCGCCCGGTACTTCGCTGGTCGGGAGGCTCGCTGTTGCTCGCGGAGCCACTCGGGTCCGGTCCAATGCCCCCGCGATTCCCACAGCAGCCCCCATGGCAGGTCAGACTCCCAGAGGCCCGCCATGTACCGTCCGCCGATCTGGTCTCCGAGGCGTACAGCAACGCCATGGATCGCTGGCAGCTTGTCGCTCGCCACCGTCAATGCACGCCCGGTGTAGGAGAAATCCAGGGCATTGTACCAGCAGTTGAGGATGTCCCAGCGCTTGTCAGGCCGCCGCTGTGGACCCTTGACCCGGCTATTGCGCCACCAGGGAGCCGGATCAAGAAAGCTCGGATATGGTCCAGGCCGTTTGGAGGCCCGATACCCATCTTCAGCCTGGTATGCCGTGCGACAGGCCAGCACCATCTGTTCCGCGCGGTACACCAGGAGACGAGGGGGTAGAACGCCCTCCTCGAAGATCCACCCTCTTCGGTCCACGGGACTGAAGGCTTTCTCTGTCTGCTCATAGCCCCCGGGCCGCAGATAGATGTGACTGGATTCGTTGAAGCGTAGCTTAAGAGACGGGTGTTTGGGGGGCGCTCGCGGCCGTAGGAACGACTCGTGGACGGAATTGACGTTGGCCGCTTGGACCGTGAGGTACGAGCGGCCGTAGATATCGCACATCTGCGCGATCTGTTCTCTCTTTACCTCGTCGTCGTCTTGCACGATGCACAGCGTATCGACCCAGAGGTACTTGACATTCAACCTGTGCGCGACAAAGACGGCATCCTTGACCGTGTTCGGTAGCCGGTCGTAGGGAATCGATTCGAGGAATTGCTTCCTGTTCTCCCGCATTAACTGCACTGGCTGCACCCGAACCCCCCAGATAAAGCTCAGGGTGATGTAGGGGCATTTTTGGGAGCCGTCATTTTCCACCAAGCGCAACGAGGGCTGGAATTCGGTCGCCCCCGGGGCTGCGCTAATTTCTATGATGAATCTCGGCAGGACTGGATCCTCGCCGCGTTTGCACGCGGAATGCGACTGGCAGCATGAGTCCACCCATCCTTTCACCAGCTCGAATGCCCCGTCCACGCGCGGGTCCGGCATGACGTCCCGGGCCAGAATGTATTTGGAGATCGGCTCCTCTGGATGGTGCGCTGGTCAGCTTGTTTCTTCGAGAACTGTCTCCCACATGACTCGACCTACCCGGATCCGCGAAGACGTCGAACGTCGCTTCTGACCCGATGGTGTAGATCTTATCTTCATAGGCCTCGGGCGGGAGATCGATGTCATAGAGCAGGTCAATCCGGGGACGATCGCCCATCGGCGTTCGCTCCCATGGAGGGTGTCCATTCCAACCAAGGCCATAAGGTCCGCGCGATTTCGACGGACTCATGTATTTGCTCGTTGCGCGTTTGGCGTCTGGAGCGATGCAATGTCGGTAGAAGAATTTACAGGAGGGGCAACCTTTCGTCGCCGAGTCCTCCAGCTGCTGGTACGTGTCCCAGAATATGTTCACCCCACCATGCCCTGGGGCGATCTCCGAAATGGGAGGGATCTTCAGGCACGCCGCGCATGTCTTGTCTCTGTCTTGGACCACCGCCATGCCTACTTTCTATGTCTATGATGGTTGGGAGGACTGGCGATGGTTGGGTTTTATCGGTATGGACACGATATTGCAGGATCTAACGGCTGGATAGGCGTCCAATGCGGGGTCAAGCACTCAACAACACATTCGCATCATCACATCCTCGGTTAAGCTCATATAATCCACCACTTTACCCTAAGCATAAGCACTAGACCGTTTTGAACAACAGCCATGCCAAGTGTTCCCAGGATTTTCTTATCAGGATGCGAGTCATTACTGATGGAATAAAGCATATGTACCTGAGCCTTTTTGGGATGGATCATGGTCGCCTGTCGAGGACTCTAAATTGTACACAGGGCGATGTACAAGATTGGAAAATGACGACGAAGATGCCGACGTTTTCCCCTTGCACTACAGGCGTGATTATCCCATTGCATTGCACCCCTACAATCAGACGGATAGAGATAGGGGAAGCCATTACGCTCCAACAGTAGTCGTGGCCACCGTCTGCATCATGCGGTTGTTTGCTTTCGTTTCGAGGTCCTCCTTGTACCTATCCGCCCGTCCATAGCTCTCCTTATACGAGGCTGTCACCATCTCTTCCACCGTGATGGGAGGATACTTGGGCTCTTCGCCTTCGCCCCGAATATTTGGCAGACACTGACAGACATAGTCCGGATTACCGCTAAAGAACAAGGGAATCGAGTATCGCTCACGGCCCGACTTGTTGATGACGCGATGAATATTCGACTTGTACTTGTCGTTGGCCATACGCATGAACAGGTTACCCAGGTTCACGACGTAGGCACCGGGGACAGGTTTGACCTGGAAGCTTTCATTAGGCATGGTAGGCAAGACAAATCGAGCGCACGTACATCTAGCCACTGCCCCGTTGGCACATCCAGCACTTGCAAGCCGTCCACCTCATCCTGCAGCAGCAAGGTTACAGTTCCAAAATCAGTGTGGGCACCAATCCCACGGGTCAACTTGTCGTCGTCATCCTTGGGCTGCGCTGGATAATGCAAGTATCTCATGGTCGCGACCGCACCGTTCGTCATCGGATCGAAAAACGTCGGCTCGACCTTGAGGGTCAGCGCCAATGTGGCGAGCACATCCTTGGCCAGCTCAAAAACTGCATGGTAGTATTCCATCGAGGTGCGCCGGAATTCCTCTGGGTCGGGGACCGTCTCGGGCCACTGATTGGGCCCACTGTTGAGCTTCTTGTTCACGAAGTACGGATGATCTTCCGGGATCTCCTCGCCGATGTAGAGGCCCTCTTTCTTGTCGGGACGGGTACCGAGCTCGAGGATCTGGGACTCGAGAAGTTCGTAGCCGCGGTTGAACGAGGTGCGGTCTGTTGCGGTCAGTGTCTGTCAATTTGGCTCTGCAAAGTGAGCAACCTTTGTCAATTTTTGTCTTCTCTTCGAGTGGAAGATCGAAGAAGCGCTTGGCGCAGTTCATGACGCGCAGCTGAAGCTCGCGTGGCACGCGGTGGCCCGTCACCTGGAAGAAACCATTATGGAGACAACATTGGCGGATCTGTTCGACGAGATGGGTCTTGGCCTCGCTGTCGCTATCATAGAATGGGGAGAAATCGAGAACGGGGGGTGCTGTCGGCGCCATCCCGATTGATTTAATCAATGTACCCTATTCAACTCCGCCACAGAACCTTTCTGATACACTCTAGCAATATAAGCGTCATGATTGCTTCTCACATTCGTTCCTAATGAATGATGATCGGACAGAATACCGAAGGAGGGTCACAAGCTTGTGAGTTGGAGAAGGGGATGAAACGTCCAAGAGTGGGGTGATGGGTAAGATGGATCGACAGAGACGACCAGGATAAGCCTGATAACCACGATGCGGAGCAGCCAATAGAATATCCCCATAATTGTTATCACACTCGGGGTTTATTCTCCAGCTCAGGATGGTCTGCAATGGACGCTGCGAGAGGAGATAGAATGCTAGAGGGTGGATGGAAGTTGAGGTGTCCGATACATAGAGCGATTACCCCCTTGCAGGGTGAGACGGTGAGAGTTTGACTTCTTTTCTATATCAATTTCGCCCATTCCAACACAAAACACCAGGAAACTACGAGCATCCGCGATGTCGTCTACAGACCCCGAGACCAAGAGAGGGACGTTGCCCAGGGAGGTGGACCACGAAGCGGAGAGGTCATACGGTAGGAATCCACCGTTGCCCTAATCGACCCATACTTACCCGACCATAGTTCGCAAGGTGGACTTCGTTCTGCTGCCATTACTTTGTTTAGTAAGGGTGTCATCGCCTGGTGGAGCTCTTAGCTAATTGCTTAGATGTATTTTTTCGACTGTATGGACCGGGTAAGCAAATCGTTGAGTAGGCCCATGGGAATTGTATACAAGTACTGATCGGAATAGAGCAACTTGGGGAATGCCAAAACCGACGGACTGGAGCAGGACCTTCACTTCAAAGGCAATGACTACTCGCTGATTGTCTTGCTCTTCTACATCCCGTTTGGGCTATGCGATCTGCCCTGGAATCTGTTGCTCAAGCGGTACTCGGGGCGCATCATGCTATCATTAAGTGTGTAATGGAAATTTCCTGCGATTGCCTCTACTGACGAGATAGTGACGGTCGTTTGGGGCATCTTGGCCTTGTGCCAATGCGCGGCGAAGAGCTTTGGTGGTATGCTGGCCATCCGGGTCATTTTGGGGTGAGTATTCGTTAGTCTTCATGATCTTCCCTGGTTCGTCTATTGACATAAATAGAGTTTTCGAAGCAGGCTTCTTCGCTGGCGCCACCTTCTACTTCACCTTATTCTATACTCGCGGGGAGATGGGCTTTCGACTGGCAATTATGCAGTCGTTTGCTGTCCTGGCCTCCGCCTTCAGCGGACTGATCTCCTTTGGTGTCTTCCAAATAAACGATCCTGCTGTGAAAGGGTGGCAGTGGTTGTTTATCATTGAAGGGGCCATGACACTTGTCTGCGGAGTGATCGGCTTCTGGTGGCTCCCAGACGGTCCATCCACTGCATGGTTCCTCACGGAGCGCGAGCGAGCAGCGGCCACGGCACGGCTGCTGCGCGATACATCGTCCGAAGTGGACACAGGGTTGAACATAAAGGAGTGTTTCCAGACCTGGAATGATTGGAAGTTCCCGGTCTGGTGTCTCATCACGTTCACCTATCCTGTGGCGTACGCCACCGCCATGAACTTCTTTCCATTGGTAGGGCCTTCTGTCAAAAAGGGAGGCGATTGCTAACTCGGATAGATCGTCCAGCGATTGGGCTACTCGGCCGTCAAGACGAACCTGTGGACGGTCGCCCCGAACATGGTTGGAGCAGTGGTGCTGCTTGCAGTGGCCAAGTCTTCCGACTACTTTCGCGAAAGGACCTTCCACATCGTCTTTTCCTTAACGCTCTCCCTGGTGGGCATGGTCGTCTTATCCACAATTGACGTACTCACCAACAAAGGGGTGGCGTACTTCGCCTGTTTTCTCATGGCAGCCGGGGCCTATATCCCGTCGTGTCTGGTGCACGCGTGGCATAACAACAACAACGTACATGAGAACTCGAGGGCGGCAAATACGGGCTTCTTCGTCGGATTGGGCAACTTGGCGGGCATTATGAGTGCCGCGACGTTTCGCACGGAATATGCGCCCCAGTACGAGAACTCCTCCGCCCCTACCCGCACGGATACTGACCCCATAGGTACATCCCGACCTTGGTGGCTACCTGCTGCTGTAACGGAGTGTGCATCGTATTTACGATCGGACTGGGGCTGTGGATGCGCGGGGAGAACCGCCGACGCGATCGAGAACAGGGGGTGAGATTGCGCGGCGAGGAGGTTGACACGCGATATCTGGTAGATGGGGAGAAGAGTCCCGAATGGCGATACTTTCTGTAGATAGGGCGGCGATCACTTTGACCAGGATGCGATAGCATGACACTTGATAGGACAGGATCAAGTATCTTACCCCAACAGGAGTCAGTCAGATACGGGTGGAGAAGCCCTAAATTAGGTCGCTCCCCCGCATGGAATGGCTTGGCCAACCATACGCAACCCAAGGACATCCCTGTCTTATCAGCAAGGTCGGACAAAGGGCCGCATATTTATTTTGTTCAGCCGGTCGCTCCGACGTGAGGGGACGTTTGCATCCCACTCTTCCACTCCTCGAGATGAAGAATCACGTTTGCCAGTGGCCCAACTGCCGCAAGAGCTTCACACGGGCGGAGCATTTGCGTCGACATAGTTTGAACCATGAGCAGTCGCGCGATGGATATACATGCGAGCGTTGCTTCGTCCATTTTAACCGACCCGACCTGCTTTGTAGGTTTTCTACGACCGGTCCAGACGGTGAGGATGCTGACGGAGGGAGCAGCCAGACATATGATGCGACACACCAAACGAGACGAAGAAGCCGGGGGTCCTGGGATGGGAGTGCTTGAAACACGCAAGAGGACTCGTCGGGCTGGAGATGGAACCATCATTACTCGACCACGCAAGCGACAGGTTCAGCCACACTGCTCGGAATCCACGACGGCATCGTCCGTGTCGGTGACCAGTGGACCAGATCTGGCGCAGATCTCCCTGGATCTGGATGGTCCGACACCACATGGGGCCCCCGTATCACCTCCAGGATCCGCCAGTGACCCACCGTCGCTGTGTTTCGACGACCACGACCCCCTCCTAGCGCCCATGATGCCTGGGGGGCCATTCGAGCCGTTCGTTGAGCCGATCCCGGGGCAGTTCGACGCAGCCGACGGTGCGTGGAGTGTTGGGATGGACGGCACAAGTGACTTCTTCAGTGTGGACACAGGTGCGATGGGATTGCGGATAGCCCTATGAAATATACGACTGCTGACACAGGATGCAGCAACGGATTTCAACATGCCCTTCGCGGCGACGCATAACTACAATTGGCTATTCGACGTGGCGTCGCTAGATGATGCTTTTCACCACCTCGACCTGCCGCTCGGATCGGATATGATGGCCTTCGCGGACGGGTTCGATACTGGTCGCAATCCGATGCTGCCAGTGGCTGGACGAGTGTTTGAGCAGGATCGCAACGATCGGGATTCGTCGTCCATGCTTCTCGAGGCGGCGTCTTTCATTGATCGGGGTGCATCACAGGGAAAGATGCCTCTGCAGGATAGCGGGGACCTCCCTAACCTGGTCGAGCTGGACTGGATGTCGGGACCATCAACGTTTGACAACAACACCTCACTCTATCTTCCGCGACTGAGCGAGGAAACACGACAGGGAGTATTGAAATTGATTGCACAGTCACCACCACTGGGAGCGACGGGCCATATCACGGCGGTCGACTCGCCGCTCTTGTCGCTCGCGGCGTTGCAGAACTATAGTGATCTGTTCTTTACCCGCTTCAATACTACGTATCCTCTCATCCACCAGCCGACGTTCATGGCTGCCCACGCAGACCCCATCTTACTGGCGGCCATCCTATCTATGGGAGCGACGTACGGCACGCGCGAGGCACATCAATTGGCGGTGGGGATCCACGACAACCTCCGCAATCAGCTCTTTTGCCACGCCGACTTCTCGCCGCAGCCACCGCTCTGGGTCCTGCAGTCGATGCTGCTAGTCGATTGTTTTGGGAAAATGCGGGCAGGACCCAAGCAGCGCGAGCGGGCACAGCTCTTCCACTGCGTGCTGATCAAGTTGATCCGACGGAGCGACTGCTGCGGCGTTCGCACACACTCCGCAACAGCACCGCCACCAGACAGTCTAGACGGACAGTGGCGACGTGCCATGGATGCCGAGCAGCGGAAGCGAGTGGCGATGCACTGTTTCATGTGGGATACGCAGCACGCCGTGCTCTTCTCCCAATCCCTCTGCATGTCGGCCTTTGAGATCCGATCTTCCCTACCCTGTGGGGCCAATGCCTGGGAGGCATCTAGCGCCGAGGAATGGGCGCGGCATGCCTCGCGAGAAGCAGACCATCTCTTCCTCTCTGTGCTCAAAGGCTACATCACTCCGGGGACCATCTCGCGACCGCGCGATCTCAACGCCCTCGCGCGCATCGTGGTACTACACGGGCTGATGTCGGTTTCCGCCGATTTGAAAAGACGCGATCAAACGACGCTTCAGTCCGAGACCCCCGAGCGGGTCGGGGCGTGGACGCTGCGCATGGGCCGGTCCTACGATCTGTGGAAAGTCGATTTCGACGCTGACTGCCTCGCGATGAAACTTGGCCAGCCTGCGGATCCGCGCCGCTTCACGGGGCTGAAAACCTCCGCATACGCGCTCTTCCGCGCGGCTCACCTGGCGCTCAACGTTGAGATTCTCGACCTGCAGATTGCCGCGGGCGCGTCTCAAATACTTGGGCGCGCCGTCACGGCCGACGATCGCGAACGATCGCGCCGCAACCTGCCGCGGTGGCTTCAGGGCGACCCGGCAATTGTGGCAACGCGGCACGCCGCGACGCTCCTGCAGGAAGCCGTGCTGAGTCTCCACGACTGGGACCAGACGGACGCATTCCACTTCCCGTGGTGTTTGTATCTGGCGACGCTGGCGTGCTGGGCGTTCCACCGTGGGCTTGACCGATGCCCGCCGCACGGTCGTCTTACCACTGATCTGTCGTCGCTGATCGTGGCCATGACGACGTGTTCTACGCTGGCGGAGCTGGGTGGTCTGGGAGGAAAGTACGATCCAACGCCGTTGGTGGTGGCGATGGCTCAACAGTTGGCGACGGTGCGGTGGGCGGTGGTTCATGATGCAATGAAGGTGTTGGTGAATCTATCTACTTAGTTTATCTACAGTCTCGTATCACTGTTGTTCTAATGACTACTATTGAGTGATTTCTGATCTCGACAGTACCAAGTAGGGTATATCGCTAGTATATACCACAAGTACCGAAATCAAGCCAATATGCCGACGACTAGAGGCAATACCCCACGTCTACATCTGGAGAAACAATCTATTACCCAAGATGTAATAAAAAAAAAGAGATTAAATTGCAATAATAGACAGATTGAATAGTGACGACACTAGATTAAGACCCCAACCCCACCCTTGGACAGCGATAGGAATGCACCCCCACCGGGCAGTCATACATGTGAGGGGGAACTCCGACAGGCGCCAGTCAGACGGACTACTCCAATAGGCTGATGGTGGTCAAATATATGTACGAGGGATATGCCCGAGATTTGTAGACCATCAGGGTTCAACATTGCAATGCACATCTTGTTAATGACAGGACCCTAGCCATGGCATCAGCAGAGCTACAGACTTTTATCGACGAGAACAATGCCTCCCCCGTACTCTCTTTCTACTTGAACGGAACCAAAGTCGAACTGTACCGGCCGAATCCGCGCTGGACACTTCTCGACTTTATTCGCTCGCAGCATGGACTCAAAGGCACGAAGTTGGGTTGCGGCGAGGGAGGCTGCGGCGCGTGTACGGTCGTCCTACAGACCCGGGATCAACGGGATACGCGGCGGATCAGACATCTGGCAATCAACGCCTGTCTCTACCCGCTGGTGGGAGGTAGGTTATTTCCCCAGGATGTTGTGATAAAGCTGACAAGACAGTCGCGGGAAAACACGTCATCACCGTCGAGGCGTTGGGGACGGTGGATAAGCCCCATCCCTTGCAAGAGCGGCTCAGTAAACTACACGGATCACAGTAAGTACTCCACTTCTCAAGGCCGTGTGAGTTTGAGGTAACCCGAATAGATGTGGATTCTGCACCCCTGGCATCGTCATGTCGCTGTATGCCATGATCCGCAACGCGTACGACCCGGTGACCGGCGAGTTCAGTCTATCCGAGGACGAGATCGAGATGAAGGGACATCTGGATGGCAATCTGTGCCGGTGTACAGGATACAAGCCGATACTGCAGGCGGCGAAGTCGTTCGTGCAGGAAGACTTGCAAGGGCGCCTGAAGGTGGTTCCAGGGAACAGTCCAATCGCGTCGTCGGTGGATGACTATCCTGCGTCGGTACCAAGCTCCCAGTCGTGCGGACGACCGGGAGGGTGCTGTCGGGATACGCCCAGTTCGGCGTGCTCGTCGAGCTCCCAGGATGAGCAGTGCAGTTCGCAGACTAGCGTTTCGACAACCGACTCCACATCGGACAAGAAAGAGCTGGCACCCCAGATTGAGTTCATCCCATATGTCCCAGCAACGGAGCTGATCTATCCTCCTGGGCTTTCCAAATACCAATCCAAGCTGGTTGCATACGGCGACGACGGTAAAGTATGGCTGCGCCCGACAATTCTAGACCAAGCCCTGACAATCCTTGCCCAACAACCATCCGCCACACTCGTTGGTGGCGCCAGCGAAGTGCAGGTGGACACCCGATTCAAAGGGTGCAACTTTGCTGTCTCCGTGTTCGTGGGTGATCTCCAAGAGCTGACGGGGATTACCGTGCCGGAGGACCTATCAAGCATGTCTGAGCTCATCGTAGGAGGCAACGCGTCTCTGAGTGACCTGGAGGAGACATGTGGCCAGCTGGCGCCCCAGCTCAAACAGCGAGGATCTGTTCTCACCGCGGCCGCGAAGATATTGCGATACTTTGCCGGTCGCCAAATCCGCAATGCGGCGTCGCTGGCTGGGAACATAGCCACGGCGTCACCCATCTCCGACATGAACCCACTGCTGCTGGCCGTGAACGCACAGGTTGTCGCGAAGACCGCGTCCGGGGAGACGACCCTGCCGATGGACTCCATGTTCCTGGGATATCGAAAGACGGCGTTACCCCCTGGGAGCTTAATCACGCAGATCAAAATACCGTTGCCTCCAGCCGGGGTCCGCGAGATCACCAAATCCTATAAACAGGCCAAGCGCAAGGACGACGACATCGCGATCGTGACGGCGTCTTTCCGCGTCCGACTGGACGGAGACGACCACGTGAGCGAGGTAGCCCTAGCCTACGGGGGGATGGCACCCATGACAGTCCTGGCCCAATCCGCAGGGGCATACCTCCGGGGCAAGAAGTGGAGGGACCAAGCGGTGCTGGATGGTGCTCTGAATGCGCTGATCAGCGACTTCAATCTCCCGTACAGCGTGCCAGGAGGGATGGCGACATATCGCCGCACGCTCGCACTGTCCCTGTTCTTCCGATTCTGGAACGAAGCGTCATTGGAGTTCGGGCTAATTGCAAAAGCCGACTGCGACGCGGACATCACGGAGGAGATCCACCGTAAGATCTCGCAGGGGACACGCGACGAGCACAATCCGCACGAGCAGCGCGTGGTCGGAAAGCAGCTCCCTCATCTGTCAGGATTGAAACACGCCACGGGCGAAGCGGAATACATCGACGACATGGCGCCGCTAAGCGGCGAGCTCTTCGGAGCCATGGTGCTGTCGCAGCGCGCCCACGCCAAGCTTGTCTCTGTAGATTGGACGCCGGCCCTCCAGCCTGGATTGGCAGTGGGGTACATCGACCGACATAGCATCCCGGCGGAGAGAAACCACTGGGGGTCAGTGGTGCACGACGAGCCTTTCTTCGCCGGTGACGAGGTAATCGCACACGGGCAGCCGATCGGGCTCGTGTACGCTGACACGGCACTGAAGGCCCAAGAGGCAGCCAAGGCCGTGAAAATCGAGTACGAGGACCTCCCGGCGATATTGACCATCGACGAGGCGATCGAAGCGAAGAGTTTCTTCAACCACGGCAAGGAGCTGCGAAAGGGCGCCGCTCCGGACGGAATGGACGACGTGTTTGCGAAATGCGACCGAGTCTTTTCTGGCGTGACGCGGATCGGAGGACAGGAGCATTTCTACCTCGAGACGAATGCTGCTCTGGTGGTGCCGCATGCTGAGGATGGCACGATGGATGTGTGGTCGTCTACACAGAATACGTAAGTCTCTTCCTCTTTTCTTTCCTTCTTGGTCTGTTTTCTTCAAGTATCATCTACAATACTAACAATATGAACCAGAATGGAAACGCAAGACTTTGTCTCCCAAGTCACCGGGATGCCCGCGAACCGGATCAATGCTCGCGTCAAACGCATGGGTGGCGCATTCGGTGGAAAAGAGTCCCGCAGTGTCCAGCTTGCCTGTCTGTTGGCGATCGCAGCGAAAAAGGAACGCCGACCGATGCGGGCGATGCTCAACCGGGACGAGGACATGATGACCAGCGGACAGCGCCATCCCATTCAATGTCGATGGAAGGTGGGTGTCATGAACGACGGCACGCTCGTTGCACTGGACGCCGACTGCTATAACAACGCCGGGTTCTCGACGGACATGAGTGGCGCCGTGATGGATCGGTGCTTGACACACATGGAGAACTGCTACCACATCCCGCATGTGCACCTTCGGGGGTGGGTGTGTCGGACGAATATCCACTCCAACACGGCCTTCCGGGGATTCGGTGGGCCGCAGTCGATGTTTATCGCGGAAAGCTACATGAATGCGGTGGCAGAGGGGCTCAACATGTCGGTCGATGAGCTGCGTTTTCGCAATCTCTACAAAGAAGGGGAGTTGACGCCGTTTCTGCAGCGCATCGACGAGGACTGGCACATTCCCCTTCTGCTGCAGCAGGTCCGAGAAGAGGTCAAGTATGACGAACGGCGACAGGCGATCGCGAAGTTCAACAAGGAGCATCGCTGGCGTAAGCGTGGCATGTGCATGATCCCCACTAAATTCGGCATCTCGTTCGCGACCGCCGTGCACCTCAACCAAGCAGGGGCGTCTGTCCGGATCTACACGGACGGTTCGATCCTTCTGAACCACGGCGGTACCGAGATGGGCCAAGGGCTGTACACCAAGATGGTGCAGGTGGCGGCCCAGGAGCTTGGGGTTCCCGTCGAGAACGTGTACACCCAAGACACATCGACTTACCAGACGGCGAATGCATCCCCCACGGCTGCGTCATCGGGCAGCGACCTCAACGGGATGGCCGTGAAGAACGCGTGCGATCAGTTGAACGAGCGTCTGCGACCGTATCGTGAGCAATTCGGGGCCGACGCCTCCATGGCGACGCTGGCGCATGCTGCCTATCGCGATCGGGTTAACCTCGCTGCCAGTGGATTCTGGAAGATGCCGAAAATCGGATACCAGTGGGGGAACTATGACGTGAACACGGTGAAGCCGATGTACTTCTATTTCACACAGGTATGTTTTAACGTTCGAAGCAGCCGTAGGACGGTACTAACTGATATAGGGCGTGGCATGCACCGAGGTCGAATTGGACCTGTTGACCGGAGACCACACGGTCCTGCGGACAGACATCAAAATGGACATTGGACGATCTATCAACCCAGCCATTGACTACGGGCAGATCGAAGGAGCGTTCGTGCAGGGACAGGGTCTGTTCACGATGGAGGAGAGTCTCTGGACGCAAGGAGGACAGCTTGCGACGCGCGGACCGGGCAATTACAAGATCCCCGGGTTCAGCGACATCCCACAGGAGTTCAACGTCAGCTTTCTCCAGGGGGTGTCGTGGAAGAACCTGCGGTCTATCCAGAGCAGCAAGGGGATTGGAGAGCCGCCACTGTTCCTCGGGGCGACCGTCTTGTTTGCGCTCCGCGATGCGCTGCGGAGTGCGCGAGAGGATAACGGGGTGGTGGGACCGTTGGTGTTGGATAGCCCGGCGACTGCAGAGCGGTTGAGACTGTCCGTTGGGGATGAGATTCTGAGGAAGGCAGCGATTGAGCCCACGGAGGGAGAAAGGAATTTCTTCGTGACGGTGGCTTAGTGTGGTTAGGTTGTCCGAGTCGACGTATAGTAATGCATTCTACTTTCTCGATGTATGATGCCTGGGGTATCCCAGGCCGTAAGACCTCAAGTCAGAAGGATTCCCCAGTGAGCGATATAAACCAGGGAGGGACGTCAGTAGTGGATATGCGGTAGACGTAGAAGCTGACCGTTGGTGAGGGCAGCTCCAAGGACATTGTAGATGGGGCTCATCTTGTTCCTCTGAGGCCTGGCTTGCCCCGTTTTCGTCCATGGAAAACCGGTTAAGCAACTTTAGAATGACATGGCTTTGGCTGGCTACGAATTTACCCGAGCCTCACTGACGGTTAGGATATGAGTGAGATCATTCGTGAATTCGCGAGCCCACCTGGTGATCGATTGGCGGGTGTATCGGCCATACCATCTTGGATTATATTTATCGAAAGGGGGCGGACGTGGTTATTGAATTGAGTTATTGGCCGTCCATGATGTATGCCATGAGCGATGCCGGTATACATTCTAGAGCTGCAATCCCGATGCAAGCTGTTAGTCCCCGTTCAGTCGTTCGCGGCAGTATCGGAATCCTGTATCTACCGACCGGATCACACTTGCTTGTAGATGGGAGAGACAGGCGGCTCCACCGACATCTGGTTGCAAGCTGACGTCGGACGGAGGGAAGAACATCCAGTTCTGACGCGATCAAACCGAAAACCAAAACCCTTAAGCATCACCGATCTAGTGGCAAGAATACCTGTATACACCCGGCCGATCGTGACCCATAGCATAGCGTCATTCTCGTATACGGCACGCTGTTAGGTAGTCTGGCCGAGAATCATTGTCCCGATTGGCATAGACCGACCGTGTGAGACTTCTCTTCTCTCTCACCTTTGCAAGTGACCGAGAGATGATGGATATCCAATTGAAGTTATCGGGAGGAAATATAAGAGGCAACCCGAAGAACTGGGGTTTACTCAAGGATCCCGATCCATAAGACACACTGTCTCGGACGGAAATTTCACGACTGATGAAGGACCTGCCGACCAAAACCAACATTCACTCTCCGAACCAGTGAAGAGAAACAGCCCGGATAAAACGACGGATAAAACCGTCTTTTCTCCAGCCGAGGTCGGCTAAAACCGCATCGGGGGCCAGGAGCGATGTCCGCGCGACAAGGAATAAACCGACTGGATCGTCATGTTCAAATGGGCTCCACTCGGGAAGCGGACGGAGCCTGCTTCTCCAGTCTCCTGGTCTGCAACCCCGGACCTCCACATTCGTGGTGGGTCGATCACTTCTCGTTTCAGACCCGGGGAGCCCCGCCGTCGCAGTCACCCCGGACTTAGACTGCGAAAATGGTGTCGACCTGGGACAGAGAGGAGGGGAAACGCAAGGGAGAGACCGGGTGGTCTGACACCTGAGTTGGAGACCTATATAAGGCCAGGGAGGTCGCGAGGCTGGTGCCTCGATCATCGATCCACCCCGATCGGAATTTTGCAGCCACCCGCCGTCACGATGTATCGGATCTCGAATATCTACGGTAAGCAATATAGTCCGCAGGAGGTGGCGCAAACCAGCTAATCGGAAGCAATCCAGTTCTGGCGTGCTTCGGCACTATCGGGGGCGCCCTCTTTGGGTTTGATATCAGCTCCATGAGCGCGTGGATTGGGGCTCCTCAGTATCTGGAATATTTCGACAGTCCCGACTCGAATCTACAGGGTGGTGTACGCTTCTCCCTCATTCCATGTCAGAATATCCTCGGTCTAACGGTCGGTAGATTACGGCATCCATGTCGGCCGGTTCCTTCGTCGGTGCCATCGCCGCCGGGTTTATATGTGATTACGTCGGTCGTCGCATGGTGCTCATCATAGCTTGTTTCATATGGATCGTCGGTTCCGTGGTGCAGCTGAGCTCGCAAAACATCACCCACCTGGTCGCAGGTCGCGTGGTGAGCGGTCTATCAGGTATGTAGAGAGGTCGATCCATCCAATATCCCACGTGCATCTGACTCCCCGACCAGTCGGCATTACTTCCTCCCAGGTCTGCGTCTACCTGGCCGAACTCGCCCCCGCACGCATCCGCGGTCGCATCGTCGGTATCCAACAGTGGGCCATCGAATGGGGTATCCTGATCATGTACCTGATCTCTTACGGCTGCACGCAAGGGATGGGCGAGAGCGACCCCGCGGCCTTCCGCATCGCCTGGGGTGTGCAGGCCATTCCGGCAATCATCCTGCTTTGCGCGCTGCCCTTCTTCCCCGAGTCCCCCCGTTGGCTCGCCGGTCAAGAACGCTACGAGGAGAGTCTGGACACGTTGGCCCTGCTGCACGGGAACGGCGATCGCGCGCACCCAGAAGTGCAGGTCGAGTGGGCGGAAGTCCAGGAGGCGGTGCGACTGGCGCGCGAGTCGAAGGATATCTCATTCTTTTCGCTGTTCGGGCCCAAGATCTGGATGCGCACGCTGTGCGGTGTTAGCGTCCAGGTGTGGCAGCAGTTGCTGGGTGGGAATGTCGCTATGTACTACGTGGTGTACATCTTCCAGATGGCCGATATGGTGAGATCTTTGTCACCCCTTCCTGTGGGTTGTTGAATAAGTACTGACTCATGGTTGATGATAGACTGGCAACACGACACTGTACTCCTCCGCCATCCAATACGTTATCTTCCTGGTCACGACAGGCTTCATCCTCCCGCTGATCGACCGCTTGGGCCGTCGCAAGCTGCTGCTCTTTGGCTCGGTCGCCTGCATGGTGCTACACTACGCGATTGCCGGCGTCATGGCGACGTATGGCACTCCCGTGGATGACGTTAACGGCAATGCCAACCTCAAGCTGGTCATCAAAGGCGCGCCGGGCAAGGCAGTCATCTCGCTGTCTTACATCTTCACCGGAATCTACGGTCTGACCTGGGTAAGTCTACCCCACACCTGTGCATTTCACTATTGGAACGACCGCAAAGCATAAAAAGAATGAATAACAAGACTAACAAAACGCAGGCTCCCACCGCATGGGTCTACTGCTCGGAAGTCTTCCCCCTCAAGTATCGAGCCAAAGGCGTGGGTCTCTCCGCCGCCGGCAACTGGATCTTCAACTTCGCGCTGGCGTATTTCGTCGCGCCGGCCTTTACCAACATCCAGTGGAAGACGTACATCATCTTCGGTGTGTTCTGCACTGTGATGACCTTCCACGTGTACTTCCTGTACCCCGAGACGGCGATGAAGACTCTGGAAGAGGTTGATGAGATGTTCGACCAAAATGTGCCGGCGTGGCGGTCGCATGAGATGGGGGATAAGTTTGGCGAGCAGGTCGAGCGCCAGCGACAGGAGACGGAGAAGACGGGGGGGGTGGAGCATACTGAAGTTGTTTAATTTGTTCTTGGGGGGTTGCGCTGTCTAATCAATAATAATAGATGTATTCATATTGGCCAGTCCAGGCAAAAGTGAAAGCCTAGGTAACGACCTTAGGGTTCAGCGTAGCAGGTGACGACAGTAACGACCCATAAGAAGAACTCCAGTATCTTTCGCGCATCGCTCAAGGGGTTTATCCAGTCCATTGACACCATAAGCACAGACATAAATGCAATATAATACAGACCAACACCATCGCTAAGAACAATCCAGAGCAATCAGAAGATTATACGCAAATTCCACCCAACGCAAATCACCCGAGCGGCGAAGAAAGCCATCATGGACGCAAAGTAAAGACCACCACCAAACACGATGACGCCCCAGTAATCACCCCCTGCCCGTTCGATAATCGCCCCGCCGACAGGGATGCTGATGAGCGTGCCGATACTGGCAACGGTGTAGGCCGTGCCGTTGCGCTTGCCGTAGTCGGCCGTGTCGCAGACCTGCGAGACGGACACAGGGGCGAGGCTGAACCCAGCGCCACACCAGTACCCGAAGAAGATAGCGTAGCAGATCAGGGCCTTGAGGTCGTTTCCAGCAGGGAGCCAGAGAGCAAGGGTGAGGGCTGAGCAGATGAGCGAGGTTACGACCAGCGAGTTGAACCGGCCGATGCGGTCGGCGACAAGGCCGGTGATGGAACGACCGGGGATGCCTGACAAACTGATGATGATGGTAAGAAGCCAGGACATCTCACTGTCTAGACCGACGTGGCGCGCGTAGGAGGGGATATAGCTGAAGGGAATCATGAAGGAGAACTCAATCAGGAAGATGGCGAGGACGGTGATAGCGTAGCGGACGTCGCGCAGGGCGCGGAAGTCGACGGACGCGCCGGCTTTCGTGTTCGGCGGAAGTCGCGTGCGCAGTAGGAAGCAGCCGCAGGTGCAGAGAAGGACGGTCAAGAGAGCGTAGATGCGGATCGCCCACTCGAAGCCGATCGTGGGCGCGGCGAATAGGATGATGACGGAAAAGATGGCGCCGCCGAAGCCACCCGCTGTCAGGGCGACGCCGGTGGCGAACGCCCGGCGCTGGTTGAACCAGTGGCCGACGCAGGCAATGACAGGGGTGTAAAGCGTACTGCCGGAGAGGCCACCAAGGATGCTGAAGGACAGGAACATCTGGTAATATTCTGGGAAGGTTAGTTGGTGCAAGGGGGGAGAAGGGAAGTGGGACTGTACCAGTGCTGAAGCTAAAACAGATCAGGCTTACGACCAGTCCAATCGACCCAGGTATTATAGCGATTTGAACGCCATACGTGTCGAAGATTGGTCCTGGAACTGGAGTTAGCTGGCGATCGGACAGGACATCAAAGATAGTACGTACCTGCCTGCGCCCCGGCGGCGAAGACGAAAAACCCATAGGTGCTGAATATCCAGCCGATGCTGGACTCGGAGTATCCGTGCAACTGATGCTCAAAAGTCCACGCCTGCAAGATCCCCAGGCCATTCAGCAATCCCATCGGCGGCAGCAGCATGCACCAGGCTCCGAGAACGACTAGCCAGGCCCGGTAGCCGCCTTCGGGGTAGTCACAGTCATTGCAATCGATAGAACTATTGGGCGAGAGCGGGGCTTCGAGCTTTTCGGCCTTTTTCCCGGGCATTCCAGTCTGCATGGGCGCTTGTATGACGTGATATTGCCAGTGGGAAGGTCGTCAGGGTGTCTGGAAGAACACTAGGAGCAGGCGCTTTACACGAGCCAAAGATTGCTGAAATTGATGTCTTAAGTGGTAGTGCGATCAAGGGATTCACCTCATGACATGATCGTGCCAGAGGGTGTACGCGGCCACCCTCACCCCTAGCACCCTCTCAGGCTGTCCATAGTACATGTCGGAAAAGAAGCAATCTCTTGCCGGTGCATTGAGGGGAATGGGTATGGGAAACCGGGTCTTTGCGCCTTTCACAGAATGCTGGTGGGAGGCACCGCAAGGAGAAGACGCAAGGGATATACATAAGCTCATCACGAAGTCCAGCCACGGCCAAAGGGGGGAATGGATGAGGTGTCCTTCTTGTATTGCCCTGACGATCTATTCACCCAGCCCGTGCTTCGGCAAGAACTTGTTTGCTAGTGTGGGCTGTTGCATGCGGATATTCCACATTCTGATGGAATTGTGGAGTGGGTGGAGGGATATTGAAATATCTTTATGAATGGACAACTACTTTCTATCAATGAGCTCGGAGAATGATATAACGGGGAAATCATATATGTGAATATGTAATCAGTGGTTTCAGATCATATTGGATCCACTGAAAATTCTTGGGATCATCTAGGCTGTCGCCTAAACATCCTTTTTTGGTCAGTATACATTTGTCGGTCTAGATTACTTCCTTCGTCGCGGGTGACATGTTACTCACACGGGATCCTTTCGGGTACAATATCACAAGGACATCCCCGGCCCAGACCACTTCAGAGGTTCATTGCTCGGTTGTCAGACTATTTGGCAAGCTTCTGCGTTGGTAGACATGGGATTCTTTGACTTAGTGAAAAGCACAGATTCTCCTCGACACGACACGCGGCCTAGTCGGCATCCACCACCTGGAATGTCCCAAGCATTCATTATCGGCGTATATCACGGTAGGGCTGGGTCACGACGGCCTCATGACATAACTCATGTCAACGGCGGAAACTGACTAGTATCAAAAGATCAACCTGTGCCTGGTCAATAGTAGTCAAGTGTACAGACACCATGAATAGTGGGATATACTGGAGGTCGGCACTATTCACATACCCACATTCCAGCAGATGACGTATTACTCGGCATTCTCAATGATATCACATACTCGAGAAAGGACATGTAGTCATTTAGCCCGTGGAGCCATGTTCTCTCTTATCTAGGTCTATACCTATATTCGGATTCCTAGATTGTGTGATTGTTTTTCATGCGGAGATGTTTCCTTGTGTATATTTTGGTCAGAGGCGGTCGATGGAAAGGGGGAAACGACATAGGCACAACCAAATAGACTTAACTCCATTATAATCATTGGACGATTATCACACAGCCACCGTATAGTGAATGGTAGGTTCATCAGTAGACTCTAGATCGATGAGCATGGGCCACACAAGATCATTCGTTGCTGTCTCTGCCTTAGGCCACAGCACATGACCGGGATGCCCTAACCGGGACCATCTCAACTTCACCTATCTACTCCATCAAGGGCATCAAACTCCTGGCATTGTTCATGTGGAGGCTATACACCAGGGCACACTCATTGGTCCCTTCTATATTCAAGTCGCAATCAAGCCTAGACTGTCTCCAATCCCTCCCGTCCGATCTGCCAACTGCCAGGATCATGCCCCCCCTAAATCCCTGCATGCAGCTAGCCAATCACCACCCCACTCCGGCATCAGATCGGGCCAAAACCACCAAATCAGCCAGAACCCACACCTAGAACGAGAATAGATCTGTCTGACATCAGCTAGAACAGTCCACCGCCTTCCACCCCTCCATGCCCGACACTCACAAAACCGCCTCCAGTAACACACCACTACCAACGGACAACAACCCACACCGAACCACCCACCATGCCCCTCCCCCGCATCGCCTGCTTCCACGGCGGCGGCTCCAACTCCCAAATCTACGAGATGCAATGCTGCCAGCTTGCCGAGCTCCTCAAGCACGATTTTCAGCTCGTCTACTTCGACGGCCCGTTCGACCGCCCCGCGGGGCCGGGCGTCCTCCCCGCCTTCCGTGACTACGGGCCCTACCACTCGTGGTTCAAGACAGATACGTCATCTATCCTGGGCAGTCTCTGCGGCAGCGAACGGTCCGACGGTAGCGGTTTCGACGAACAAAACACAGACGGGGTGGAGCGCGTGTTGACTCTGATGGCGAACGACAAGACCGGGGCCGGCGGGCCGTGGGTGGGCGCCATAGGATTCAGCCAGGGCAGTCGCGTGGTGGGGGGATTGTTACTCGCACAGCAGCAGCGGCAACAGCAACAAGAAAAGCAACAAGAAAAGCAACAAGAAAGCAGCAGGACAAACATCAGGCTCCAGTTCGGGGTGCTATGCATGGGATCCGGGGCACCGATGGAGTCGAAAGGCGTCAAGAGCAGCGAGCTGGTGCGGATGCCGACGCTGCATGTGCACGGACTAAAGGACATGTTCCTTCCGCTGGGACGGCACCAATTCAGCACGTATTACGACACGGAGCGGGCTCAGTTATACGAAGTGGACTATCATCATGCGATGCCTTGGGTGAAGCACGAGGCGCAGGAGTTGGCGGCGTTGATGCGGAAGTTATACCGTGAGACAAAGGATGCATGATGTGCGGGATAACTGCGGGTTTATGGGGTTTGTATGGTGGATCTGTTGGAGGGGAACCGATGTTCCTAACGAGCGAATCGAACGCGACCTGATGGCCCTCTGTGCAATGGGACGTGGACGAAAAATTCCGTGTCGACGCGAAACATATCGCGCACTGATTAGCAGATAGAGCATGGATATAGACTTTGAATTGTACCCTGGCGATGTGACCATACACGCGCACTGAAAGTTCCTATGCTCCAACTCGTTGCGGCCAACCCCCGTCCACAATGGTGTAGTCTAGCACGGGTCAGCGACAGCCTCGACAGCGGGTTCGCCTCGTCTTCTGCACTGACCATCCCCGACGTTGGTTCCTTTCTTGAAGGCTTCGCCGATCTTCTGACAAGCATCGTTGGCGGCCGGGGTGGGCGCGGGCGCTGCCAAAGGGCGCCCGCGAGGGTACGTAGTAATGGCAGTTTTAGGACCATGGTAGGAAAATGAAGGAAACACAGTGAAACAAGATTGACTCAGTTGGAGAAAATTCGTGCGATCGTCCCAGCCCTGTTGGAAACGAAAGACAAGACAGAAAGGATGGAATGGCTACGGTTGCGACCAGGGGTGAACATGACAGCGAGGCCCGCCTGTTTACTTCCAAACGCAGTATGCACGATGCTCGGAGGACCGGAGCGACAGGACATGCTCAATGTCTGTCTGCCGGTGACAGGAAATTCTGGAGGAAAACCAGAACTCCATGCCTCTCTCATGGCCCTGTACTGCTGGTTCGGGTGAAGGAATGGCAGCCCGGCGATCCTGCCGTTTCCCTAACCCTACACGAATTCCCCTGGCTCATCGACGGCAAATGATGGTTTGGTTAAGAGCTCACGGTCACTGTGGATCGGGACCTACTGTTTCCCCGACTTCACTCGTGGATGGCGTCAACCCGGCTGAGGCTGGGATCACCAGTGGGAGATTGAAACCCTCCTATACCAGTTGACGTTGGCAGAGTATGGCTTGCTCAGCGGCGGATATAATTACCCGTTTCGCGCCGCAGTAATAATCGCTGCATGGTTTAAGCCATAGCGTTGACATAGAACAGCTCACTTTGCGCCTCTGTGGGGAAGCATAACCAACGTAGATCTGACAGTGGCTTTGTTAATTCCTCTCATCTTCATCCATTACAGTTGATGGCAACCACTGGAAACTGCATTAACTAACAATTGCTATGTGATCCGCCTTCTCGGCCTTGAAATAGCATGGATGACTTTATGCCTCTTCTAGGGACATAGTAGGTGACAGGCAAGAATTCCAACGATTGAAGTGGCCTGGATATTTGAGATCCCCTTTCCAGGTGTCACTCATGTGGTGGATGCGATCAGTCTATTGTCACTGATAGGTTGTGTTGGCGCTGTACTCTTTCCAAGCGCCCTAGGTATCTAGACACATGACAATCGGTTTTTCATTGGGTTTGGGACAATATTGAAATTACAGGATAAGCGCCAGGATGTCTTAGCCACTGCAGCCTTCCACGGCGTGACCACTACGGTCCTATAAAGTCGAAATCATTCAAGACATACTTGAAGTTCTTTGGAAGGTTGATTTACATCATATCACAACTTTCGTAATCTTCGTTCTACCTATCCATACCCCATAACGACAGTGACTCTGTCATGGCCCTACATCAACCCCAAAGCCGCGATGCCTTCAACATCGCCGTATTCTGCTCTCTCCCCTTGGAAGGAAACGCAGTCGAGTCCGTATTTGACGAGGTCTACGACGACATCGGAGACATCTATGGCAAATCCTCCTTCGACGAAAACGCATACTTCCTGGGTCGAATCGGTCACCATAACGTCGTGCTCGTCTATATGTCCCACGCGGCACGATTATCAGCCACCCGGTCGGCACTTCATCTTCAATCAAGCTTCCCCAATGTTTCACTAGCACTGGCAGTCGGGATCTGCGGCGGCGCACCGAAGACCCCCGACGGGCGACATATTTTTCTTGGGGATGTGGTGGTTAGCCATTCGATCTTTCCATATGACATAGGGCCACTATACGGGGATGAATTCGACCTCGCTGATCAGCCACATGAACCCATGCTGCTGCTATCACCGGAGCCCCAAGCACTCCTGGCAAAGGTCCAGACTGTACCACACTCTCATCAGGTGAGGTCCCGACATACACAGCATCTGGCTGCCGCATTGTCCGCTGCGGGTATGGAGGACAGCGCCTACCCTGGTGCCAAAAACGATGTGCTGCGTACGGTTTGCACAAATTTTGAACTGCCAGATATTGAGGACAGTGAGGATGGCCCCGATAGCACGATAGACCCAGACACACGGCACACAATATCTGGTAGGATCCGACAGCGATCTGGCCTGATGAAGAGCCCCGGTGAGAACCCCGACCCAGCCATGCACATCGGACTCATAGCGTCCGGGGACTCACTCGTCAGATCTTCCGCGGATCGAGACCGATTCGGGGAGGACTATGGGGTGATCGGTTTCGATATGGAAGCAGCGGGACTGGGGGAGGTGCTCCCGTGTCTCGTCATCAAAGGCGTGGCCGATTATGCGGACAGCGACAAGGATAGAAAGTGGCAAGCTTATGCTGCAGCGAGCGCTGCAGCCGGGATGAAGGCCCTCCTGGAGCATTATTCTCATGACGATTCATCGTCCCCCAGTGAGTTCACAGCCATTGTCCTGGAAGAGAAACCTCTGCCCCCCAGAACACCGACTCTGTGCACCGGTGTCCATATTGGCCAGTCCACGGTGCATTCTCACAACATCCAGGTTTAGCAGGTGTTGAGATATCAGACATAACAAGCCCGACCAAAGTGACGATTCGATATTTTGGCGCAGTGGCCGAGGGAAGGGAACGCATCAAAGTGGGTCCGTTACCCCATGTGGAAGCCAGGGTTGTACCCATGTCTTGGGGGGTTATTCATTTACTTCGTTCTCATATCATGGAGTTTCGTAGCAGCAGGTGTCGGCTACTAGTTAAGGATGAGTGTACTGACATTGTTCATCACTCGCACTCATTATCACTGGAATGATGCAATGTTTGTTATCATACTTGGGAACTCTTATAGTAGTGTTATATATATTCTCTCGGGCCCAAGGACGGTATTTCTCACAATCATTCATCAACCACATCATTCTACGAAAACATGCCCATTGACTACCAGCACCTCTTCCAACATCTACAAGCCCCTACCAACACCCATCTCCATACTATAACCTGTGGGACACGATGGACAGTACTTCGGAAACACGGGTGAGCCACTCACTAAACCCCATCAGGAGAGGGTATGGGGACGCCACCAAGCCTGGTGGATCTAGCATATCTATCCAATCGCGTTCACGCCTTCCTTTCTATTCTTCACACACCTCCCCACACCTCCACGGTCCATTCAGTAGATATCCTGGACGCACCATGGAGTTTATGAACCTACCTCTCGAGATCATCAGCTACATTGCCTCGTGTTTGACGTTTGACCATGACATTAGTTCCTTGGCGCGGACCAATCGCCTATTGCACGATCTACTCGATCGCGATCTCTACAAACACAACATCCGCCATTCTGATTCAGCGGCCCTGGAATGGGCCTGCGTTCACGGAAAGGAACCACTCGCTCGCAGGATGCTTGAGCTGGGCGCCCCGCCCGACGCAACCGTGGATGAACCCTGGAAGCCTCTAGCTATGGCCGCCATGCACGGGCACGAGTCGATTGTCCGGTTGTTCCTCGAAAAGGGCGTAGACCCCAACCCGACCGACGAGTGGCAGAATCCAGAGTTTTTCGATGAGGATGACGAAGACGACAGCCAGTTTAAATGCCCCCTCACCTTGGCAGCCGAACACGGCCACGTGTCGGTCGTGCGGGCATTGCTGGACCACGGCGTCAATCCCGCACCTCGCCCGAGCCGGCGCAAGCGGTCGCCGCTAGAGATGGCGGTGATGGGGGGTCATATCCCCGTGGCGAGGTTGTTAGTGGACCGTGCCGTGCAGGGGGGAGGTGAAAAGCCATTTACTCAGCTCGCGGTAGCGCTAGCGGTGATATACGAGCAGGTCGACATGCTGCGGTACTTGCTGGACATCGAGGCTGACCTGGGGTCGCTGTCGGACCAGTTGGAGTTGGTGGAATTTGTGGTAAACAAGGGCAGGATGGACCTGGTCCAAATGCTGCTGGAGCGCGGGGTGGGCGTGGCGCGTCAGACGCGCATCGACTCGCAGTGGGCGCCGGCGGGCTCGGCGCCGCGAGAAGGCCCGGCCATGGTGGAGCTCGCCGTGAGCCAGCTGGATGTAGACGGAATTGCGAAGAACCAGGGCGATGCTGCGAACTTTCTGCTGCATGTTGGTGCGCAGCACGGACTGGAATGGCTGGTCGAGCGACTCCTACGCAGCGGGTGCGATCCGAACATGAATCTTTTGCCGGTGGCGTGGATACCACAGTCCCGGCCCGGTGAGCTGGCGGAGGCCCTGGCAGCCTGGACGGGGAACAGTCAGATAGTCAGGCTCCTGGTGGAAGCGGGTGCTCGCAAGGACGGTGTATTGAAGAGGGTCATGATTGACGCCATCTGCGGAGGGCACACAGGCGTGGTCGACTTGCTCCTGGACCATGGAATCGATCCGGACACAACGGAGACATGGGGCTTTCCGGTTATCGAATTAGCTATCCAACACGAGGAGACATTCCACCTGCTGGTCGACCGGGGTGTGGCCATCGCGGGTGTACCGCACCTGATGGGGCAGACGATCATGCAAGGAAAGCCCAGCCAGGTGCAGAGACTGCTAGACGGTGGATATCCGCTGGAGGGCTTGCCGAACATGTCGGTGCTCGAACTTGGTGCGCATAACGGTCCGGCGATGCTTCAATTCCTCTTTAGTCGCGGGGTGTGCGCAGATCCAACCAGCACTCGCGACGAGCGGCCCTTTGAATTTGCTGTCCAAGATGGAAGAACCACAGTGGCTCGGGTGTTCTTGGACTGGGGCTTCGACCCTAACTTCCTGACAAGTGGTTGCCGACCCCTGCAGCTTGTATACCTGATCGATGAGGATGATCTCGAGCCCATGTGCGATCTTCTGATCCGCTACGGTGCCGATGTCAACGCGACGACCCCCGACAAAGACAACGAGCCCATACTGTCGTTTTATATCAAGAGCAACGACACCGGAGGAGCTGACGAGGCTATCCGGCTGCTGCTCAAGAAGGGAGCAAACCCCCTGGCGGGTGATCCCATCCGACGCGCTCCCCTGGCTACCGCGGCCCGTCTCGGCCAGTATCACATCGTCGAGCTCCTTCTGAACGCCATCCCCGACGGTGGTTCGTCGTTAGCCCGATTCAAGCAAGTCGTGGACTCCCTGGAATCGAGCCTACTCCGCCCGCACAGACCCAGGATGATGAGGATGATCGAGTGCTACCATCAACGCATGCGCTCCTCAATAACGCCTGGGAATGTCGGACCTATGAAGAGAGAGAGACATTTGTCTACCCAGTCTAGATCTAATCATTGAGCTTCATTCCTCCTGGCCTTGCATACCCTTGGTTCAGCTGGCCCATTGACACCCATTAACCATCGTTCACCGGATCGACAGCGGGCCTTGAGGAGCCAGGTTTCCATTTGTGCGGATGTGGAATCCGTGGGTCGAGTGGGTCACAGTGACGTGTGTTGCCGTGTGTTGCCGGTTGTTCCTCTGCAGACCTTTCACGTAGTATTCTATCAATTGATACCGTTTATCCATTCTATCAATGCTTCTCTATTTATTCTAGCAATGTTTCTATTACTTTATTGTATCAGCCTGTTCATGCCTCAATAATTTTCGAAAATGTTTTCAACAGCGTTCGCATACCACGTACAGGACCAGACCGATGCCAAACAAGGGATGGATGGAGAATGTCCACATTCATCTCATCTGGACGCCAAGAATGGTGATCATCCAGCATTGAAAACAAGGTAAACATGATAAACATGCAAAACAGTAGGGCTCGCCCTACTGCATGCCCTTTATAAGACCTTCGGTCGCATGTCGTCCATCCGAGTTTTCATCTTTCCCATTTTTCTCCCGCAGGTGGCAGGAATTCACCAAAGGATGTCCTGACTGGTGCTGTTGGGGGTTTTGGACACAAATCTGCCAGGAGCTGCCTCCTTGCTGTCCTGGATGGCCATATCCCTCTCTTGTGGGTAATGGCGACACTGCATTGATATAAGCTCGACGATGCTCGAGGGCTACTGTATCAGATCTATCCATTCTACTAACTCATTAGGATCTATCAGCACAGTCCATATACCGGTACGTTTATCCCTCTCCACACTACCCTTGCATATGATGATACCTTTTTTCCATTTTGCCCCTGAACTTTTGTTATGGTGAAATTGAATTTCCTTCAAGACGGGTCTCTGACTGCTCCATTCTTGCTTCGAATCGTTCCTTTAATTCTCATGGATTATGCTAATGCGGATTCGATAGGATACCAAGAGTATTGCCGTGTACGGATGGAACATGACGATTTGATAGAAGTAAACATGCATACGCGTGATGTTGAATTTGGATAAAATAGTCTGGTCGGATCCACAATTGAATGAGAAATACTATGAAGAAGCTGTCCAGCTACACGGCTGTCTCCAGGGTTGTGCCCATTGTTTCACTTTCCCTTAGAGTAGACGGGACAAGAATGTGTCTAATAGTAGACACTCGGTTGGAGTAAAGTAAATTTAGATCTGTGTGAAGCGTGTCGCGAATCTTTCATCTGTGGGTACAAGTACCCACTATGAGGGGGGATCAGTATTCAGGTACAATGGTGATTTGGGTATGTTTCCTTATTATGCTGATACTCTATCGCAGTACTCCTCCCTTCACATAAAAGTAGTAGGGGATAATAGCATCCACTCCCTGTTTATCATTTGGCTATAGTTTGCTGATGCACAGAGAACTCGTAGGGTAGATTTTGATAGAGCAACACTTCCGTAAGACCAACAGTAAGAAAAAAGTAGTGGATCCATCAGCTTTCACTCTTTCAATTATTGTGCGTGTCATGCCTTATGATTGCACATTTGTAGGGAATCGCCCATCAATACTGCTCACTATTGTTGGAACGATCATTCGCTCTGTCACGTTTGAGTAGAACAGCCATCAAAAACAGCCATCTTCATGAGGATTATCATCAACAACTATAAACCCCACGAGTGAGATCTCCGGCCACATGCTTCGAAACCTAGGTTGGGACTACCCCATATGGAGATGTTTTGCAAATCTTGTGGATGCAGCGACTAGTAAGGCTGCTAAGCCTACCAGTAGTGCCTCCACACATCATCCAGGAGCCCAATGGCTCTCTTGTATGATCCGAGACACAGCCTTGCAGTCCACGAGGCTGTGATTGACAATCGGGTAGACATTGGACAGACTAAGGACAATGATCCGGTATATAACCCTCAAGTAACCTCCAAGTGGTATTTCTCCGCATCAGGCTTCGTCGTTTCTCGTCCCTTTCTCGACAATGACCTCGAAAGAGCACAAGATGAACTCCCAACAGACACAGCTGGCCACCGGGGTAGGGGGCAGGCCTGATATCGAGTCGCGTCCGGGCGTACCCCTAGCTTTGCGATACCGAAAACTGACCGTCTATCTCCTCATATTCTATGTGCCCTTGCTGGTGATCCCATGGGTTCTCACCTGCGTCCTGTCAGGGCCTCCCGCCCCCAACGGCAACAGTGGGCAGCGTTACTTCCCCCAATATGGCCTGGCGGCTCACGGGGTGTATTCGTTGCTCAGCTGGGTGGCTGCGATACGGACCCTCAATTCCATTGCCAGTGTCGCCACAATCCCGGTCACTTCGACGCTCCTGGCACAGGCAGCCGTGGTGTACACGCAAAAGCGCAAGGTCCTGCAACGGCTGAGCCTGCGACAACTGTTCGCCCTGGCCGATCGCCGCTGGTCCGATGTGACCGCCGTCCTCGAAGCCGCGCGCACGGCGGGGAGGGGGATTGGGAGCCCGTTCCTGTGGCTGGGCATGGGGTTGATAGCCCTAAGTACGCCTCCACCCTGTCATCCAGGACACCTCTCCCGCTGACACTATTATAGGCGCCGTGCAACATCCCCTGCAGCAGCTCTTGGTGTCATGGGAGTCTATCCCGGTGATGACCTGTCTGGACAACCCCACCGGGGCGTGTGGATCGACAAGACCGGTCGTGGTAGGTTACGATCCTGAACCGGCCGATCTGGCCACTATCCACCAAAACCGGGTGGTGCAGGAACTGATGTCCAGCCTGGCCACATTCAACATGCTTGATCTTGAAACCCGCCTGTGGCCCGACCCGTCGTATCTCGATGACCATCTTGCCGTGATAGCTGACCCCACGTCGCGACAGACGCTGCGATACTGGGCCACGGATGATAAAACCTCAGGGCACGGTGCGACGAACCACACACCCAACTTCTTCGTTACGGCTCTGCAAAATGCGACAGGCACTGGGGTCCTTCGCGAGCATGCCCTGCGTTTCAACTCATCCGCGTGGTGTGACAAGATCCCCCAGGCCCAGTTTCCAGAGCCGTGTCCGGGAAAACGCCCCTTCCATCGGTCGTTGTCTAAGAGCCCATTGCTAGACATTCGAGTGTGCGCCCCGGGGGAGTACGGAGTACACCCCTGGTCATTGAGTCGGAATCGACAGGACATTGGGGAGGACCTCTACCTGGACGTGGTCGATGGACGAAGAAACACCCCGGACCCCGTGGCGAATTTCACACTCCATTGCAGGACGTCAACAACGAGGGGCTATTTCGAGCTTGGAAATTACATGAACTCTCAGATCTACGGACCCCTCTTAGGCGAATGGCCAGATCCGGATACCATGGCCAGGGAGTTCAACGACGAACTAAATCTGCAGACGGGCAAGGGTGTCGGGCCTCCAACGGAAAGGTAGGTTCACTCGATCCACCCATAACATAGTCAAGCGTCTCAACTGATAGTATACCCCAGTGACGAGACACACGGCTACCATCGCTACAGCTTGAACATGTGGAACACCGAGCCCGCCGACCCATATGGCACGTACTCGCTCAACACGTCCGGTCCGCTCATGACGACGGCCATCGCCCTCTTCGGCAACCAGTCCTTCTTTGAAGTGGCAGCCAACGCCTCCGATAAGACCTTCCCACCAGCCGCGCAGCAAATCTGCCAACAGGGCCGCCTTCCCTTCTCCAACCTGGGCATAACGATATTCAATGACTTCCAAAGCAAGTGCGGGTCCTTGATCGCCGGCGTCTTCGGGTCCCCGATCGGCGGGGAACCGGACGAAGTGCTCACCTCCCTCGTGGGGAACTGGGTGTCATCCTTCAACGACACCGCTGCAGCCGAATTGGGCCTAATTGCAGGCATGTACCTTTCCAACCGGGCGATGTTGACCCAGACGGTGACAGGGTCGTCTACCTTTTCCGCTCGCAAGATTCATTTTGGCGCCGGGATGCTGGTGCCCTTGCCGGTGAAGACGCTCGCGGGGACAGCGGTGGTTAGTATCTTCATCTTCCTGCAGCTGGTGGGTCTAGCCTACGTCACGTTCTATATCAACCAGTTACCCACGTGGACTGTCGCGCTGGATGCGGTGGCGATTGCACGGATCGGGGTTGGATTGAGGGACGATGAGCTCCCGCCGTTAGGGAATGGAAACGAGGTGGTAGGAGCAACGTTGAACAAGGTTGATGGGTGGATTGGATTAGATGATGATGCAACTCGGCTGACCCTTGGTGGGCCTGGGGTGATTACTCGGGGACATGCAACTAAGAAGGGTGAAGAAATGATAGCATGACAAGGACGGCGAATATCAATATGTATATATAGGTAGACTGCAACGGAGGCAGTGTCGCTACAGACTATTCGCTATTCAATGGATGAATTGATAGATGGGTCTAAATGTTAAGACTGTGGCTTCCGTGGACTGGGTTCGAGTACATCACATAGTTATTCATTATGTTGAAGGAGAATCTGTTTAATATAAAGCTAAAGTTCTGATAACATAAACCATACAAATAAGAAAATTAAGTAAGAAAACAAGTTAGTACTCATTATAGTAATTCCAAGTATTGCCATGCTCTCTCCGCAAGCTGAAACATTCCCTTGAAACCCATGATATCCCAGAACAAGGCAAGCCAAATAAGAGTTGTTAAACAGGGGATATGAGGATATGGTATTCACCAAGTTGAGGAAAGTGACCAACAAGACTCCAAGCATGGGAGTGACTGATGATAGAACCTTCCCTATCTGCACAAAGACCACCAGTGAATATGGCAGTGTCATCGTTGGTACTTGACTACTACTCCCCCTGTATTTGTATGGACAAGTTAGAGAGCATCCATGCCAGCTGCCGACGGATCCACTACTTCCCCGGTGATTATATGGAGTGCGTTGCCCGTGTAATTCCCACCCAGGGCATTCGGCAAAGTACAATGAGCGCTTTGACTGATACATCAACCGGAGGAAATTCCTGCGATACTGGGATCTGGGCAGCCTTCGAGAACTGTTCCCGAGGCGGTCGGTGTTGAAATACTCATCGCTGTTTTATAATTGTTTGATAACATGCGATGTGTGCAAGATCCCTACCGTCCGGGTTGGCCGTTATAGATTGCTGGTCTCCGTGTGTTCTTTGATGTGACCCGGTACAGCTTCACCACCGCCATGCAAGGTGCCTTGGATGAAATAAGACAATGCAGGATGGTACCAGAGCCATCATAACCGTGATACATAGGTTAGTCCATTGTCTGAGGACTGCGAAGCCAGCTAACATGGTGCATCTAGCTCACATGATGCTTGAAAAGGCGAAGGTTTTGCTGAGATGATACCTGCCGGCGAGGCTCAGTGAAGACCATGATCCCTTCATAGCAATTCTGATTGTACATAGCCTGACAGAGGCAGTCAGTGCTCTGTACGATGAGCTGTGGCATGGTGGATAACGGAGTCTCCCAGCAGTTGCGCCTCAGAGGAGGGTTGGGCAGGGAAATTGCCAGGGATGCCAATCAACTAGGATCCAAATGGAGGAGAGGAGGGAAATTCAATCAACTTGGATAATACGCACGAGGAGATTGAGGATTTGCCCTGGTCAAAGCCGGCTTTGTGCTCCCGCCGGCAATCAAGAACTCCACCATCCACAGCGTGGATATCCCCAAGCAGTTCGGAAGAGGCACTGGCTCGTGTTGACAATCTCGTCTCTGATAATACCGACTTCGACAAAGGAGGGTTCCAGCCATTCTGGTATGAGGGACAGGGCTACACTGGGGAAATGCCAGAAGAGATCCTGGAATACTTTCCACAGTATAAATGGCCGTATAAGATGAGCTGTGATAAGGTGGCGTTAGGGGCCGAACAGTTCCTTTGATCATTCTGCTTTGAACCAGATATACCTTTTCTCTTTTACATTTTCATGCACAGCCCCTAGCACCTGCACTTGCTCGCCTAGTCGTACAAACCCTGTGTACGACACCTAAGCATGACTTGCACCTCTACGTGGTGCTTGGAATTAGTAGCCCAAGGGTGAAGCCAAGCAAGCCATATCTAGTACTTAGTTTAGCTAATAGAACATTTTGTCGGATTTGCTTCAACGTCAAGGCATACCATGGCTGGACATACCTTATTGCTTTGACTACGTGAATGACGAGATACACTACCCAATAGCGCATTGATTGCCAGATATGGATATAATGAGAATTGACATCTATCATCGATTGTATAGGTATATACTGCCAGTCCAAGGTATCATGCAACATGACCACATTTCCAACTGTACAAGTGACTCGTGAGAGCATAAAATGTAGTGAACAAACGAAAAAAACACCAACTCCAGAGCTTCCCAGACAGAAAGTAAACAAGTAAAAAAGATTTTAGGCGTTCTCCGCATGGTAGGATTTCGACTCCTTCCGGGCATAGGCACTGTCCTCATGACGACGGCCAGTGTGCATCGGGGGAATCTCGAACTTCTCGCTCTTCCACGGGACGACCTTGTTGACGTACATCCAGTCGAGCTCCTCGAGGGTACGGCCGCGACCTTCGATGACGAAGAAATAGACGACAAAGATGGCGACAAACAGACAGCCGGCAAAGACATACCCGTAGGCGAAGTCGATCTCGTTGGTGATGAACGGGGTGAAGAACCCGATCAGGAAGTTCCAGAGCCAGTTGGAGGCGGTGGCCAGGGCCATACCCTTGGCACGGTACTTGGAGGGGAAGAGCTCCGCGGCAATAGCCCAAATCATGGGGCCCCTAGGTGATGTTAGCGTGTGCGCAAAGAGGGCATAAGATGGGATAATGCTTACCAAGTCATGGCATACGCCGTGATGAAGAGACAGGCGAGGACGATCATGCCCTTACCCGTGTTGGGGGTGTTCGAGGGGTTCTCGACATCGAGGACGAAGTGTCCGATGGAGGAAAAGATCATGAAGAAGAGGAACATGCAGGCACCGCCGACGATGAGCGACTTGCGACGGCCGAAGTTCTCGACGACGTACAGACCACCGAAGGTAGTGCCGAAGTTGATGGCGCCCAAGATGACCTGGGTGATGAAGCTGTTGGAGATACCGGCGCCCTGGAAGATGGTGGTGCCGTAGTAGAAGAAGTAGTTGGCGCCGGTCAGCTGTTGCAGCGACTGCAGGACCATGCCCAGGAGGACGCGGTAGAGCATGCGCGGGGCGGTGATGAACTCGTGCCACTTCTGGGCCTGCGACTCGGCGTCAAGCTGCTGCTGGATCTCCTGCAGCTCCTGCAGGATGATGCGATGGTTGGGAGGCACGCCGTACAGCTTGGACATGGTGGCCTGGGCGCTCTCGACCTTGCCGTGGCGGAACTCGAAACGCGGGGACTCGGGGAAGAAGATCATGCCTCCGCCGAGGACGAGGGCGAAGAGGAAGGTCAGGCCCAGCGTAATACGCCATTGCGCGGTGCCCTCAAGGGTCTCAGTACCCAGGTTGATGCAGTAGGACAGGAAGATGCCGAGCGTGACGAAGAGCTGGTAGCAGGAGATCATGGCACCACGGATCTGACGCGGCGCGCTCTCACCCTGGTACATGGGCACCAGCAGCGAGCAGCCACCGACTCCCAAACCGGTGACCCAACGGCCGACGACCATCTGGTACCACTTGCCGGCGGGGGAGGCGATCTGGACGATGAGGCCGACATTCAGGATGAGACACCAGATGGTGATAGACCACTTCCGGCCAAGTCGGTCGGCCAGGGGGGCGCCGAGGAGGGCACCGATTAGCGTACCCACAGACAGCAGCGAGACGATCAAGCCGGAGCGCACGTTGCTGAAGACGTAGCTGCCATCGGCGCCGAGCTCACCGTAGCGTTCCAAGTAGTTGGACATCTCCTGGAACCCGGAGATCTGACCGGTATCATAACCGAACAGCAGACCACCCATAGACACGAAGGTGCCCATGACGAACGACCGCAAGGTCATGAATGGCACGGGGGTATCCACACCCTCTTCGGACTTTTGGGCCACCACGGACTCCTGACTGGACATCGGCAGCGGCTGGGGAGCCACCGCGGGGGTGATGCTCTCCCCATGTGTAGTTTCTTCCATGCCCATGGTGTATTCAATGGTTCGAGATCAAAGTGGAAGAGAGTTGAAAAGGGGGGGAGCGGGAAAAGGATCAATTAAATGGATGCAGGTCCCTATGTCATATAAATAGAGGGTGTCCGTTGACGATGAACGAAAACGGTTGCAACAGAATAGAAAACACAACTCAACCACACCAAGCGCTGAAAAAAGGAAACCGTTGATTTCCGGGGGCGATAGAACTCCTTTTATGTTGTTGGCCACCGGGGAGATTAGAATAATATGGTTCAGGCAATATTCATCTTACATATGTATTTTAAAAAAAAAAAAGTATTTACGGGGGTAGAAAAAAAAAAAGAAAAAGTGGTTCTCCCCCAACCAAGGCCTTCAATCAGGAACAATAGGGAGGCATGATGTGGAGATGGCCGGGCAAGATTATCTCCGTTTCAAGTACTGGAGAAGTCTACTCCGAATTGTATCTGTGGAGGCCAACCGGACGGCCGGCTGTCCGTTGGCCAAGGGGGAAAGAGGCAAAACTTCGGGTTCCACGGGCTGATCGGGGAGATTTCTGGTTCGTCCAGGTCGGGTGCAGACTCGTGCCTAGTACTCGGCCTAAATCATACTACGGGCGTCCAGGTTCCCGGGGAGGCAATGATCAGGGATCAGTCTGCGACCTATTGATGGAACCGGGGGGAATGGTCAGAGACAGGGACGTTCCGTGGTTCTGTCCAAGAGGGAAAGTATCAGACTGATCAACTTGCGTTTGAGTTGAACCATGCAACATGGTCAGTGTTGGGCAGGATCCAAACGATCCGGCCGGGAAGTAGTATCCTCGGCCGGCCTCCCAGTCGTCTATGCCGCCACGGTGTTCGGCATGCCTTACGGGCACGAAGCCGTCTCGGCAAGGATGGTTGCAATGGTATGCGGCGAGAACCAACCGAACGCAAAAAAAAATAAATGAACAGAATATAGTAAAAAAAATATCACATCCCTCGTTGACCACTTACTGATCCTTTTGGACTCGGCCATTCCGGACTAATGAATTTGATGCTTGGTTGGGCTGGTCTGGAGGGCAGATCGCCACGTCTGGTTGGCTGCCATCACGGGACTAGGGTGGCCCTAACTGGGTCTGGTTCTCCCCTCTGCCTATCACAGTCCCGGCTCTCTCTCCTCGCATCCACTCTCTCCCACTTTTTGCCGTCTAGTCGGAAGGGGTCGGGAGTGTGAGCAGCAAGGCGAGCGGTTTTTTTTTTACTACTGACGGGTTCTGTTCTGGAGGTGTCCCCGAACCTGGAGAAATTGAGGGGATATTGTCGCCCTTTTCCCATCAAGTTCACCGGTGAGCAGGGAAGAGCGTTCATGGCTCCTCTACATCGGGGCAAACGAGGGGAAATGCGGAGGACGACGTCAGAGGTATAGATATGTCTCATTGTCGACATCATAGATTTCGAAAAACTACTAGGAGGTGGTTAGTGTTGACGGTGATGCTGTAACCAGCAGTCCTGCGACCGTCCCTGAAGACGGTAGATTTTCAATATAGGGATTGTTGCGCATGCGGCTATGTGGTCAATTCTTTCCTCTGCCCTCCTAGCCCCTGCAATGCCGACCGAGAGAATTGAACCCCCGGGACCGACTCCCTGGACCAAAGAACGCCGAGCATCCCGACCGAGCCGAGTTCGCGTCGGTGGCGTTGGGAAGGCCTCGCTCTCCTGGTCGACTCTTGGAAACCGCCCACTAGCCAGTGAACCACACGTCGTGGATGTCTTAGCGCCTCGTCTCCATGTCTTTTCTGAGAAGGCGATCGTCATCGCTCTATATCCTTGTTTCTCCGTAGTCTGTACTCTGTACAACATGCCCCAATGCACGGTTGCGCTCGACAGAGCAATGATACTACTACGTAGTACAGCATCCGAGCGGAATACATCCACTTTTCTTTTAGAAAGGGAACCATGTAAATCGATCACTCCAGAGTAAGTCCCAGGGGATGAGGATCGGTCTGTTGCCGAATTCGTTGTTGCTGTCTCGGGTCGGCATGTTCACTGGAATCCGGCAAAACACATATCCCGCTGTGGATCACGTGCTCGGCTACCAACCGTGCCCAATGGGGAAGGAGGCGGTCATGTGATCGCTTGCCTGCCGACGCTGTCAACAGCGGTTTGGTCACGACATGGAGGATTTTGGATCAGAGGGTGATGGCTTTAGAGTAATGTTTGACTGATATCCACAATCAGCCTTGAATGTCATTGTTACATGGTAGTGGTTGATATGGATTTGTGTTGGGGGGTGAAATATATATTAGCGGATACATCCTCCAAGATCATAGGTGAAGGATTGTTATACCCAACATATCATTTGATTGATGCAATTGTTTGTAAAATATATGTGAGGTTTATAGAAAGAGTCAAAATTTAACTAGATATCGAATGGTAGAAAACTGCTGTATAGCCATGATCGACTAACATGGAGGGCCTAATTAGAGTCACTACCGCTTATGGGACTTGACAGGGATCTTTTGGAACAACTCTATAGATAACCTCACTCGATTTGAGTATATAGTACAGATATCTTACCAGTTTAATATAATGGAGACATCAGGGAACAGGTCAGTAGATATAGAAGCAAGCAGATGCAAGTCTAGCTAGACACTAGACGCAAACACGCGAGGCAAAGCCATCTCTATCAATTTGCATCTCTAGCAGAAACCACCGTGTGTGGAGGTACCTCGCCTCTTATCCACTGTAGCGTATCTTCCAGCCATCGGCAATCCAGACGCCGAGAATATGTAGATCCCCTCGAGCCATTTTCTCAGCGATCTTCCCACTACCCTCAACGAGATATGTGTTCAAGATGATCGTCTCATCGGAATGCCTTGACCCTGGTCTCCCAACTCCGGGACTCGATTCCAGCCGTCAATGCTGGGATAGACCATGTCGACAGTGACTCTTGCTTTCCCTTCCTATACTTGGTATCAGCAGTGTTATTATACTGCGGGATAATACAGACCGTCTGCAGTGGGATGCTAAATGCCGGGATGACCAGTATGAGCATAAGGATGGGTCTCATGATGGAAGTCTCTGTTGAATATGATATCGGCGACCTTGCCATCGGGGATCAGGACGGTTTCTATATGTGCCGCTATGTGGAGGGAGAGAGGGGTTCTGCTGGAGGTGCATCCCTTGCTGCACTGCACCTTACATCCACTGGGGTTACTGAGTAACAATTCTGTTGAAGTAGTGGCGGGCAATCGGTTTAAACGAACAGGTGACCTCAGCGTTTGAAGTGACTTCCCCACACATTTGACCATCTGTATTTTCACGTTTCTTGCAACCTTTTGGCAACCTTATTCATAGCTTTAGACTTCAACATCGTCATCCTCGGACTGTTTCCTCGGCCGTTCCACAACAATGGAATATGTCCTGATGGTCCTGAGACGAGCAAGAGTAGATGTTGTTCTTGGAGTTGATAGTGAGGTGATGGATGAATAAGCCATTTGCACCAAGACGGTAAAGTATGTTGGTTTGATAAATATTGATCTTGCTTTATACTCGACATATATCAATAGTTTCCTCAACAAGTACATACGGCCATAGGGTATGGGGTTAGTAGTATTGCACACATAGGGTGGAACACCAATAGATCATGATATCACTAAATAAAAGGAAGGATGCAAAAAAAAGAATACGGAATGATATTATACTGAGGGAAACCTCACTGCAGGCTAGCTAATTGAAACCACGCTAGCTATCATCACGTTCATGTTGATGTCTTTGATTGGTTTTTTCCTGTTATACTTTGTCATAGATTGATGGATACATTGGCTATGCTTCTTGGTCTATATGGCCAAGTATTCCTTTTTATCTATTTCGAAGCACATGGAGTCTCATACTAATATATTGGAATCAAAATTGCTCATACCTCCGTATTCATGTTATGGTACAGGAAAAACCGACAGGCAAAAAGCCTATATCAAGGCAGAAACAACACGAACTCATGCACCAAGCTGTTTACAGCACTTAGTACACTACAACAGCATTAGTATACATAAGCTTATATGTGAGTTGTGGATTGAAGGGAAATATTATAGGAGAAACAATAAAGCAACAAAGAACTTACTTCGCCTTTCTTCTGGTACTATAGAGCAATCAGTCAACCTGTTTACAGCACTTAGTACACTACAACAGCATTAGTATACATAAACTTGCATGTGAGTTGTTGATTGAAGGGAAACATCATAGGGGAAACAATAAAGTAACAAAGAACTTACTTCGCCTTTCTTCAGGTACTATAGAGCAATCAGTCATAAGAAAATAACACTCGTATATATATTTACGATATTGGACTTACAGTTAGTGGAGGACAGATATTAGGCCAAGCAGGCCAGCAGCCAGGCATACAACCCTCGATATAAGATTGTGCAGTCTGTGTGTTTTCGTCTCTGGCGACTGGAGGTGCTGCGTAGCCCTGAGAGATCAGAACCATAGTGGTGAAAGCAACAAGAAATCTCATGATGGAAGATGGGGGAGAGAATTGAGATTGGAAAAGCCTTAGTAATCACTGATGGATAAACAGAACAAGGATAGTGAATAGAGATAACCAAAATCTCAAGTAGAGGATAAAGCTAGCTATTTATATTAGTTTGAGATTTCTTTTCAGACGGAGTTACTCATAAAGATACTCCTTCTATCATTCCTATACTTATTGTACTAGCCCTTTGTCATTCTGGTATGCTGGAAAACATTTCCCCGTGTGCTGATTGCCTGTATATCAATTGGTACACGGGTTGGAGCATTATAGAATACGTAATATCATCCTGTCAAGGCACTGGTTATCAATTATGCCCGTGGCTTGTTTCTATTTAAACTGTATATTACCATGAATCCTCCACCCTCTAAATCCATAATACTCAATACCACTAAGTGTTCAACTACTCTGGTGAAAGATAGACTGAACCGCTCTCCGAACTCAAGCCACGGGTGAAAATATCATCATGATCTGTTCAATTGCGCCTAAGAAAGGCAGAAAAAGGCAAAAAGGGATAGAATCAACAAACCGAGAGTTGCCTGCCGCATCCACATATTTTCAAAAAAAAAAAAAAAAAAAAAGTGCTCATACAGAAGAAAAGCCTGGACTGGCTGCCGAACACGCACTTGTAGCTAAAGGTTGAACATATATTGTGTTCTATCTTTACTATTCCTACGACGTACGGTGTAAATATGTTCAAATAAGGACACAGGAAAGAATGACAAGAATCTAGAATTGAACGCTACCTATGAGATAGCTTGTTAAATGACTAGATGTATCGTATCAAAGCCCTGCAGCACAAGTATACAGTGGAGCTTGTTCTCATCGTACTAGCATGCCCAGTCGCTACGATCCCTATTACTAGTTCATTGTTCGTTGATGCAGAACAACATACTCTTTCAAATATCTCAACGGGGTAATCCAACCACACCTCAATACAAACAAAGGGATTGTTTGTTAGCCACAGACCCTTCATCCCACCTATTTCCGCGGAGAGGGAGGACAGCGTAATCATCTAATGGTATTCCTATTTGTCCAATTGCGTGGCCCCTTTGAGCTGATTGAGGTCCGCGCTGGCCGAGTCGGACATTCCCGGATCAAATATGGACAGTGATTCCAGACAGCATTCTTATGAGTCCAGGCCTCGAGGGGACGAATGCAACTCGGCGCTAGAAGTCCAGGTCAGTCAGGGGGGGCAAGGCAAGCCGTCGCTACGGACCGTGGATGTTGTGTGCAGATCTCTATTCATATAAGGGCCTATGAGGATGTATCAATAAAGGGTTGATTTGTTGCACTCGGGGAAATTCGAGTGAAAGCTGGCCCAGCAGCCCCCAATTTGTCCAGAGTCTGGGGGATCGCAGGATACATGTTTTATGTACTCCAAAAGTCATGAATCTGGAACCTGTGGACTCTTTAATCTACTGGTCACTTCGTCATGCAATTATATGATTATATAGATAATTATGTACGCACTTATACGAACCTAGTTGGTTATTACTATTTTGACATACGGAGTAAGCTTCTTGCACTTCTATCAGAATCCAATAATGTAAACAGTGTCACTTTTTGGGGTCGGCTTGACTATCATCATATCATACCCACAGAAAAATATATATGTCCTAAGCATATATAAGAACACCCGTAATAGGGTTACGTTTTGCTACGGACTCTCTATGATAACGCTTCCTTCCTTGATGAGGATTGTAGTACGCCTGCTTCCCATAGACAACAACATAAATACGTACCAGCAAGCCGAGAACAGCCAATGAGCCAGCAAAATATTCCCCAGACTTTCCGAGTGGCCCGTTTTCCGATGCATAAGCCAACAGACGTTTTTCTCCAGCCGTTGAAAAATGAAAATTTGGTTCACTGCTTTCACCGGTTCTCACGTATGTCCTCCGCAAATCTCATGCGCGATTGTCTTTATACCGAATATCTCTTTACAAAGGGAGGGACCTCTCCATGAAGACATCGAAATCAGTCGGTCTTAGGGGAACCACGGATAGCACATGTTGCTGCTCAGGAACATGTCCCAAAAGTCGCCAGTCGACCCGAAGACCAGGCAGTCGGACAGCCGTCAGACAATAGCAGTTTAAATCTGGTTGTTATTGACGTGGTAGACATGAGATGGGTCGGGAGCGTGTTCATTGTGCTCAATTGAAGGGCACGGCTGCGCACAGGTTGTGGAGAGTCACATAGAGGCCCCGATGTGGTATGAAGGCCAGTGTCGATTTCATGGCAGTCGGGTTTAATCACGCCGATAAAGTCCATAATGTTATGTCTAAGACGACTGGCGGCAAGGGGGAATTCGGAGCTTCGCCTGACGTTGGCAATTAGACCATCAACGCGAGAGTTTATGGGTGGATGGCCTGCGTCGATAGTGTGGAACAACGCCAAAGCGACACTTCATATTCCCACTAGGCAGGTTAGGGGGTGGATGCGTTATATGATCTCAGCCACTGCCCTCCAACATGAAATGTCGTTTTGGTCGGACTTGATATGACTGATATCCCAAGATATCATATGCATGGTCTATCCGGTCCCCTGTGTACGACCTGCAGGCGCTATTCTTCACAAATTGGCCTATCTGGCAAGCCACAGTTGGCGTTCATATACTCGTCTGTGGTTGCGTGTCATATTTTATGCAAGACTTTCATACATAGCGGCCTAAATTAGCCAATAAACGCAATCTAGCATGGCATACGCACATGTTAGCCGGTGGTGTTAGATTTATGCTATTGACCAAGACCTGGCGAGCTTCCAAACCCGTAGAATCAGCAATCATTGTCTTGTATTAAAAGCGTTATTGGGTTTCCAAGACGAGACAGGAATGCGTTTGAGAAGGAATGTGGGTAAGTCGCAGCTCCCACGGCGTGCGCGGTGTCAACATCGATGAATTGAACCGAGTTGATGACAAGATGATGAAGACGACAAGAGATTAAGAGATGTCAATGAAGTAGTTCCAGATACGTACTGAGCTGCAACTAAATCAATCTGTCACCAAACGGATGATCGCGTAGACGACCTTTCGATTCATCCCTTTTGCCCGACGCGTGCCCAGGAATGTGATCTTTATCATTGATACTTTTCTGTACCAGATAGCTCAACCCCTCCAGGCTATTTGTTCGAATGTGTTCGGGTGTCTGACTTGTCATAAAAGGCGGACTGGTGTCTTTGCCCATTGCTTTTTCGAGGACCGTACCTTGCATAGTTATTGAGGTATGGGGCCCGGATGGAGTGGCATGCTACCCACGGAGCCCAACGCTTCCAAAGGAATTGATGATCGCGCACAGGTTTGAAGCAAGGGGAATCCAGAATACAGGACTTGACTTGCCACAGCGAAGCTCAACTTTGTACCGGAGATCTGTGGAGTGGAATGGCAGACTCCCCAGACCCACTAGACAATGCAAGTCGGATGCATTCCTGGATTATATAGTGAGCCCGATTTGTGGGCATATCTCAAGAAGGAAACCTAGACCCACCCGATGAAGCTGGTGACAGTGCATTTTATTGCTGCGCTGTTTTGAAAAGCCCATGGGCTTGGTCGCAATAATGCTTATTCCGTTAGAGCGAGGGGGAAGAGATTGAAGACAAGGATGTCATGCGGACGAACGTATCCCTGGAATGGACATACTGCCCTCGAGCGACACCACCTAAAATTGGCATAGCAGTCGAGGTGCAGCAATGCACCCCTGAAACTACTGGGACTGGCTAGTTCTCTCTGGCATATAAAACTCACACGTCCCTCGTCGTTCGCTCCCTTGGCGTTGAGTAACAACCGCTTGATATCTCCTCATCCGCCCAACGACCCAACTCCTTTCGTCATTACAAAACTTTGTCCATCCAATATGAAGTTCGTCAACTCTATTGCCATTGCAGGCATTGCCTGCATCGGGATGCTCCCCACCGTATCCGCTATCTTGGGCACGTCCTGCCTCTCGGCTCTCAAGGCAGCGAACCAGGTCCCCGAACTCTTCATCGAGCATCTGCAGCGCGAGGCATGCAGCGTTGGCTGTGAGCCCACCTTGCAACAGTGGCAGCACGCCTTGAAGGGTCAGATTATCGGCGAACTCGTGGAGGATGGCACAGCCTTCTGCAATGCCCCGGAGGCCAAGGAGGCAATTACAGACTTCCTGGAGGATCTGATGCTCGGAACTGGCGAGGCGTGTAAGGACAAATTCGAAAATAAACATCTCTGCCATGACCCCGAGTCTCTGGACCCGTTCCTTGCCTGCGTCCGTTCCAAATCGCAGTCGGCAGTGATGAAGTCCGCACCCCGTCTGTTTCGCTACATGTCCGAGGCCCGATGTCGCAAGGCAGAGGAGTATTTTACCGGTGATCAACTGTGGAAGAAGGACTTCCCTGAGCATATCCAGAAATATCTCTCGGAGTGTCGTGAGCTGTGAGAGTAGTCGCCTTGAATCAGGGCGGCGAATATGACGGTGATGGATTTTGAGCGGGGGGGTTCGTTGAATGGCTGTACATCATAGAGCGCTGGGATCATACCGACTGCAATTTTGGGCTTACAAAATTTCTCACCACCGCTTCGAAATTTATAATGTTTGTAATTTGTTGATATGGGCAATCTGTTGTACTGGACTATGATCATTCGAAGTTGGCTATATTATATCTTTTTGCGTGTCTTTAGTTGCAAGTGAATATCCCCCACGGATGTTACTGTATATAAATGTATCAAAATTTCGATTCGGTCAGGGTCAAAAATACTTATGAAGATTGGAGGCTGTCATGGATTTGTAGGAATCATCAATTATCCTCGGTGTAGTGGATATGTGTACGGAGTACTAGACCACCCTTGCGGTAGACAGAGTGGACCCACTGACCTATACTACACGATATGACTTTATTTATTTCATTGAAGTCATCCACCCGAAGCGACCAGAGGAGTGTTTTGAAGGAGTCAAACAGACACGACCGACAGATTCAGAAGTGTTTCTACTATATGGTCTGAATGTGCCCCGGTCCGTTTAATTACGACTGATAGCTGGTTATCAGCCACTATATCAATTCCTGGTGCTTGTCTGGTGATAGCGCCTAGACAAGAGATGGCTCTCGGTCGTCTGAAGCGTCTCTACAGGCTGCATTGACCAATTACATGACGGACATGAAATCGTCAAGTATATCCCCTTGCGACAACTAGGTATTTTAGGGATATCAAGTGTTGTAATACTGGTCACACACGATTGCAATCACGACACGGGGCCTGCGTCGGACAATCACAGCTGATTTTGACCTCAGCATATCACTCATTATATCCATAATGACAAAGCCTTTTCGAATACCCCCTAGTGCTTCAAATAAAACCGTGTTAGCAATGCCAGACATGTTAGCCATGCCAATTGCCAATCTCGGTCGTTATTCTATGGAAGCTGTGTCGAGGCCACAATAGGGCATCCTGCCGTCCACTCTGTTAGCAACTCCCCCAGTCTGTCTACAGCTGGGTTGCGAGGTCTTTTATGATCTAGATGTGCCAAAGCTGAACCCTACGTGAAATGCAACAAGAGTGTCATCGTTTCAGTTTATCCGCTCGATCCGCCATTTCCCGTCGGCCACTTTGCGCATTGGCCACTACTCACGCCTCGTATTTCAGCACGTCGTATCGCCCGATAGTCAGACCGGCTCAGCACATAATCTAGTAGGGACGCATGGAAACCGCCATAGCGCGACTTTCGGGGGGTCTTCATCTAGCGACTCGACTCTTACCCATCAGTCTAGGCCGATTATAATCGTTCTCCAGCGACAGGCAGACAATGCTACGTTCCTTGTAATGGCAGTGACCAGCGCCTCCGTGGAGACACTGGCGATTGTGTGGCTCCCATTCTGAATAAACTCTGGCGAAACTCATGGTCGAAATTTGACAAACCCTCCCAACTACGACCGGCCTTTCAACCCTGGAATGACAGCGCTGTTTGAGCAGAAATATGCTGTTTTCGATTGTTTTTACAGACTTTTTATAGACAGCGCCAAATGCAAAATGCCCACCCTGAAAAAATAGTATAATGCGGACCAGGATGCAACCTGTTTATCATAAGACAGCAGTACGATCTTGAGCTATACAATAGAACAGATGAGAACGGTAAAATCTGGAGAGATGAAGCGATTGATCGGACTACGAAGAGGATGAGGGCTAAGCGATTGAAGGCAGCGGGGGACAAGGGGTCTCGTAGGTCCGGGTGGAATTCCCCGTTGTCGATATCCATGACATTGATTCTTTGCAGCCATTCGCTCTTGACCAGCCTCGCAGGACAACTGATTGTATTCTCGTATTCGACGGCAGACCTGTTGCGCCACAGATATACGGAGTCCTCCGTTTCGCGCTGCTCGGAAATCCTCGATCAAACCACCAATCAACGCCCACACTAATCCTTCAACCCCACAAGGCTAATACATCCATGCCGCCACGAACATCGGGGTCTAAGCTGAAAGGAGGGTAATATTAAGCCAAACGAGAAGGGCCTATTTATAGAAGATGCTAGCAGATAGCGGGGTGCACCGACAACTTGGCAGCGGAAGGCCGTCGAGCATGACAACCTAATACTCCAGCCGTCGAAACTGTATATAAAGCCTTGGAACCCCCCGGATCCTTCCCATCAACCAAGACATCCCGCTCATTAGATTCTCGAACACCCTCCATCATGCGTCTCAGTATATATACCATTGTCGGGCTGGCCCTCCCCCTCGCCGTGACTGCCAGCCCTCTGACCAAGAGAAAGGAGGTGCAGTGCACGATAGTCAGCAACGACGGCTGGGTCAAGTGTCGCGATTCACCTCGGCTGGATGCGTCCTATGACTACAGATACGCCGACGGTTACAAGGGTGACTTCAGATGCTACAAGGTGGGAGACTGCTACAAGGGGAACTGGTAAGCCTGACCGCCGGGGAGGGGTTGTCAGTATGATGGCTAATTTTGATTGTCCCACAGCACATGGGACTACAATGGCTATTGCTATGTCAATGGCTATTATACTAGTTCAAATTGTAATACGAGTAAGTCATTGTGGTGCTTGTTGTTTTTCTGTGGTCGTGCAAAGTTGCTGACGGGTACTTCGCGGGCAGAAAATTTGCCCAAGTGCTAAAAGCATATGGATATAATCTAAGACGGAATGGGTTAAGGGGTTGGGGTTGGTGTTTGTTTGGAGTATAGGGTTGTTATACTAGGGCTTGAAGTCTCCGGGGTTGCATGTTCCTGCTGTGCAGATGGCACCGTTTTGAGTAGTGATCGTCAGTTGAATACGAGATTAATCTCGCAGAGATATGAAGGCGGCGCAAAAGGACAACCAGATAATCTCAAACAGCCTTAATACAGGCGGTCCTGTAGTAGTGCTTCAGAATGGGTCACTATCCAAAGTGTAGACTATATCCTGTCCTTTGAGTACGAGGCCGAAAGTGGGAATGGCAAGCGATCGTAGAGATATAGAAACACACATCAAATTAGGTATGATATTTTGAATTATATAATACCCCTGCAAATTGCTGTCTAGACCGGAGCAAAAAATATGATACTGCATCAAAGATCAAGAATCATGGTCATGAGGGTAGTATATTGCATTTGATAGGTCCCAGCAAACGTATATACCACCAAGCTCTCAAATCCGAGACTTGACTGAGGGCAAGATGGGTGAAGATCAAAGGCTGTTTTCGATATTCCAGCCCCTTCGCGGCGACCTTCAAGTCAAAACGGAAGAGAAATTACGTGCTAAACGTAGGCCAGGGAGAAGAAAGAGGAAGGAACTGAGAATGTACTGTAGTGACAGCTGTGTGCTGAGTGAATGTACCCGGTGTGCTCGTAGGGGGCAGGAGCGAGCTACAAAGTATAATCCACAATGTAGACACCCTACAAATTTCATACCGGTTCATACACTTACATCCATTCAAATTCATTTAAATTCATTCTAATTCATTCTAATTCAATTAAATGTATTCGAACGTATTCAGACTCATTCAGACCACCGCAAATACTCAAGATGGCACCACTGAAGCCAAGGAACGAGTTCCAAAATTCAAGCCCATATACCGGGAGCTTTGGCCACAGTCTTTCTTCACGCCTCTTGTTATAGTGGACAGTGCACCAGGTGGGCTGTGTCTGCCCCTATACCTTTGAGGAAGAGGTCGACGTCAGGTATGGAGAAAACCGCAGGCACCGGCTTCCCGATCCCCGTGACTCCAAAGTGCAGTCGAACTTCAGAGCACAGTTACTCACGGACTATGACAGTCTGGATAAGCATGTAAATACCTGGTGTCCCATCCTGGGGTGTTATTTGGACCCGGACAGTGTCACCGCATCACACCTCTTTGCAAATCAACATGGACAAGCCTCCATGGATGCCATCTTTGAGTATAGAGAGAACCGCAGGCACCAGGCTGCCTAGGCCAAGAACGGTGCTGTTTTTGGTTCCAGCGCAAGGAATGCCATCGAGCTAGAGGACGGTATTCCAACGCCCACCAATAATACCACATGGGAGATGAAGGACATTGATGGTGAGGGCAGCATTTTGCATTTGGTGAGCCCCAGCAAAAGAATTGTAACCTCCAAACTTTCGAAACTGATTTTTTACTTAGCGTACGGCGGACGAAGGACGAAGACCATTTCGTGTCCTCCAAGCCTACCAGGAGGGAATACAAAGGGGATGCAGCATATCCACTCAATGTATCGAATTGTTCAAGACGGGCAGCTGCGCTTCAACGGCGCCCTAGTCTGCAAAATATGCGGTGGGGGGTGTATAATCGCCATCAGCTACGATACGACGATCGTTGGTGGTTGAATCAGGGTCACTGTTCAGGCCAGATTCGAGGCTCCGGGCTCTATACCCCGGCAATAGGAACAGATACACCGGAAGCAAATGTTCTGGCGGTTCAATGAGACCCCTGGGCGGTTGGAGCAGTTCGAGAAAGTAAGGTTAACTTTGACGGCCACATGGGGAGCCTGTGAGTTGGTGTACGGTACATCTGTATTTGAGGAAATGAAAGGTGCGACCGTGGATGTAGAAGCGGCTTGTCTAAGAAAGTTGCATATTCTTCCAATTTGTCTTCATCATTTATGTCGAAGTCGCAAGCCGCGACTATTCTGACAATAGGCAAGAAACATGAGTAAATAAGGAGAGAGTAAAACAAAAAGTAATGATATGAAATCGCCAGTTGGATTCGTCTCTTGAATCTTTGCCAGCAGTCCATCGGGATAGCCAGAATATTATTAAATCCGAAGTGTGCCATTGATACAATATTGCTTGTGTTTGGCATGCACCAGTTTATGAAGTAACCAGAACAGGGGTTGGATCTGAGAATTTTCTCACTTAATTTATCACTCTATAACAACCAACAATCTGCCACTTGAAACAAGGCTCTCAACAACATAGACAATTACATCCAACTGATAGAGACCCACGTAGGTGTCCTCAATATAGAGGCTTGACATTCGAAGGTATTCTGTATCGACCACCCATCTGCCACCATTGACCACTCGATACGACATGAGTGCGTTCTCTATGCATCCTGGAACACCCATCTAGAGCAGATCCGACTGAGTACAGTAACCTCTAATGTTCATGTCATAGTAGCGTATCTCTGACACTGTGCATTCGGAGTTATCGCGGTAGTTGATGGGAAGGCAGTTTACTAGTAGGTGGCAGAATGGCCCAGACTTCTCTAGGCCTCGAATTGCCGGCAAGGACCGCAAGCCAAACCAGACTGGACCGCTGCTGTCGGGTCTTTGAAGCGAGATTAGACCTCTGCAACTCCCATAGAACCACTCCCACCGGACTACCCCCATAAGCGGGATAAAGAATATAGATCCCTTGGGACTTTGGTGGGACTAATTGGTCAGCAAAATTGGTTCATCCACAAGAATCTGTAATCACTCCTGAGAGCTTTGCCAGACTATATTAGATAGTCACCATCCTGAGGCAGCATAACTAGTACGGCAGAACCTAGGAAGGAACGCCGGCCTTTGACATTAGGGCCGCACCACTGCAGTCCGATAAAAAGAATTATACGATTATGTAGGATGCTTGAGTTATAATACCATGACTGTAGAGTATATTTAGGGGTAAAAACAATTGGAGTAATGGTACATCTCCAGGGCTTGGACCGATGAAGCCATGGGATGCTACTGTGTATAACGAAGCACCCACTGCCCTATGATGTTGTAATGGGTAGACCTCCAAATGGGGCGGATCCAGATCCCACACAGAACAGATCCTTTCAAGGTCTACATTTGACCTAGAATGAACCATAGCAAAACATGACTGTCTTCGGCATGGAAATTTTCTTTAAGGATTACGAAGGGGAAGGCCTGGATCACCGAGTCCTTGCAGTCCTTGCTGTCCATGGCTTGTAGGCAAGTGCTGGAAGCCATGAGAATGGATGCAGCACAGCCTGTGCAGTGAATGAATGCATCATGGAGCGAAGCGGATCTGGAACCATGGATGCAACAGTGTAGGACCTGTGGATTACCCCATCGTAGATGGATCTATGATCCGTCTCTCTCCCAGAACGTTACATGAGTATGCCTTCTATCGCCCGACCGACTCTTGACTATTATAGCCACGAACCCCGGGGTCGCATTGCCTGCCCTTTATCTCCATAGTACAAATGCTATAGGAGAGCTGCGTTGCTAGCGTCGCCCTCAGCTTTGTATACACCTTCTTTCAGCTCACGGATTCCAGGTAGTCTTGGCCCGGACAATTTGACATGGCTGACACGACCCTCCTGCACATGGCAAAAGCCGGAACCGGCGAGGCGATGATACTCGAGTACGGCCCAGCTGGTCAACGAAAGTTTGTCATCGTCGACGGAGGACCAGCGTATTGGTCTAGCCCGGCAAGCCAGGATATACCCTATTATAAATACTTTATTGCGGCAGCGAAGAAGATATGGTCAGACGGGGGACAGACGGCATCGTTTAATCCATCGGCAATTATAAACTCAAGCACCGATGAAGACTACTACAGGGGACTGGTATCATATTTCAAATCGATCGGATCAAAGAAGGAGCCATTTCGGGGCCCGATCGTGGTCCCGAGCGTTAAGTCATTGGGTCTCTTTGAGATCGACGCAGTCCTAGGTAAGGGTGACCTGAAATGGTCCTCCCAGCCAGGATTCCCATCGGAAGCCCTGTCGGGCCTCATCTGTGACCGACCGGCTAGCGAATGCATCAAAACATACAAAGCCAACTTGTCCGGAACAACCATTGAGACGGAAACGGAGACTGCCGACCATGAAGACCCGAATACTGCGGGTGACATTCTGATCCATACCGACCCGAAAAGCTCACGCAAAGGACATGTGTTTCTCGCTAGTGACGAAGCCGGCTGGCAGATAAGCCCCAGTGTTGCAGGCAAACGATATTCGATATACAAAATCCAGGATCATGGCAAATGGCGGAATACACAGCTCACAAAAGAAAATCGGGTTGTTACCGATGGCGTCAAGCGTGAAACGGCCCTTCGCAGTCTCTTTGCAGCCAATGTACGAGGCTACCCAGACTTGCAAGAGACCTCTCTTCTGCAGACTCGCGCGGGGGCGTTGTTCAGCTACATATGCACCACTTATTCTTTCACACTGAAATCAGCCGCTACGTATCTCGCCGATTTGGATAAACGAGGCCAGTCGTATCTGACTGCGTGTGCATCGAACCTGAAAGATGCCGATGGGAACTTCGCCAGTGAGCTGAACGAAGCCCATGGCGGGGATGCCCTTAATCCCGTGCCTTCCAAAGTCATGCTCCGGGCCGAAGAGTGGGTGCAGTCGCTAAAGCCTTCAGACCCAGCCTTTTCTTTGTTCTACTCAGTGCAGGAGTCGAAGGTTGGACCCGTTGACGAGTGGGTACAATGGACCACGAGTAACAACTGGGCAACGCCATACCTCAGGACACTGAGTATATTTTCCATCCGTGACTTTTTCCAATCCTTCTCGGCGGATGCATACTCCGTGAGTGGCAATTGGGAAAGCCGGCATGAGTTAGCACCTACAATAGTGGGCTTGGCGCTAGCGATGCACGAAAAGAAGTGCACTGCTATCCTGTATCTGACTGATCCAAGCGCATTGGCTGTCCAAGATATGGCCTTCTACTGTACCGTGCTGGGTGAAGATATCACCACTTTTTTCGCATCCACCTCGTTAAGCATCAGGTTTTTGAGTCAAGGCTCTTACATGACTCTCAATGGTGACGAAAGCTCCCCAGCAAATGGTCGAGATGTGCAGGACTGGACCTCGGAGTTAAAGCTCGCGACAGCCAGTAGGGTCACAAATGACGAGGTGAAAAACCAG